TCTATGTGACTCGTTTGCTGTAGAGTTCTTTTATTTAAACAGTTTTTTGTACTTTCAATTGAGGAAAACAATAAGCCAAAAAGACTTACTTTTTACGAGTGGACTAACTTAATCGGCATTTTGATTATAAATTATTTGGATCTTCTGATAGTGAAAGTTTTGTTTGTCCATGTAGATTACGTTTATATTTAATTCATATGTAATGATGATAGACTTGCATTCAGATATTCGAATCAGTGAACTCCAGCTAACCATAATTGTCGGCTGCTAATTTAATTTAATTTTCTTTGAAAATAATTATTAAGGGTTAAGGATATGATGTAGAAAAAAGACATTGTTAGATCATGTTATCAATATTCACATGATTTTTTTTTTGGTAAGTTATGGATGAAAATATATAATTGTAATAAAGATAAGAAAACTATTGAAGATCTAAGTTATGGGTTCAAAACGGTACAAAAAGACAACTTCCTTTTTTAAAATAAAGAAACAAGGACACAAGATTAGTAACTTATCGTGTATAAATCTAATAAACTTATAAGAAACGAAAGAAAAAAATGAGAAGAAAAGTCAAATCCACCGCAAGACTAACTCAAAAGTTTTCGTTTTGGTTTTTCTTTTATTGGAAATGAGAAAGAAAATGACACTGGCAGACAGAATAAAAAAAAATAGATAAAGGAGGACAATGTTTCCATACTCTATCGTGTATGTATGTTGACGAGTTTGGCTCACAACGACAGAACAGGTTCGGTGAGAAATACGGTTTCGTCTTATCAATAATTTCTTATCCTTACCAAAACAATATTTATCCAAAACTACCACAAATGATTTATTTCACAAATATCACAAAACTGAAATCAAACTTTCACCCTCAAAAATAAACCTTAAATCCTAAAAATTAAACTCTAAAACCAAATATTATTTTGAATTATAAATCCTTAAAACTCTTTTTTTTAATTAGTGTTTATGGTACTTGTAGAAAAAATCATTTATTAGTAATTTTGGAAAGAAAAAAATTAATAATGATATGTTTGGAATAAAAGCTAATTTTAATATATTTTAATTTTTTTCTCGTAATAAAATACGTACTCTCGCAACTATATCACAAATGTTATGTATAATCGACTCTTTGCATGGACATGGATATTTTTTTTAGGGATACTATAAATTTATTATTTTAAAAAATGTGTTCTAATATTAGAAAAAGGAGAACGTGTCCACGACGGAGACACACCCTAGTGGAAAGTAATTTTAATTATACAAGTTCTGATTGTTGTACCTTGAACAAATTAATCTCGTTCTTGAAATCGTTAGGAATATTAAATATGTACACATATTGAAATAATCAAGACAGTTCTTTCTTTCTTTCTTTTTTCTTTTAAGAACGCGCGGATGAAGACATTTTTCACGATGAAAATCACAGTTGTCATAAAATATAGTGGGAGATATGAAACCACAAATCGACAAAATTAGATTCAGATCCATGATTCAGAATATTTCATATGGAACTAAATTATATCGTATTTACTTTAATTGAATTTTCTGAGAACAACATGAAAATTACTATTTAAAAAAAACATGAAAAACAATTCATTCCGAAAACTTATAAGAAACCCAGTAATTTTTACAGAGAAACAACTGTGAAATACAATTTGGTTCAGTTTGGAAAGGAGTTACGAGAATCCCATGATTAATAAAATCCAAAACTAATATTTTTTTTTTCTTTTCCAAAACTAATAATTAGTTAAAATCCGGCAAATTATAGCTTTACTAGCTTCTTCTTTAATATTGTGACTAGTATTATAACCCCTGCTACGCACAGACATCCCTTTATTTTTTTTATGTCTCATACTTTTTTCTATTAATGTTTTTTTAATACAATTAAATTATTATTTGAGAAAAATCAATTTCATTGTAAAAGACACTAATTTACTCAAGATCAAGATGGATATACTCATGTTTCAACATAGTGAATTTTTATTCAAGCATTTTAGAAATAAATAATCATCACATATTATATCATATATACCTATGATTGTCAAGAATATATATTTTAATATGATTTGTAAATATTATTATTACTTTTGTTTTGTTCGAACATATTATTATTACTTTGATATTGCTAAACTTAAGTGCAAAATTACATGAAATCTTTATAATAGGAATGAATTTTTAAAAACTGACGCAATAAATATAGATGTAAATACATTATAGAGAAAAAAAAAATATATTTTTAAAGTCTAGAGTCTTGCACCTAGGCTTCATGGTGAAGCGGTGGAGGTTATTTGAGCCAGAGAGTTCGGTGAGGCATTGGGTGGTTCTCGTAGACTTGGTGCTTCCTTCGAGAGATTTGTTGTGTTCGGTCTGAGTGTCTGAGTTCTCCTCGTGGCTGCTTATTTTTGGTTGTTTCTCTGCAGGTTCTGTCTCAGAAAGTCTCGGGAAAGCTGAAGTCGCCGCTCGATCTCAGTATTGAGGGCTGGCTGGGATGGCGGTGGCACACGGCAATTTCGACGGCCTGAGGCGGAGAAGTGGAATGGTGGTAGAGATGGCTTCTCCGTCAATTGATCAGTCTCCTTCCTCCTTTCAGTGTGTTGCTTGGCCTCAGGTGTTGATGTCTTCGTTTTATCTGCTTTTATGTATCCCACTCAATTACGGTAGTCTTTTAGTTTGCCTCAATCTGAGGATGATCTTGGCTATTTGTTTCTTGTACTTTCTTCTCTTGCTTCTCTTGCTTGATGGTTTTTCTTTATTTTTTCTTCTTGTTCACCTTTGTAATCCCTCTAAAAACAAAAAAAACAAAGTTATAAAATCGTAATATTGATACAAAAAAAACTGTAGTGAAGAATCGTACCTTGCTATGATATATCTTTCACTCTGCTAGGCTCCTAGCTTTAGTCTCTGCTCTTATCTTGTTGATTTCTCTCAGGGTTCTTCGTTCGTTTTCTTCAGTTTCTGACTCTCCGTCATTTTTGATCAACTGACGTACTGAACGTTATATTGGTGCACTTTGTGAAAACTCGGAGAACATGGGTCTTATGTGCGTTAGAACAACCGTTAATAAAAGTTTGTATTATTTTACTTTTTATATTTAATTTTTATATTTATTTAGATGATTTTCACATGTCAACTTTTAATTGCACAAGTGACTTATGCTTTAGTAATATAAAGATATTTCTGACTCTCCGTCATTTTTGATCAACTGACGTACTGAACGTTATATTGGTGCACTTTGTGAAAACTCGGAGAACGTGGGTCTTATGTACGTTAGAACAACCGTTAATAAAAGTTTGTATTATTTTACTTTTTATATTTAATTTTTATATTTATTTAAATGATTTTCACATGTCAACTTTTAATTGCACAAGTGACTTATGCTTTAGTAATATAAAGATATTTCTGACTTTCCGTCATTTTTGATCAACTGACGTACTGAACGTTATATTGGTGTACTTTGTGAAAACTCGGAGAACGTGGGTCTTATGTGCGTTAGAACAACCGTTAATAAAAGTTTGTATTATTTTTTACTTTTTATATTTAATTTTTATATTTATTTAAATGATTTTCACATGTCAACTTTTAATTGCACAAGTGACTTATGCTTTAGTAATATAAAGATATTTCTGACTCTCCGTTATTTTTGATTAACTGACGTACTGAACATTATATTGGTGCACTTTGTGAAAACTCGGAGAACGTGGATCTTATATGCGTTAGAACAACCGTTAATAAAAGTTTATATTATTTTACTTTTTATATTTAATTTTTATATTTATTTAAATGATTTTCACATGTCAACTTTTAATTATTCAAGTGACTTGTGTTTTAATAATATCAGGAACAATTGACTAGAAACCGAACAGTTGACTTTGACGAGAGACTACTATGAGTCTGAGGTCCTTAGAATTCCTCATCACGCGCCACGTCGACCATTGAGGTCAGACCGCAATGGTGAGAATATGGATCAGCAGCACGTGATGCTTGGTCGGTCACGTGAGCACGTCAGTCCATCCATACACGTGGCTCCGGGAAGAACTCGCATTAATTTCCTTTGTTTTGTGTTTAACGTTTGGTCTGAAATCAACGTATAAGTTTCGTTTCTGAGAATATATAGTTACATTCGGGATCCTATTATATATATAAACATATTATTGATTTAAGTGATAAAATCAAACAACCACAAAATAATCTCTTGATGAGACGTTGGTTTTAATTTAGGCTCGAAGACGTAAATTGGTTAAGAATTTTTTCACGTAATGCAAACATTTCGTGTGATCATTTAGTTCTGAACTTTTTTTTCTTTTTGGGTTCTGAACTTTGGTCGTTATCCAAAACAAATGATTAAACTATTTTATCTAGAGGTTTGCTCACTCATCTACGTAATTAATCTAGCACTACGGCACCCGAACATATGGGGCAACAAAAAAAAATTGTTAAAAAAAAAACATGGATCCGTTTGGGCAAGCTGCGTGGATCATGTGGATCGCGAGTACACTTGGGCTGGGCTATTAAATTTCACATGAGTATCTCTGAGGACAACCGCATTTTATGTAATTAAAAAAATATGCAAGCAAAGGCATATAAGTCATAGATTAAAAAGGTAAAAAAAAATATTTATCATGCTACAGGCTACAGCCTACAGCTATATACAGTATGATGAATTTGTAAATAAATTAAACTTCATTTTCCCAACGAAATTCGAATGCTGTCAATTAGTTAACTAATTCACAAAAGACTTATAATAAACACCTAAATCCATAACATATTATAAAATTTTCAATATTTATTTTGAACTTTAGAAGCTTCATCTGTTTGTTAGGGTTCATTGGTACTTAATTTAACATTTGCGTAGGTGTTCGCTCCGTCATGAACGTTGCCGATTATATGATAGATTCTCCTTAAAGTAAATTATATAATATGATATTCAGTTAGTTGGTTCATGCACGAAGACATAAGAAGACTTTGAGTCTAGCTACCAACCTGGAGAGAGCCCTTACACTAGTCGTAATGGCGACAACAGAAGAGATTCTGATTCTGCTTCAATCTTAACCACACAATATTATTTTTTTCATGATTATTAATCTACAAAAAGAATGAACGTTATTTCCAATTTTCTTATAAATTATTCGCTTACTGTTTTGAATTCCGATTGAAGATCTATAGTTAAATGCATGAAAGACGTAGACGTCGGATACTGTAGATTTAAAGATTGTTGATTTTCTATTTAATATATACACCTAGTATATTATTTGTCGTGGATATATTCAAAGTCAAAGCCAAGTCAGATTTAAACGACCTAATAATAAAACCGTAATCATTATTTCTATAATGTAATGAAAGGGAAAGGAACCCGGATATTAAAGAAAAAAGGAGAGAGATAGAGAGGGAAATAAACTCCATAAATCTGCTTTGTAGACTAACTTTGGTTTTTTCCAATAAAAAAAAGTGTACGGACACATAGAAGATCGAATCCACGACTAGGAGCAGGCAAAAGGGGCTAATGTTATTTTTATATATATTATATATATATATATATATAGAGAGAAACAAAAAATAAACTAGAAGAAGTAAATCTACTTTGTGACCATGATCATGAATTAACTATCATCTAGATACATTGGACATGCTTTTTTCACTTGACTTAACGTTAGTTATAGACATTTTGATCCTTAATCACAAGGATGCATGAATCGTTAGAAAGACGCACGTGACAAATAGGTTAATGAATATGTTTATAAAGTACGATTTCGATAATAATGTCAGTAAAATAATTGAGTTTACGGATGAAAGATACTATGGATTGTTCGATCACTTATACGAAAACCTCTCGTATAAGTCTCTTAATGATTCTAGAGACTAGAGTATTTATAACGCGATTACAAATAGTTTGATTATACGTTTGACCTTTTTTGGTTTTGTATTTATATTTACATGAAATGGAAATATGATTAATATTTTTAAAAAATAACATTTGTGTGAATTGTACCTTTTGTATAATTTACTACAGTATAAATCAAATTGCGAATACCTTTTGTATTTTCGGTCACAACTTACAAATACAAATGATCTATTATAATATAAAAATATTTGTTTGAATTTAATGTGAACATAATATTTTAAAGTTACAAACCAACCAGATACTTACATTTGTTTATACGGAATTGAGGTATCAATCTTAAGACCAAGCAGACACGTAAGACCCCAATATTACTTGATTTAGGGCCCGGGTCCTTTCAATACCTCAATATGTACATAAAACATAATTTAGTTATTAATTTCAACTAATTGAAAAATAAGGTGTTTTTTTGTTTGCTCGGTTAATGTATGTTCGTAAACTTGACATAAAACCAGAAGAAAAAAAACAAAAGACCTGATACAAAAAAAAAAAGAAATCGGTGCAAAAATATAACGCTAGAAGAAAAGAAGTCTCCAAAATGGAAAGTCATGTCAAGAACTTAGACCCTAGTAGTCTCCACTACGCGTATTAATTGGTAAAAAAAAGAGAGTATAGTTATGGTCCAACGGAAACTTCTGAGTAGGTTTTGAGAGTCAACACACGTGGGCACTACCCAAGTCAAACATATTCTGATGGCCCCTCCCATTAACTATGGTTTTCTCTTTATTCAGTTGCACACCTCAATTTTGGCAACACAAATTCCATTACTGTTGCTAAAAAATACCATAAGATATTACTTAATATAATATTAAAAGAATGTCTAATTTGATAGTTAAATTCATTAGCTTATTGGACAACCTCAAGTTCGAGTTAAAAGTTCTAGAACTTTTTTCTCTAGCTGCACTAGCAGATTAAAAAAATAATATATGTCATATTCTTACCATAAACATTGAATCCAAAGTTACTTTTATTTTTTCTTATAGGAAACAAAAACTTATCTAAGTGAGTAAAAACACATAAATTGCAGATAAAAGTAACTCAAATCTTGACTTTAAACTTCATTGCAACCTGCCAGTCTTTTTAATTTTATGCAGGTTATTAGAAAATACGAGTTTGTTTAATTCAAGATGTTAATATCTTATTATGTTTAAGATATTTTTTTTTCTCTAATCATCACATATAAAAAACCAGTTCATCAATATTTTCATATCATATCAACATCTAAACACAAAAATTGAATGGAAATGACAACAAAATGTTTTGATTTTGTACATTTTGTATCAGTAGGTGTTTTCAGACTTGTAAATACAATGGTTAGTTTTATCATCTTTGAACAAAAAAAAAGTTTTATCATCTAAATTTTCTAAATAAATAGCAAAATGGTGGCAGATGCCACATATATTGCATGCATAATACTAAATAACCCCAAGAAAAATCTATATCATATAAGGAACATAGATTTCGAAAGAAAAAAGGTACAATATAAAGAATCTACATGAGATAGATAAGTGGAGGCTTCGAAATTCGAATATTAGGTTAATGGACCCACTTGTTTCCTTGCCTATAAATTCCCCAAATGAAATTTCATTTAACGCAACTCATGCAGATTTGAATAAAACACACACAAAGACAAAACACATAGGCTCAAACTTGTGTTCGTATCAAACCTCAGAAATCAATTTTCTTATTCGTACTCATTTCTCCATTGTCTCTCTTCTCACACACACAAAAACTACACACATAAATATGGATCAAGGAGGCCGTAGCGGTGGCGGAGGAGGAGGAGCGGAGCAAGGGAAGTTCCGGGGAGTAAGGAGGCGGCCTTGGGGAAAATATGCAGCGGAAATCAGAGATTCGAGAAAGCACGGCGAGCGTGTGTGGCTAGGGACGTTTGACACTGCGGAAGACGCGGCTAGAGCCTATGACCGAGCCGCCTATTCAATGAGAGGCCAAGCCGCCATTCTCAACTTTCCTCATGAGTATAATATGGGAACCGGATCTTCCTCCAACCCTGCAGGCACCGCGGCAAACTCTTCCTCGTCGAGGCAAGTTTTTGAGTTTGAGTACTTGGACGATAGTGTTTTGGAGGAACTTCTTGAATATGGAGAGAACTATAACAAGAATAATAACACTAACATGGGTAAGAGGCAATAAAGGGAACTCAATCGTTGTAGATTGAAAGTTACGTGACAGACCATTCCCATTTATAACCAAAAAAAAGAGAAAAAAACTCATAAACGTAAGAAGCTGTATTATTGACAAATAAATTGTATTGTCAATTGATTTCTGTAACGAATAAGATTCTTTAAGCGGGTCATCTTCATTCCTAGAACTTCAAAGTTCAATCGGGTCCTTGTGTAATTAGTTTTGAGAATGTATTAATCATCATTTGAAAATAATGAATATATATGAAACCTCCTTTTATGTTTCCGTAGCGTGTAAGCTATATGATCATTTGATATGTTTGTAACACTTCATGTGATTCATCTAAATGAGCTTAATTGGATTTTGTTTTTAAATGCAGATACTGAAAGAGAAAGCTAACCTTATATTTGATATCAATTTAGTCAATTACATCGTTGTAATATCTTTTAAGTTTCTATAAAAAAAAATAGTTTAGTTCGGTATATTCCTGCGCGTTTGATCTTTTTGAATGAAAATAATAACTAGTACTTTCTTTTTCTTTTTCTCTGAAATGATTTTGTTCGATGGTCAAAATCGATTTTAAATTCATCCCTTATACACTGACAAAAATCAGTTTTTAAGTTTAGAACAAATTTACTCAATATCTCCAAAATAAATGCTAATATAGTCAAGGCCGGTGAGATCAGCCACAATAGAAATTGTAATCAACAATATGGTAATGTTAGCCTTGAAATTGCGTCATTCTGTAGATACTTTATACCATAAGACTGCCTCAAGACCATAATAGCTTAACACGGACAAGGACAAGGACTGGCCCAAACAGAAGCACGAAACACGTACGGGATTGTCTGAAACCCTTTACATCAAATAAGACGGTATACTATTTCATGAATGTTTTCATAACCTGAAATGTGACAGATGCGATGTTCCATCGAGACCTTTCTCAATGTATCCCTTTGTGTACTCTGGTATTGTGAAGTCTCTGTATTTTGGAGGATTCTCTTCAGATAAAAGCTGTTTGATTGGTCCATAAACTGTGGGGTTCGGATTCATACTCGAGCTGAAAAAGCACGCGACTGAAATCCTCGGTCCAACTCTGTTTGCAAGAACCCTATGCTCAGCGCTTATGAACTTGTCGTTCGTCATCAGCTACATAAACCAACTAAAAAGTGAGAAAGCGTAATTCAACGTAACTAAATTAAACCTCTGTTCTAGGTTCGGTCTCTTATGGTTCAATGAGAGATTTACCTGCAAGAAATCACCGATGTTAATGACAAGAGCCCCGGGAATAGGCGAGACATCGACCCAACAGTCTTGATGAAGGACTTGAAGACCACCGATTTGATCTTGAAGAAGGATGGTAATGAAGGTGTTGTCGGAATGCTTACTTGTGCCTAAAGTTAGGTCAGGTTGTGGGCAGGGAGGGTAGTAATGGCAGATCATAAGCAAATCTTTCATGCAATCCATGCTCTTGAGCATCTCAGAGCTCAAACCAAGAGCTTCTGAGAGAAGTTCAAAGAGTAAACCACTCAAACTCATCACATGCTTCGAGTATCCGATCATAGCATCTCTGAGACAGTGATGTTATAAAAACTTAGCTAGAATCAATACATAACTTCAATATTTCCTAAGATTTCTCAATGAAAAATGAATTCACCTGCAAGCCACAGGGAGCTCCTCAGGAGTTGGAGGATCAGGAGTCATGTAAGAAGCGAAACTGTCTCTCCAGTTACCAGAAGAAGAACTGTAGAGTTCGAAATTATTGTGGTAGATAAATCTCTTGGTGAAGTCGAGCGAGAAGTAAGATCTCTTAACCTCAGGATCTAGCTCATGAAACCTAACAACTCCATTTTGAATCTCTTCAAGGACGCTTAAAGGAATACCATGATTGATCAACTGGAAAATCCCCCACTTCTCTGCAGCGTTCTTGATCTTCTCCACAATGCCTTCACGTGACACTGCGTCCACGTGGATGCCTGCAAAGTCGATGATAGGTATAGAGAAGTCTGAGGCAGAGACAGAAGGTGTCTTGTCATCAAAGGCAACTGGAGGAAAGCCAAAGATTGGAGGAACCTCAGTGTTTTGAGCTTCAACCACTGCAGCTTTGGTTTCATCGAAAGACTTGCAGTCGAATTCGGTTGAGTTTTTGGCCACCATTTTATGTATTTTTTTGTATCTGTTTTATTTTTCAAGATTTCACACAAAGGCTGCTTATATAGCATACACAAGAAGAAGAAGAAGAAGAAGAATAAGGAGGAGGATAAGATGAGGCAGCAGAAGAGAAACGTGGAGGAGATATCATGCAAAACATGAGAAGCGTGGAGAATCATCAATGACAAGATTCCTTTTTGGGTTGTGTGGGACCGATATTATTACCGTTTCATTAAGCTTAAAAATGTCCGTTTTGTTGACTTGAAATGTCAGCTGTTTTTTTTGTTGACAAGATTCTTTTTGGGGTTGTGTGGGACTGATATTATTACGTCATAACCGTTCGATCTAAGTTCTGCATGAGAAGCGTGAAGATCCTATTATTGGGTGTGTGGGACCCATAGTGACCATCTTCGTCAGGCTAAAAATGTCCATTTATTTTCATCAAGCTTAAATTTTTATCTGTTATTATGTTATAATTTTTTTTTTTTTATTTTGTCAAAGGGTATTCAATTTTTAATTCAGGAGACTAAAAAGTTTTACAGAGCCAAAGGCCCAGTGTTGGAAGCCCAACCATACATCAATTAAAACCAAAATTTAAACCAGAAAGAAACCCATAGACCATAGTTAAGAAAGAACCAGAACTTGAAGCAGCAGTTGTAACTGAACCAGAGAGTTGGTTGGGGAGAATTAACCAGAGAACCACCGAACATTGCCATCAACCATAGAGTTACAAGTTTTCTCCTTAATAAAAAAAAGCTTTCTCCTTATTTATACACAAACAGACATACAACTATAACAAAAACATCTACTCTAAAGATCAATCCCACCAAATAAATCCGTATAATATAAATAAAGAGCCACTTAATATGGACCGTATCTTTATTAAAGGACTCATAAATGGAATCAACGATATTGTTTTCTTTTTCTTTTTATTCAATAACTGGATCGACTCTAATCTAATGACAGGAATCACAGGATTATCCGGTAACAGGTTGCGGATATAGAGACGACCAAAGAGCTTCGAAACCAAAGATAAGCAGAAGAGATCGTAAGCGTCGATGAAGAAGCCCATACCGGCGATGACGATACCAACCAATTGGTAAAAGAGCATTTTTGCGACGTATAGTGCGTCCTTCGCGACTTTCAACATCATCTTCCCTTGCTTTCTTCTCTCTTTGTTTCACGCTTTATCGTGTTTCTTAAGTTTCAATGAAAAATTTGTTTGTTTTTTTTTTGTAAAGGAAAATAGATGTACTACTATAGTGGCTTTCACGTTTAACGTATATTTGATTTCCTACGAATTGACCATTCGCGGGGTTTGTTAAGTTCCAAATGAGAAATAAAAAAATTGTGACTCTCTTTACATTTTAGAAAAATTATATATAAAATATTTGTTACAAAAATGGCAATTGTCTAAAATATCACACTTTTTGATATTTGATCCACACTTAGCATCAGTAGTTCAAGTTTGTAATAATAGCACAAAAAATTATGTCTTTCTTAGCAACAGATTGCTCCCTATTCGAAAATCATCATAACATGTACACGATCTTCAAAGATAGATTAGTGTCCATAAATCACTAACCATCCCAGATCCTATATACTTGGTCGATGATGCGAGGACACATTTGCCTATTCACACACAACCAAAATTCTCAGAGTCACGGTTCTATATTTCTCAAAACGGTCAAACCTCTCGCTCTCTCTCTTTAGCTTTCGTTTCGGCTAATTCAACCACCCTGTTGAGAAAACTGAACAGCAGCAGTTCGGATCAAGTTGACCAGTTCATCATCTAGCTCATCGAGCTCACCTGAGTCACGAAGCTGATGGTAAATAGGAGCTGCATGATCAGCAGCTGCCTCCACCAGTTTCCACATCGAGAAACTTGCAGCTAGTTCGATTGTTTTGATCGATAACTCTCTAGCGGATTCCAAGCAAGAGAGAATCACTTTAGCACAATCGTTTTGAAGATCTTCCATTATCCACCACTCGGCTAGCGAGTTTATCTCCACGTAAGCTAAAAGCTCATGTAGTTTTGCCTCGGTGTCCATGTTGTTCCATTTGCAACCCGATGGAGGGTTTGGCAATTCGTCACAGTAGAACCAATTCACAAGCTTAGTTAGCCCCACCCAGCTCACAGGGACGTTTAGTCTATCCAAATGGCTGCAAACCAGAATATCGCAACTATGTTAGATTTTGACCCTTTTAATTCCCAAATGAAAACACTAGACAGCTCCTAAAATGCATTCGTCTCTGCCCCGCATCACAATTACATTGTCAGTAAAAACACCAAACATTTCCGTAGGTTTGGTCTACAAGAACTAAGGGTGGACACACATACCCGTACGTATACTCTGACTCACTTGGTACCGGTGAATTCCTCACTTGTGGTCCCAGGGGCCAGAAGTTCCTCACAGCGAGTTTTGGTTCAGGTAACCGCTCGAGTATTGGTATCTGTGGGTATTTGATTTTCTCATGGATACCCGTGAACCCACCCCTAACTAGAAGCTGCTAAAATTTGGCTATTTAAAAATCATAAAACTAAGACAGCCACGAACATACTTTTCGCTCTATATGCAAATGAAAAATTGTGTTAACTAATAGTAACTATTGCATACCTCTCTTGCATCCCGGACCGGAACAAGGCACGTAGGTATTCACAGCCTGACGACAGTATAACTCGATGAGAGTGAGCATGAGGAGATGTAAAGGAACACGAACGGCAGTTGAAGCCAGCCATGTTGGTTTCTTTAGGTACTAATATAACATCCCTGAAATTACAAGTAAACAGTTATCAATACCTGAGTTTATCAGATTGTTCACCTCGAAAACAATGATCAGACTGATAAAACGTACGAGAAATGGATGAATTTGGGAGTGAGGGCAAGGGGTATATCAATTCTGGGTATTGGTGACCCCCACTTGGGTCTTCTTCTGCAGAGCATCTGCAGCAGAACTTTTGACTTACAATGTCTCGCTAAAGTTTTTAGCTTTTTCCGCGCCGAACTTTCTACTTCCACATACCCCGAGTAAGCAAACTCTAATAACTTCATAAGCGCCAAAGTATCCACATTAGCAGACATGCGGATTTCTTGAACAGTTCCCTGAGAACTCTCAGTTGATATGGTCGAGCCACCGTGAGCTCTCTCCTCGGGAGGCAGCAACATTGGACATCTGACAGCGAGAATAACTTTGTTTACACTGGCACTATTCCCACTAGCAAAAACAAGTCTCATGTCACTACATTCCTCATCTTCATAAGCTCCCATGAGCCTGTTCCCCAACTTATGTTGGAAGCCATAGTATCCAAGATAGCTTAGAATGTGTCCAGCATACCACCTTGGACCAGACCCATAAGTTCCATCTCGGATCTCCTGAAGTGTGGTGCATAACCGATCTTTCACATTTTCTCTATTCAATGAAAGTTCTTCGGCATGATTCTGTTCAGAGAAAGAATGATTTACCAATTCGGCCAAAGCCAAGAGAGCATACAGAAGAAAAGCATCTTTGTTGTCCCAGTCTTCCGTACATACCCAGCAACATACCCTTTTCTCAGCGATGCTCTGGGGATAAGGAGCAAAACTTGATGCTCCAATATTGTCCCGATTCCTTTGATACCAACTACAGAAAGATAACAGTATCTCCAAACCCTGGTTTCTTAAAATGAAACTCGCATACTGAGGGATCGATGAATAGCATGCCAAGCCCACCAAGCAGACGGTAGTTTGGAGTACATTTGGCAGTACACAACCTCCCGAACATGGAATATAACTTAGGAAATTCACAAGGGAATTCAAATTTTGCTCACCATCATCTCCTAAGATAAACGAGAGGGTAGCTCTGGCCTTCGATGATATGTATTTAGATGGAGAATATATCATCATTAACACTGCTCTTGATGCTGACTCGCTTTGGGAGGCGCTGATGATATCGTTTTGGCAAATTTGATAGCCTTTTTGAACCGACCTTGAAAAGGTCAAGCTTAACAAAATCGAAAGAAAAAATAATCAAAAATCAAAACAGATAAGAGTATATCCAAAAAGTGGCGTTTGAGGAAAAACAAACAACCAGTGTCTTACCATGCACATGTGACAAGAAAGTTGAGGCGGAGTTCATCTCCACGCAAAATGGAGTCGAACTCTTCCTCACAGTGAGCTGCCAAGAATCCAATTATATCCCAAACATATGACCTCAGACTAGGTAGGAAATTCGCATTCAGTACCTTGTCAGCAACTGAAACTTCTTCTTCCAGAGACGCATAACCATCCAAGGATTGACTATGAAAATTCTCCACAACAAGACTAAGAAGCGCTTCTGAGATCCGGTACTTCCAGAAATAAATATGATGCTTTCCTTCCCAACGAGTGATTAGAGCCAGTTTACAAGCCTCCACAAGCAAAGACATCTGATCAAGTTCAAGCTTTCCTGAGCTTACGAACCACTTACCCATGGTTCGAACTGTAGCCTTTACTAGGGGCTCAGAACATATGTTTATCATCTTCAAGCACTCTTGGTTACCTGTCTGAGCAACGGTCACGGCTTAGAAGTCCATCAAATTAATTAACTAAAGCTAAACAGAATGAATCACTATTACCGCAAGCCTTTGTGCTAGCTTTAACCCTTCCATTCGAGCATTTTGGGGGCTTGATTCATCCATGCAGCTAATCATCATATCTAACATAGGCTTCCCATTATCTAGAAGCTCATTGGCACCATGACCACAAAGAGCTGAAACAGAAACACCCAAGGGACAAGTTAAGGCCAATTAATTGGATATTTGTTAGCTGATTTGGTAACAAAATATATAATTCGACAACCATATATACCTACAGAAGAATACAGCTTCAAAGTTGCAAATTTCAAGCCCATATCAGGCTTCTGACTAATATTCTCCAACATAACCATCAAGGCAGAGTTGTGCCAGACAGAATACCTTGACTGAGGCCATTTCAACATTATTGAACTCAAAAGCGAAGCCATCTCCTGAAACCATTCCACTGATATACCCCCCTCGGAAAAGTTCTGCAGATTACCAGCTACGGAAACCACAGTTTTTGCATCTTCTAAAATCTTCCACACTTCTTTCTCCTTCGTTTCTCTTACGTTCAAGAGAATTGCGTTCAAAGCAACAGCACAGGGAAGGGACACTTCCAATTGTTGAAGACTTAACAGAGGTGATAAAGACTCCACGAGATCCAAATAATATGATTGCAAGATAGAAGGAGGAACAATACGGATCAACCTAATAACTACATTGGCTGCTAAACCCACCACTGCTCTGTTTTTATACCTTAGAATAAACACCAAGGCCCCGGCTATGTCAGAAATTGAATCCTAAGCAGCACCAAAAAAAAACGAATGAAGCAGAAATTTTCAATAAACATTACGAAATTTCAACCAAACACAAATGGATCAAACTCGTCCATACCTTGATAAGACGATTGTTAGCTGTTGCTCGAGAAAAACAATCAAGAAAAGCTGAAATCGACCTCACGACATGCCTCTGTATCTCGATATCAGTACACTCCCACTTCTTCTCCTTATCAACACACACCCTCCTACCAGTCAATAGCCAAAATTACTCAGGATACAAACTCAAAAGGAAAACAAGAAAAAACAATCAACCCGTACAGAAACAACGAGATCGAGAGTAGCTAGAGTAGATAAACACAGAAAAAAAAAAGTGGAGAGAATCATGTGAATCCACAGATGATGCCAAAGACAAAGAGAGAACGATGTAGAGAATAGAGGAGGAAGAGAAGACCTGAAGCCGAGATTGAGAGCGTGATAAAGACGTTTGTGAAGAGTATTGATGTGGGCGGTGGTGTTTCCTCCTTTCGACGACGCCATAGGAGTCGCCGGAGTTGCTCTTTCGCTTCCCGTTGGACTGAAATTTACCGGCGGATTGATATCAACGGGGAAGAGAAATCGAGAGTTGGCTTATGGACCACACACAGAGACCGTCGTTTGATTTTGATAATGGGCCTATAAATAAGGCTTTTCTCTTTCAGAGGAATATGCATAATAAACGTTTTTTTTACATGATTAACAAAAAAAAACACCCCAAGTCCCAGCTCCAGCTATTTCTAAGGATACCTTGAAATTCCAAACACCACAAGAACATACATACATATATTTTGTTCAAACATAGAAACAGAAACCGAAACTATTAGCATTATATATGTTTTTTTCAATCTTTTCCTTCTGAGCATTATCAAAAGGGACAAAGAGTGAAAAGACACATTCACACTTCTACATGTTATACTTTATAATCATAACAAGAAGAACAGTTTAAATCTTATTTTGATAAAGATTTTCAACCACTTTTTCCCAAACTTGCAGTAATCTGATCGGATGAATCATGAATACCTTCCAACTTCATCCCTTCTGATAGCAACGAACAAGACTGCGAGACCAAGAACACACTCCTAACCGTCGAAGAAGAAGAAGAATCAGCAGTCGAAAACAAGTCCTTTTCTTCTTCTCTACTAAATTCTTCATATCCTCTACATTTCTTCATGTCTCTTTCTTCTTCTTCTTCTTCCACGGGTTTCACTCTCTTTGACCCATTGTAAGCAACAGCCGAAGGTACTCGTTGGTCATTAGAAGACATAGACGGGCAAAGACCTGGTTCTTTAACGGCGTTAGCCTCTAAGGCCTCGAAGCTATCCACTACAATCTCATCAGGCGCTGCTCCGATCATGATCTGTGCTTCACGAGTTCTTGATATGGCTTTAGCGAGTAGCTCACGAGCTGTGTCGATATCCACAATGGGTTTCGCATAGTTTGTTCCAAGTTCCACACCAGAAGCTTTAAGTACGGTTAAAGGAGCGTCCCATGGATGATGGATCCATTCCGTTGGCAATCTCGCAAGCTCCGGAAGCCATTGCCTTATGTACTCGCCTTCTGGGTCATATTTCGCCCCTTGTATCTGAAAACCAAGACAAACATCTTCTGAGACTTCTCTCAGTGAGAAAACTAAGGGTGAGACATCTAGCTTAAACTACTACTCTTAACATGTAATAGATAAGTCTTGAATCTTACCGCAGGATTGTCCAAGCGATCAAGCTCATGGCCATCAGGTAAGCTCCCTGAGATATACTGCCAGCCGATGATGTCACATTCCAAATCAGCATCCAAAAGAGTATCCCAGAAATACTTCATTCCCCATTTCCATGGAAGAAGAAGAAACTTCACCGCAAAGCTCGAAACGATCACTCTTATCTTGTTATGCATCCAACCAGTAGCCCAAAGCTCTCTCATTCCGGCATCCACCAATGGATATCCAGTCCTGCCTTGACTCCAGGCCTTGAACTTTTCAACATCAGCATCCCAAGGGAAAAACCGAAGATGGCTCAGCAACGAGTGCTCGTGAGTAAACGGGAAATTGAAACATATGTACCGGGAATAGTCTCTCAGACCAATCCCTCTTAGAAAAAGATTCGCGCTTTCCTCTCCTTCACCGTTCTTACCTCCTGCCCACATGATTTGTTTCATCCGGGCACACTGGAAAACACGTCTGACACTTATCTCCCCGAAATGTAGATATGGAGAGAGCAGTGAGGTTGAATTCCCAACAACTTGTTTGCTGTTCTTTGCGTAATCTATCAACTGCTTCTCAATGAATTCGTTTAGTATCTTATCAGCATTGCTCCACCCTGGGGACCAGGCTCTAGTTAACAACGCATTGCTCGGCTTCTCGGCCTCGTTTTCTAGACCTAGTTCTTCAATTGTACATGCCCAAACCGGTGCAGCCGCTAAACAAAGAAACACACAAAAACTCTCTCAACCGTCGTGCCCCGAAAGAAAGAAAATCGAAAATAAAAATGTTAGCTTTTACATGTTTTACCTGCAGTGACATGCGTCAACCGCCAAGGAGGAGGAAGCATAACGGTTTCAATCGACATGTCTAAGCATTTCTTCCAGTACAAACTAAAACTCGTAAAAGGTTTGCCCTTTTCGCAGTAAATCTCCCACGGCTCATACAGTAGATCTCCATTGTAGCTTTGCACAGAGATCCCAAGTTCCACAAGCTTCTCCTTTACGGTATGGTCCCGAACTAGCGAAACAGGATCTACAACAAAGAAACGTGCTTGCATCATCCCCAGCTTCACAGGACTAAGTGTTCGATTAAAAGAATCAAATAAGCAAGAGATCAGTGAATAGAATACCATAGAGATGATTAAAGACGACTTTTGTGGCACCAGTGGCGCGGATACAATCCAAGATCGCGGAAACGGTGTTATGGGTCTTGATAAGAGTGAGCTCAGATCCAAGAGCCTTCAAGGATTGAGATAAGTGAGCAAGTGATTGTTTCATCCACCATCTTGAAGCCCTTCCTGGATAAAACTGTCCTTCTTCCTCCGGACACCAAATGAAAACAGGGAAAACCGATCCTTCGTGAGCAGCAGCGGCTAATGCAGGATTATCCTCAATCCTTAGGTCTCTTCTGAACCAAACTATAGTCTTTTTGTTCGTCGCCATACTTATAGATCAGCGATCAAGACCAAATCAGCTAAAAGTCCACACTCTGTCCAAATTCTGCCATGATTTCAGACCAAAAGCTATTCCTGGGGGTAGTTCTATATCAATAACAGAAATTAATGATTAACTTAAAAAAGCTGTGATCTTGATTATCAAAATAGAGGCCAAAAGGGAGGGATCGATTTAATTCTAACCCTTTTCCCCAAAAAACAAAGAGAAAACACAGCTGAAAAAGATCTACTGAAATAAAACCAAGTAAGTCTTGCTTTAACCGATGAAAGAATAATCAAGAATTAGATGTTCTAAAAAATCAACTTCCTGGCAATTCTTACCAGAACTCGATCAGAGTGGATATCTCTTGGGGACAAAGATCTTCAAGGAACTATGAAGGTTATTTTTGGTGATTACCTCTCCTTGCTAATTTGGGTATGCAAGTGAAAGATTTGAGATCTAGTGGAAGACGTAGATAACTTTAGCTGCAATAATGTGCAGATAATATTCACAAGAAGAAAAAGTAGATAACTTTATCCACAACTAGTGGCGTTGGAATTTAATTGTTTTTTATTAGGAAAAAACCTGAAAAATACACTAATTATGTAAAATTTGGAAGAAAAATACATCAACTATTTTGACTCTTCAAAAAAATATGAACTATTTATTATTTTGTCTTTAATACTCAAACTATTAAGCATTCTTTTTTTTAATACTCAAACTATTAAATTTAGTGTATTTTATATGATTTAACAATGTATTGTGTTTTTTATGAAATAAATCAAATTTGAAATAAAGAAAAATAAAATTGGGTTTTTAATAAATAAATCATATATGATTTAACAATGTATTGTGTATTAAATTTAACAATGTATTGTGTATTTGGAAGAAAAATACACCAACCGATGAAAGAATAATCAAGAATTAAATTTATCATATACATTTCATATATGATTTAACACTATATTAAAATTTAGCCAAAATAACTGGTATGTTTTTCTTCTAAATTTAATATAGTTTGTATATTTTCAAGGTTTTTTCCCCTTTTTTTATTTTTACCGACACCTCATTATTCATATGCTCATCTAAGATTCCTGGGGATCGTCAACGAACTTTATGATAGAAGATATTTTACAAGAGATCGAATTTTGTTTGAAATGTAGAGTGGGCCTGAAGAGCAGTGAACTATCCTCTTCTCTTATGTTAGAGAAAAGGGTTTAGCGTTGGGGCCGAATAAGTTGGTTCATGAACACGATTCTGGTCATGCCCACTTTTATAGAATCCATTAATAAATGTTGCTGTAAGTCTTGCTTTGTTTGATTTTTTCTTTTATATTACTTTAAAGATAAGAAGAACTTCATACTCTCATTTAGTAGCCGAATCCAATCAAAATCCTCTGCTTTTACTTTACCAAAGGAAAAGGCAATGTTTTTAAAACTTGACAACTGACCGAATCGGGAAAACTCTTAGATAATAAGTTGTTCAACCGGGTTTGATAAAATTTTCCAAATAATTATATATGGATTTAGAAAGAAAAAACCAAAAGAAGTATAAAAAAGTTATGATTTAGAAACCTTATCTTTTATTTCTAAAAGTACAATAATTAAACAAAAATCAAATTGATTTGTTACCTCTTAAAAACGCAAAAGAACATGACTTACGTTTTTTAGTTAAACTCGGTTTAATACGGTTTAGTTAATTTTCATTGACGGTTCAATCCGATTTTTAATTCAATCCGGCTACACTTCCGATTCGTGGTTTAACCTGGTCTGACCACTGGTCCGATCCGGTTTAAAAACATTGAAAAAGTAAATATTACTAAATTCTTATAAACTTTGAATATTCGTATTCGAACCCTTTATTAAACTCGAATGCTCGTATACCCCAATTAGTGGACCAGTAATGCCTATTATTTTATTATTCCATTTCTGATTTATCGGGTCATGGAAAAATAGAAAATAATCTAGTTCAGGTAGATAAAACATAAAAGTAGCCGTTTCCGTCTTACTTACAAAATTAATATTCTAAATTTCTATAACAAATGATTTAGCTTGTTAGATCTATATATTAAAAGTTCAATTTAGTTAGTGGCTATAAGATATTTGGATGAATGAAACTATAAAATCAAACAACCCACATTAGAATATCAACTCAAACTAGTTATCGGGTGTTTGGTATAGATTTGATTTCTAACCCGCAGGAAAAATCCGCCTACAATTTTCATTCGAGATTCCAAAAAATAACTTTTGAAAAAGAAAAAAAAAATCTACCGTTTTGCTGCAAGACTAGACATTTATTTATTTTTTTTTTGCAACACAACACCATTACGAAAAAGTACAAAAACTCAATATCGAAGAATTCGTCAAGTTTGGGCTAATGACAAAAACCGAATTTATTCGGCACATATGTAACCATGAAGTTGCCAGTTTTACTTTTTGTTTTTATTCAATATATTAAGGTATATATTATGGGTAAACGGTAAACCAAATCAGATACATAAACCCAGACACCGTATAAATGTTATCCTGGTTTAGAAACAGACCAGGTTGTACTATGTTCATTAAAGAGACACCCAATCCACAGAGAGATTTTATAAAACAGTGTTTAGAGATATTTTTATTCCGACAAAAGCCCTAAAAGCTTTAAAAATCTCAAACCTGATAGATGGAAAATGGCTTCAGAAGAAAAGTATTGGTTTAAGAGAGGCATGAGTACGCCAAGTCCTTCTCTTCCTTTAACTCCTCTGCCGTCAAATCCATCTTCTTCCTCGATACTTCATCGATCGGAAGGCCTAATCAACCAAATACATAATTAGTAAGCGCAAATTAGGGATTCAGAATTGAGTATTTGAGTTGCAAAAGCTTTTCTTACCTTGGACAATACTCCACTCTCCATTGCGACAAGTGACAGGGAAGGAGTAGATAAGTCCTGATGGAACGTTGTACGAGCCATCGGAGTATACTCCCATGGAAAAAAATGTACCCTGAGCAATGGAACCAAATAAAAAGAATTCAAGTAAGAACGGCTATCAAAAACAGCACACTTGCGAAGAATGGGAAGAGTGATGTGAACCTCTGGAGTTCCAAGGACCCAGTCATGGATATGGTCACAAGCAGAGCTGGCAGCAGAAAGTGCACTTGACAACTTCCTCGCCTTGATGATTGCAGCTCCGCGCTGTTGAACGGTAGAGATGAATTCTCCATTCAACTACTCATCGTTCTTGACGAGCTCACGGACAGGCTTTTCTTTAGACGAAGTTTGCACCTTAGCATGGTTGACATCTGGGTACTGTGTGGATGAGTGGTTTCCCCAGATGATGACGTTCTTAACATCAGACACGGGCACACTCAACCTCTCAGAGATCTGACCCAAGGCCCTGTTGTGGTCTAGCCTTGTCAAACAAGTGATGTTCTTCTCAGGGATGGATGGTGCAAATTCCTTCAGGATCAATGCATTGGTGTTTGCAGGGTTTGCAACAACAAGAACCTGAAAAACAAAACGAGAGAGTATGTTTTTGAGCAAGCGAGTCACAAACGAAAATTGGATGAGGCTTCATTTTCAGAAAAAAAAAAAAGAAAAACGAGGCAAACAGGTCCTATCACCTTGTAGTTTGGAGCAGCAGCCTGAGACTTGTAAATTGAGACATTCTTGGACATCACATCCTTCCTCTCCATTCCTTCTTTCCTCGAGAAACCACCAACCATAACAGCAATGTTGACTCCAGTACACCCTTCAACGGCATCAGTTGTAGCAACAACGCTTGATAAGACACGTCAAAAGTTCATCATCTTTCCCACTTGAGCAAAACAACATATGGCACGGATTGCAAATATTAACAGTAAAAAATAAAGTTTGCGCAGGCATGGAAACACGGCTTCAGAAACTGAAACTACCTTTGAGAAGAGGGAAAGCAGCATCGACCAGCTCCATCTTCACACCGTTGAGTGCTTCAGCAGCAGGAGGAATATCCAACATGTGGAGGATCACAGGCTGGTCAGCACCAAGCATGATCCCCCTTGCAATCATAGGGACAAGAGCGTATCCGATTTGTCCTGTGTAATCACAACAGTTAGTTACTTTTGTAGCGGGGAACAATCGAAAACGATTTTTTCAAATACGAACTATAAAGTATATCTAATTATAAAAACAACGGTTGCCAAATCAGAGTTATAACCAAAACCATTTACAATTCATGATAATCCCTGCCAAAACCAGATATGAGAGCAACTCAATTAATTGTTGGTCAACGTTGAATCCAACCAGCACAAAATGTTATTAATCGACAAGAGTAAAAAAAAAAAAAACAAAGTTGACTTCAGCTTCAGCTTTGGGTAAAACGTCCATTTCTAGATCAAACCTCTACAGAAAGACAACGGATGATTGCAAAGTTTTAAGGGGATAAATTAGATGGCTCTTCCATGACGCACAATGATTCACCCAAACGGATAAACAAGGATAAAAAGCATCAGACTATAAGAATCCTGGTATATTCGCGGTGTTTCGAGCCTAGCAAAGTGAGGACACCCAATAAATTTCATAGGCCCAGATCCATCCAACAAAATAAGAATCGCCGTCCAATTCATTGGTCGACAAAACATTCGGACGGCATAACCAAGACTAAGCAGAGATCTGACTAGAGTAAGCAAGAGCTTTGCGTTTCACTAGCCGGAGATTCGAAATCAGAAATGAAAGATACGGGAACGAAACTGCATAAAGTTACCTGCAGCCCCTGTAACGAGAACACGAACTGGTTCCTTCGCCATCGGATCTAGATCAGAGATTATCGCCGGTCAACGGATCGGTGTTTGGGATTTCCGAGAGAGCGTAGCGTCTTGTATCCGTGAAGCTCGCTCTGGTTTATTTATTGGTGGGAGATATCGAAAGTGTCATGCCACGTCATCTATTTTAATCATATTATCTCGAAAGAATAAAAAATCTGAGATCACAGGATTAACTTTGGAAATTGGATATTCAATAAATCTATACTTCCAATGGGCTTTTATATCTAGTATGGGCCTTCATGAGGAAATAAGGCCCAGAAATTTGAGCCCAGACTTTTAAACCGTGATTAAACAGTAGAGATATGGCGATAAGGCGAGAACCACGTCCAATAGATTCTCCGACATGGCGTCATCTTACGTCACCACCTTCTCAACTGTCACCCCGGCGGTTAGCGGCAACAACAGTATCGCCAACACCCAAGGCTTCGTTCCATCCTATTTCACGCGCCGCCGTGTAATTTCATCACCGAATGCTCGGAGGAGAATATGCAGAACGCGGGTTTTGGCGAAAACCTCGACGGAGAAGGATATGGAGTACAGGAAATTAGGGGACTCCGACCTTAATATTAGCGAAATTACCATGGGCACTGTAAGATGAAATCTCATTTGCCTCCTACTACGTTTCTGTTTTTCTTTTAAATTTTCGGAACTGTAAATTCATTTTCTTGAAGAGTTGGTGAATCGAAAGGACAAGTGCTCAGTTTTGGGTTTCTTAAACCTGAATTTATGTAATGGCCGAGGAATATTAGTTTAGTTCTTAGTGTTGGCTTGACTTGTGTGATCAGAAAGATTATCATTTGTTTTCTTCTGTGTAAAATCATTTCAGATGACATTTGGGGAGCAAAATACTGAGAAAGAATCTCATGAGATGCTGAGTTATGCAATTGAACATGGCATCAACAGCATTGACACTGCTGAAGCCGTGAGTTTTTATCTTATTTGTTCATCTTTCTCTTTAAAATAGTGTAACTTGATTAAAGGAACTTGAGTATTTTGGTAAATATTTCTAGAATGAGCACTGTTGTTTCAACTGTTTGGCATTTTAAACAGATATACATCATTATCCAGTTGTTAAAATTTAAAAGGTTTCTCTCATCTGATTACTCGTGTGGTTGATCTATTTTAGTGATTTATCAATTCATTTATTGATTTTTTTTGTTTTCTTACAGTATCCTGTCCCGATGAAGAAGGAGACCCAAGGTAAAACGGATCTTTATATCAGCAGCTGGTTGAAATCTCAGAGCCGTGACAAGGTACCACCATTTGTCATATGCTTCGGTTTGTGGATTCTATCGATAGATAAGGAACTAATCTATGCTGTCTCTGACTGACTCTTTCTTACATGCTATTACCGTTTAGAAAACTTTATCCTTCATGTTTCAAGTCATCATTGTATTTGTCAATGCTAGTAGAATTTTAAATTGATGCTTTTCTGCGTACAGATTGTTTTGGCAACTAAAGTATGTGGGTACTCAGAGAGATCAGCTTACTTGCGGGACAATGCCACAGTTCTGCGTGTAGATGCTGCTAATATCAAAGAAAGTGTCGAGAATAGTCTTAAGCGCCTTGGAACTGACTACATTGATTTGCTTCAAATACACTGGTAACATCGGCTTATTTCGTGCTCTAATCCTAACTTCTATGCTATATTCATCATCGAAAGTCGCAAAAATAATGAATCTGATGTTTTTTTCAGTCCAGGCCAGATCGGTATGTAGCACTCTTTGGTGATAACTGCTATGATCCATCGAAATGGAGAACTAGTGTGCCATTTGTCGAGCAGCTAAGAGCCTTCCAGGATCTCATAGATGAAGGAAAGGTAGTGCTATTCCTTAACCATCAGATATGTTGAGTTGGTTTTTCTTTATCAGTAACGCTACAGATTTAAAAAGCTTGCAATTCCTTCTACTGTTGTAAATCCCAAAACAGAAATCTTGAAGTTTCCGTGAAATAATTCTGTGACAGATTCGCTACATCGGTGTCTCAAATGAAACTTCATATGGAGTGATGGAGTTTGTTCATACAGCAAAAGTTGAGGGACTACCAAAGATTATAAGCATCCAGAATGGTTACAGCTTGCTAGCTCGATCCCGTTTTGAAGGTTGTCGTCTCTCTAGAAACATAGAAAACAGTAAAGACATTAGGTCTTATGACCGTATTAGTATGTCCTAAAATCTGCTGTTATCTTGGGTTAATATCACAGTTGATCTGATAGAAGTATGTCACCCAAAAAACTGCAACATTGGCTTGCTTGCTTATTCCCCACTTGGAGGCGGCTCGTTGTCTGGGAAATACTTGGGTACGGACTCAGAAGCTACAAAAAATGCAAGGCTGAATCTTTTCCCAGGATTCATGGAACGTTACAAGGGATCCCTAGCCAAGGTTTGTTCCTGATCCAACTATGCTTAAGAAACGTGATAATTCTAAAAGTCACCTCGTGAAATGTGTTTTTCTTTGAATCTTAGGAAGCAACGATACAATACATTGAGGTGGCGAAGAAGCACGGTTTAACTCCGGTAGAGTTAGCTCTCGGGTTTGTACGTGACCGTCCGTTTGTGACGAGCACCATCATCGGGTCCACATCGTTGGAACAGCTTAAAGAAGACATTGATGCTTTTCTGATGACGGAGCGGCAGTTTTCGCCGGAAGTTATGGCTGATATTGAAGCCGTTTTCCGAAGGTACAAAGATCCTTCTTTCTTTTGATAGAAAAGGTTTCTTATGAGTTTGTGACCTCACGTGAAGGTCTTTTTTATTATTCCGATGTTTGTATATTAAGTTATTTATAGACTTGGGATAAAATAGTGGAAATTGATATCGTCATCATCACAGCTAGATCTGTATCCCCCAGCTTCAGATTTCGTAAGGGTTATGTAGCGATATTAATTTGATTGATGAAAGGTAGTTAATAAATCGAATAACATGAGTTAAATGGTGTATAAAATAAATCACCGATCGTCATGTTGGAGTGAGTAAATCACCGACACATTGAATAAAAAAGAACGCGTTCACGGATTTTTTATTCCGCGTTGATATGAATATAGGACAGTGACTTCTCACAATAGGCTATTGGTTTTTTTTTGGGCAACTGGTTTTCTTTCTTATTCATCAAGTCACTTTTTTCATTTAAGCAAACAAAAGATGCCATACCAGGGGTCCAGAACTACGACGAAACAAAGAAAATTGCAAGAATTAATTAACTCGAAAAGAAAGATAAAACACCATGTGGGTTGTTGTTACTTATTAATGATAGAAATTGAAAACGCATTATGTCGAAGCTACTTGCAGTCTTGCAGAGATTACAAAATCCCCAAAAAAGTGGTTTTTCCCATATATCAACAATTAAATTGCCTAGACTCCAAATAAGTAAGTATATAATAAAAGAAATTTTACAGCAAGTCGACAGAAGTGTGGACACAGAGCTAGACAGAGAGACCTTTCAAGCTTTACAACGAAAACACTGTACTTATCGCCCAAAAATAGGAAAAAACATTTAGCCAGTGAAAAAGGCATCATTCCTGAGATCTGAATCTCTAAAGTTTTTATTTATTTTATTTATTTTATGATTTTTCCCATTCATATGCAAAAATCGTCACTCTTTAATTTAAAGCCAAGAGAATAACTTGGCTCACTCCCATTCTCGGATCTCTCGTTACCAGTGGACGTCGACTCTTTTTAGTCGGTGAGTGTTCCGTTTTTTCCCTTTTCTTCCTGGGTTTTTGTCAAGATTCGATTTTTATATTCAATCTGGTTTTCGTTTTCTTTTTGGCTATTGAGATTCGTTTCCGCATTTGATTTCATTCTTCGTGTATTAAGAGTGTTTTCGTTTTTTTTTTTAAATCAATGTGTGTTTGTTTCAATTTTCCCGGGAATTTGAGACTTTCCATTAAAAGCTTTACCGAGAAAGTGGAAGCGGACACTCTACTCCCAGATCTACTAGTTCTACTTCAATTCAATCTTTGACTGAGGAAAAAACAAAACTTGTCGGTAGCTATTTTTTCTTTCCAAAATTATAGATTTATACGGTTACTTGGTTTCCACTTAACATCAGGCTCTGAATCAAGATACTTGTGTGTGGTTTCTGACCCAATAAACACGGATCTGACTCTTCCAAGGCTGTTTTTTTAATCCCTCAATCTATTGATTAACTTTGTAAATGTGATGTTGAGTTTAGTGCCAGTGACTATCTACTAAACTTTAATACTAAATATTCTCAGACATTTGACTGGTTAAAGTCGTTAAGATTGTTCTGTTCTTGATTTATGCAGAAACTCATATAGAGAGAGAGGGAGTGAGAGAGGAAAGCCTTTGTTTACAGCGCTCTTAAAACCCTTAAAGCTCTTTTGATTTATTGGGGCTGAGAAGGAAGTTGCTTTTTTTATGATGAGAGGGAGATCTGATGGAGGCCAAAAGAAGCGGCTAGTTGCTTCGGTCTGCATCGTGGCTTTATTAGTCTGTTTCTTGTATATGTACTATGGTTCCTCTAGCCAAGGTGCATCAGCATTGGAATATGGAAGATCATTGAGAAAACTCGGATCGTCTTACTTGGGTGGAGATGATGATAATGGTGATATCAAGCAGGATGGATCTCTGACCAATGTAGAAGACAGCCTTGCTGTGGCCAAAAGTTTCCCTGTAAGTTGTTTTTTTTTTTTTAGAAATCTCAAAGTTTTATGAGTTGAGATGTGTTAATGCACTAAAAGCTAACTTTTGGTATATATCCATAATTCTAAGGTTTGTGATGACCGGCACTCGGAAATAATCCCTTGCTTAGATAGGAATTTCATCTACCAAATGAGGTTGAAGCTGGATCTATCTCTTATGGAACATTATGAACGACATTGTCCCCCTCCTGAAAGAAAGTTTAATTGTTTGATTCCTCCTCCATCTGGCTACAAGGTGCTAAAAATCTGCTTTCTTCTTGCTTTGATTTGATCTGTTTCTGGTACCTATTCCTGATTGTTGGGTATTGATTTGGTTTCAGGTTCCTATTAAGTGGCCTAAGAGCAGAGATGAAGTGTGGAAAGCAAACATACCTCACACTCACCTTGCAAAAGAAAAATCTGATCAGAACTGGATGGTTGTAAAAGGCGAGAAAATCGTGTTTCCAGGTGGTGGCACTCATTTCCATTACGGAGCTGATAAATATATTGCATCGATTGCAAATGTAAGCCTTTTTTTGCTCGGTTACTTGAAAACCTTTTTCTCTAATGATGATAAACTTGTTTCTAATGATCTTCTTTACTTGCAGATGCTTAACTTTTCTAACGATGTATTGAACGACGAAGGGAGATTAAGAACGGTTCTCGACATTGGATGTGGAGTTGCGAGTTTTGGAGGTTACCTTCTCTCCTCTGACATAATGGCAATGTCAGTAGCGCCTAATGATGTTCACCAGAACCAGATTCAGTTTGCATTAGAGAGAGGCATCCCTGCTTATCTCGGTGTTTTAGGTACCAAGAGACTTCCTTACCCGAGCAGATCATTCGAGCTAGCTCATTGCTCTCGGTGTAGGATAGATTGGCTCCAAAGAGACGGGATCCTTCTTCTCGAGCTTGATCGGGTACTAAGACCTGGCGGTTATTTCGCTTATTCGTCTCCTGAAGCTTACGCACAAGACGAAGAGAATTTGAGGATCTGGAAGGAGATGAGTGCTCTCGTTGAAAGAATGTGTTGGAGAATCGCTGCTAAAAGAAACCAAACTGTTGTTTGGCAGAAACCTTTGAGTAATGACTGCTACTTGGAGAGAGAGCCAGGGACACAGCCTCCTCTCTGTCGCTCAGACGCTGATCCTGATGCTGTTTCTGGTGTGTCCATGGAAGCTTGCATCACTCCTTACTCCAACCGTAAGTATGCTCTGCATTTGCTCTGTTTCTGGTATTTCGGTTTCGTTTATATGCCGTAATTTACAGTCTTGCTCTGTTTTCTGTTTTTGTTTTGTAACAGATGACCATAAAACCAAGGGAAGTGGGTTAGCTCCTTGGCCAGCTAGATTGACCTCTCCACCTCCACGTCTTGCAGATTTTGGTTATTCAACGGATATGTTTGAGAAAGACACGGTACTAAAATTCGCAATCTTTTCGTGACCAATGGATCTTTTTTATAATTTTATTAAAGCACATTTGCTTTGTTTATCTTCTTTGTTTGCAGGAACTTTGGAGACAACAGGTGGACAGTTACTGGAATCTAATGTCATCAAAAATCAAATCAAACACTGTGAGGAACATAATGGACATGAAAGCTCATATGGGCTCTTTCGCAGCTGCTCTAAAAGACAAAGATGTTTGGGTTATGAACGTTGTCTCTCCCGACGGTCCCAACACTCTAAAACTGATCTACGACCGTGGTTTAATCGGCTCAAATCATAACTGGTACAAACCCCAAAATCTCAAAACTTTCCCTCAATCATATGATGAAACAAGAGTTCACATTTTCACATGTTTTTCGTTTCCAATTGAATTCAGGTGCGAGGCTTACTCTACATATCCCCGAACATACGATCTCTTGCATGCATGGACCGTTTTATCAGACATTAGAAGCAGAGGATGCAGCACGGAGGATCTATTAATAGAGATGGATCGGATTCTTAGACCTACAGGTTTCATCATCATCAGAGATAAGGAAAGCATCGTTGAATCGATCAAGAAGTATATGCAGGCTTTGCATTGGGAGATTGTGGCATCGGAGAAAGTAACTACAGGTTCAGAGCTTGACCAAGACAATGAAGATGGTGAGAGCAATGTCGTTTTTATTGTCCAGAAGAAACTGTGGCTCACCAGTGAAAGCCTTAGGGACACTGAGTAATCAAAATCAAAAGCACAAGGAGAAAAAAAGAAGAAATAAATTGTTTTATCCCACAAGTTTTTATAGTTTTATCTTTTGATTTTTGTTAGTTGATTGTACAACATAAGCGTTACTATATAGTACTAAAATTATTCATTGTTTTAACTTTCTTCAAACATTCTTAATTATATGAATTATGATCTTATCTGTGTCTTTAGAATACATATCTATAATTCAACTCTTTAGACTAGCCATGGTTGGTTTGAATGTTTAACTACTGTCGACATATGTGTTTGACAGGTTGTTGAAGAAAATGTAAAACAAAAGATAAGTTAAAATAAAGTACTTTCGCCATCGAAATACATACAGTACTATGGAAAAGAAAGTTGTTCCAAGAATCACCAAATAAAAAAAGGAAACGAATTGGGATGATTTCGAATCCCTGAATAATACCAAAACGTCTTCAATTTTAAAAAGGGTTTGGAAAAAATTTCAGTCTTCCTTTTATTTGACTTCAGGAAAGAAATTAATTATTCTAAATATTCCGTTTAATTAATAAAAAAAAGGAAAGGGCATCCGATTCAATAAAAATAATTTATATTAATGATAATGGACCTTTTTGTTGAGATTTATTGCTGTAATATATTTTGACTGAGCTACTAATTTTTAATTAATATTTACCTAATAGTGCCAAAATGAAAATTAAATACATAAATATATTAGGTAACCTTTATTTTACATTAGCATGTGGGAAGATTGGAAAGAGCGTTTATACAAACAAATAAGTACGCAACTAAAGCAGAGTTATTGACCTTTTTGTCTATTCAAGATAAGGCAAAACAAATATCTCGAGGAGGCCCTTCTGATTTGTGATTTTCAGATTCTTTCCAAGAAAATCAAACTGAATCCAGCTCAATCCGTCACAGTCTAGATCAAATTTCACCTTCATTTTTCGTCAATCCCATAACGTTTCTCTCCTGCCGATTTTTATTGCAGTATTTTTTTTATTCACCTGATCTAAAGTCTGAAGCTTGGTTTCAGTCACAGCTCGATGATGATGATGGTTTGTAAATGGGTGATTTCAATTTGGTTGTAGCAGAAGCTAAGTTTGTCAAGTAGAACACTTTAGGTTATTATTTCGTTAATCGATTTGGGTCAAAAACACTTTGTTTGATTCATCAAACGACGAAAAACGATCAAATCTTCTATTTTTGTGAATTTGTTTCTCAAAGAAGAAAATTCTATGTTTTTTTTTTTTTTTTACTAGAAGTTCGTGATCATATTAGGTAGAATAGTTTGTATATAGGTCTTTGGGAAACCGATCTAGGTGTGTCCACTCGATCGGGTTTTAGCGTCGCTATTGGTGATCTGGGTGAAAGTAATTTCAGAGATCAAAGGTTACTAAAGCACGAGTTCTCATCACCAATAAACATTGGGTTTATAACACACAGAAGAAGAAAAAAGGCCACTTTTTAATTCATTTGTTGGAGATTGAAAAAAATGGATCGTGTGGTTGGTGGCAAGTTCAATCTGGGACGAAAGCTTGGAAGTGGATCATTTGGTGAAATTTTTCTAGGTATTGAATTTTAATTTTACTTGATTTTTTGTTTTCTTGTTTATGTATTTTACCTTTTCTGATTTTTTTTCCTGAATTTGTTTTGTTTCAGGAGTGAATGTACAGACTGGAGAAGAAGTTGCTGTTAAGCTGGTAAGTTGTAATGTGAACCATTTCCATCTTCATATTCAAGTTTTACTATTTCTTTTTCATGAGCTTAGTGAAGCTTATAATTCTTATCCTATAATGTAGTAATTGCTTTTTTTTCCCTGGTCATTGTGAGTTTTATGCTGGTTATGTTACAACAACTGGAGTCCTCATTTTTGCATTTTATCCTCCTTTGATTACACTCCACAGTTGTCTTGGGGTTCAAACTCGATAAATACTTCTCATCCTTGTGTGTTGATATTTTGCATCTTCACGCAGGAACCTCTTCGAGCTAGGCATCCTCAGCTTCATTACGAGTCAAAGCTCTATATGCTTCTCCAAGGAGGAAGTAGGTTTTGCATTTATTGTTCACTCTCAAGTTCAAGTCATGAACCTACAATCTTCTTTCTTTGTTTTCATATAATATATTCCTTGTTTTCTTGAAGCTGGTGTTCCTCACCTCAAATGGTTTGGAGTCGAGGGTGAATACAACTGTATGGTGATCGACCTTCTGGGTCCTAGTATGGAGGAATTTTTCAACTATTGCAGTCGATCTTTCTCTTTGAAGACAGTTCTAATGCTTGCTGATCAGATGGTATATATTTTTCCCTTCTCTTTTTTTTTTTTCAAAAATGTATGTTTGCATGTACTTACATTTTGGTTTTCTATATTGAATTCTCCAGATTAATAGAGTCGAGTATGTGCATGTGCGAGGGTTTCTTCATCGTGATATTAAGCCAGATAACTTTTTGATGGGTCTTGGACGCAAAGCAAACCAGGTGAGTTCTCAAGGACCACTTACTGTTTCGAGAGCTTTGGCAAGGGAGTTACATTTGTTTATCTTCTCTTTTATACATCTTCGTTTATTCCTTTGCAGGTTTACATCATTGACTTCGGGCTTGCGAAAAAGTATAGAGATCTTCAAACACACAAGCATATTCCCTACAGGTACATACTTAGACTCGTCATGTAGAAAAGAATCCAGCTTGTGTTTAACTCCCAACTTGTATTGCAATTGTATTTTTCAACTTGTTCAATGTTTCCTGTCAAGCAACCTTTGTACCCAAAGGAATTTGCGACTGCCAAATTTCATTTGTTCACTTGGCTTCTCAGGGAAAACAAGAATCTTACAGGAACAGCTCGATATGCAAGTGTTAACACCCATCTTGGAATTGGTTAGTTTTTTGGCCTCTCATATTTGCACGAGGAGGCTCTTGTCTTTGCTTTTTCCATCATTTTGTACACTTCATAAGTTTCTTAAATAATATTCTAATATAATATCTCGTTCACAGAGCAAAGTAGGAGGGATGATCTGGAATCTCTTGGCTATATACTTATGTATTTTCTTCGAGGAAGGTAAATTGATAAATCTACACTTTTCTATGCTTCCTTGTGTTATCGTTGTCCCTGATCCTTCAATTCTGTATCAGCCTTCCTTGGCAAGGCCTTCGCGCAGGAACCAAAAAGCAGAAGTATGACAAGATCAGTGAAAAGAAAAGACTTACACCTGTGGAGGTATTGGTTCCCTTTCCAATAAAAATAAACTTGTGTGTGTCTGGTATATTGACTGTCGAGGTTTTTGAATTCAAAGTTTTGAAGTTGAGAAGTGTATTAGATATTCTTAAAAATTGTCTTTGGCAGGTCCTCTGTAAAAACTTTCCACCTGAGTTCACATCGTATTTCCTCTATGTGCGTTCATTACGGTTTGAAGACAAACCAGATTATTCATACCTAAAGAGGCTTTTCAGAGAACTATTTATCCGAGAAGGTTGAATTCACTGATGTACTTATGTTTGAAGACATTTAACAAAACACTTAAGCAATTGCTTTGATTTTTATTTGTGCAGGTTATCAGTTTGACTATGTATTTGACTGGACAATATTGAGGTATCCGCAGTTCGGTTCCAGTTCCAGTTCCAGTTCCAGTTCCAAACCAAGAGTAAGTCCACCATTTTTAAGCTATATGTGCGGAATCGTAATTATTTAAAATAAGAGTATCATCCTTCTCATGCTTTTCCTCTGTTTCAATAGCCAAGCCTAAGACCAGCTATGAATATTCCAGTACCATCTGCCGAGAAAGCTGAAAAGCCTTCAAGTAAGTATCAGATTTTAAACCTGCTTCTGCTTAGAAACTTTTTTGACTTTACAATCACTGGTAGAGTAACTCTTTATTCATTGCTCAAGTTTCTCTGTTTACCCGGTTTGATTTCTGAGCTGAAGTTAACAGTATACTGTTGTTGAAGAAACTCAGACAACTAACAAACTGTTTTTCTGAATAATACGCAGCTGGGCAAGATACTCGCGATAGATTCTCAGGTGTTTTCGAGGCATACACCAGAAGAAGTGGCTCAGGAACCGGCGTTCAAGCTGATCGCTCTAGTAGACCAAGAACTTCAGAGAATGTTCTTGCATCCAGAGACACGGTTAGTCATCAAAATACCTCCTTAAAAATCCAATTTTTTTTTATTCTTTGGTAACCGGAAGATCTTAAACCGAAAACAGTCCTACCTCTAACTGTGGACTGACACAAAAGAGCCTTTCGTTTTGGTTGAATCAGCTAAACCAGGAGAGATCAATCACTTCATCTAGGAACCAGAGCTCTTCAAGAAAAGCAGTTGCGGGGTCAAGCGTTCGAGCCACTGCCTCGGCTGATTTCACAGAGAATCGATTAAGCAGACTCGTCCCAAACAACGGCCGGTCCTCGACAACTCAGAGGACCCAGTTTGCTCCTTCGTCCTCCTCTTTAGCACCAAAGGCTGCATCATCGAGAATCCCGCCTGACCTTACGCTCGAGTTCCTCACTATTGGGAACGGGAAGAGGAAGTGACAGCCAAGTTCACGGTTGGATGATACTTTTACATCTTTGTTTGAGACATTACTGTTAGAAAAAAGAATCAAACATGATTTGTTTTAAATGTATGTGATTATATATATTCGCCTTTTTAGCTTCGTAATATGTTTGCCAACGTGTATCGTGCGTTAAATGTGTCTGAACTCTGAATGCTATGCGTGAACACCAAAAAGTATGCATGAACATGTTTAATTAGCGGAATAAACAACACATCAATAGTCGGCTCAGCTGTATAACTTATTTATGCATTCATTTCTATCTTTTTCGCTGATTCATCATGATATACAAAAGTTAAGAAAAATATTGATACCTTTTAATTAGTTTTGCTATTTTGTAAACATTAGCTGTCATTTTGTTGTTGTCATTTTATCTAATTTACTTCTTATAGTAATGGAAAATATTATTAAATTCTTATAAAGTAATGTAAGAACATGTGATTGGATCCAATTTTTGACATTTTTTTTGTCCACTTTTAATATTATCTTAACATTTTGATTTTGGTGGTATAGCAATCCTAGGAATAAATCTCTGCCTATGGAATAGAATCACATGTACACTTTACCATTTGAATATTGTGTTTTACTGTCTTATATACTTACTAATTAGTTACGAATCAAATTTAACCTGTTAAATCACATTTGCATGATTTATGACGATTTGTATTTGGATTTGTTTTCTATACAAATTTCATGAACCATTTACTCGTTTCCCATAAGCGAAGTAATTAATTAATTCAATTTCTTTATAAAGTATAAAGATGAATCTTTCTGACAAACAAATTTCTAATAGTTAACATCACAGATGGAATAATCCACATGGAAGACCAGGAACAAAGAACTCTTTTTTATTAATATTTACTGAAATGACTATTTACGATTTACCAGAAGAAAACTAATACAGTAGAGTAAAACAATAAAGAAAACAGAAAGGTCTTCCCTTAACAGAAAAAACAAGAAAAAGAAAAAAAGAAAGAAAAATTCCTATAAGTGTTGGATTAATTACCCACAAATAATCAACCTCCCATTAATATCCTTCGCAAAATGATAAACAATCATTATTGTTATTCTTAAGTTTTTAATTACCATTAAATCATCCTACCATTTAACTTTTCCTTACAATGTTTGACTTCTTTATATGATTAGATATATCTATATATATAGATTCCTTTGTCTTTTATAGAATTTTATTTCTAAAAAAAATCTGAAATAAATTCATGCATGATGATGACATATAAATTCATCATCATTATCATTATCATATCAAATTAAGACAATCTTATTATCAAACGTGGAAATATATTTCCTTAAAGATAGTGTTGGCATCATCACCTCACTTTTTCAGACACAAAGCTTAATTGTATATAAATAGTGCAATAGATGTGCCTATCATTCCCATGTCATACAGCTATCTCTCCCTCTAAATCTCAATCACTAATACATACATATAAAGATTTGCAGAAAATGATTAGTGGGTTTGGCATGAAAAAAGATCTCATGCGATCTTCAAAACCCCAACAATGTTCTCTTTGTAACCGAATCTTCTTAACACCTCTAGACCTAATCTCACACTTGAACACTTTTCACTCCAATCATCATTTTTCCACCTTCTCTTCCTCTGCCGCCGCCGCACCCGCACCCACCACCTTCCGTCACTACCCGAAACTAAACCGGAACCCTAATCATGCTTTTCCGGCAAGGAATCGCTTTGACTTGAATTATTACCGTAGTGGTTTCATAGATGAACAAGGGAGATTTCATAAAGGATTTCCGGCGGTAAATCCGGCCAGAAAATCTAACTTTATGTTCGGGCAGGAAGAGGAGCCGAAGCTGATGGATCTTTTTCCGGCTATGTCATCGGACGGTGTTCGTACGCTTCCGCTTCTTCACCAGCTGGAGCAACGGAGACCGCAGGATGCTGTGACGTTGAAAGGCGGAGCCATCTCGAGTTCCATCGACTTGACATTAAGGCTGTGAGACTTTGCTATAAACCAAGCAAAATATGATTCATTGATTCTCGATCGGAGAAATTAGGGTTCTTGAGAAGCATTATTCTTATTATTGTTGTTGTTTTGTTGTAGTTGTGGTTTTTGTTTATGTTGTTTTGTTTTTTTTTGTTTGTCTTTTTTTTTGGGAATGGTTAGTGTATTATGTATTTCTTTTTTTTATGAATGTTTCTTCATGAAGAATATTTCTTGATTATCAGACGAGAACCCATATAATGTTGATCAAATTTGTCAGGCGCCGAAACAACAAATGCCTAACTTTTTTATATATATATCAAGATTTGATGTATTTTTTCTCCCACTGAGAAAAACAATCCTTATCATCTTTGGTTTTGTTTGGAACTGCGAAAAACAATCCTTATATTTTCTCCATGAAATCCCCCAAACCATTTTGCAATTACAATTTTGTCATTCTAGAAGAAGAAAAATTATATGGGTTACTAGTCTTTTCTCCTTCCTCTCGAGTCTCGACCCGGAAAATCCTCTCGTCGACTAGTTTTTATTTATTTATTTCATGGAGGATTCAGTAAACTCACATTGCCTCCATTAAATTAGAAAAGAAAATCTATTTATAAAAAATTATATAAACATTAAAATTAAAAACCTTGAAAAAGTTATTTTCTTTTTTTTTGGTACACGGAATTTTGAGCTCTTCCGAAACCTAATCTCTGAATCTCCCTCTCCCTCTTTCCAAATTTTTTTTTCGATTATCTCTCTGTTAAGAGAAAATCAAAATCAATGCGGTAGAGGTTTAAATTCTCTGATCTCGTTAAATGATTTTTCTAGCCCGAATGTTTTTTGGCAGACTCTCTTAATCTGTCAAGATTCCTTTAAATAACAGAAACGTTGATGATTTATTCTTTTGTTTGCTCTACAAGTTAGGGATTGGCGCATTCACAGAACTGCAGCGTCTGAAGTTCTGACCGGAAATCATTCCTCCCGAAATGACAGCAAGCGTGAAAGGCTTTTTTAAAGGCCTTCGCTACATTACTCAAATCTTCGGTGAGTCATGTTTCCACTTCACAAGTGACAACAACATTTTGATTGTTTCTTGTAACACAAGTCACATCTCTGTGCAGACGAAGATAAAGACCATGATATGCAGATCGGGTTTCCCACCGATGTAAAGCATGTAGCCCACATCGGATCCGACGGTCCCGCAGCTAATTTGCCAAGCTGGGTACGGTTTGTACATTTCTACGTATTTCGCCACATATTTATACGTAATTATAAGCATACTCATCATTTGGTTGGAAAACAAACAAAAATGTAGATGAGTGACTTCAAACCTCAAGAAAATGAGAACGGTCAAGTAGTTACGAGAGGAGATGCCAACGACACTCCAATAGGAGAAGGAGTTGGATTACAAGAGTTGCTTCCTCCTCCGGAGAAACCGAAGCAGAAGAAGAAGACGAGGCGTAAATCCGAGACAGCCTCGCAAAACGGTTCTCCGCCTAGGCGAAGCAGCAACGTGTCGTCATCGGATTTGCTACCAAAACAGTCAAGACGTCACCACAGGAGTAGGCACGGGTCGATAGATTCATCGAATGATCCATCAGTGAGGAGGAGGCGTGTTCTCTCGGTAAACGACATGGAAGGCCCTCTTTCAGACAGTTCTGCTCCACAAAGAAAGTCTACATCTCGCCACAGGAAGGTCAAAGGATCAGGAGGAGGAGAGCAATCCATGAAGAAGACACACTAAAACTCTCCTATAAAAATTGTGCAATCAGTCGATATATGTATTAATGATAATACCAGCGACAAAGACTAAAAACATAGATCTTAATTGGTCACCCGTCGCTGTGTGTATGTATGTGAATGGTCTCGTGATTCTTGACTGTTCCATAGATAAAAACATATTTGTTTCACAGATACGATTAGAGATTCAAGCTGTTGCAGTTCTGGTCGAAACGATGATCATTGAATGATTCTATACTGAAGAAGATCAAAGCTAGGAAAAAACAAAAGCACTTTTGAATTTTTAGATATCTCATAAAGATTAATCAACAAATTTCTACTTGTTACGAAGATCTAAAGTGAACATTTGCAAAAATGTTTGAAATTGCCAAAACTGCAAAAGAAGCCATGGAAAGACAGAAGATTTGAACCCCAATTTCACAGTCATCGAAGATTGTTTGCGTTTGCTGTGGTGTATCAATCACAATTTAGCACCAGATATTTCGTTACAGGACTTGAAACAGTGATCAATTCTAGTCAATTTCAGACAACCGAACGGAAGCTACCCCAAAAATTCAAACTTTAACACGGAGTTAATCGATAGTGAAATCACGCAAAAGAATGTCCCCACAGCTAAACCCAAATAATTCGAAGGAGGAAGAAGAGTTCAGGGAAGCGTACGAGCGACGATAGGTTGGAGGGAGGGAGCGGAAGAAAAAGCTATACGATTAATGACGTCACTGCAACCATGTGAAATTCTTACGCCACTGAGTCGCGAGGTCAGAAAACCGAGTTCCGTTGATGTCTTCATTGCCTTAGCGACTGATTTCGGCGGAGAAACAGAAGCAATACGCAGCCATGGCCCTTGCGTCGCCATTGTCGCCAATTTCCTCAGACTCAAACTAGGATAATGCCAAGGAGGAAGGGGAACGGAAAGGAAAAATAGAGCATGCAAACGGCGTCGTTTAAAGGTAGATTGCTAACTCGGTTAACGCTAAACCGAGCTAACATATTTAGGTGAATTTCGTACCGAATATGTATATTTATGGGCTTATTATATCAACAACGGTTTTTCTATTTATCTCTATATATCATACAGGCCGACGAGTATTTTACTTTACACAACGATCAAGTTTTTTTTTCCTTTATCTCGTGTCATCTTCGTTTACCCAATTGGAACGATTTTTTCAAGAACTGGTTAGCAACACGATCGTTTCTATAGCAAAGGACTCGCAATATCGTGTTCGGATCCGACCTGTTCCATCTTCCAGTGGTCGGAGGCATAGGAAGCTTCTGTCCCGTCCCGACCAATCCCATCCCGCTTGATTCGCAAGTCACGATGCTAAAATCTTCCATAAGTTGCTCCGTTGGTTGACCCATCAATTCCACAACTCCTTCCACCGTCTCCGCCTCTCGATCCACCACTTCCTCCGGTATTAACCCTTCTCCGCAAGTGCAATAAACTTTCTTCAAGCTCTCGAAATCTTCCTCGATCAGATCGTGATCCGTTCGATCGAAAACTCGGGAATACCCTCCGGCTAGCAGAACCGTTAGAAACACTTCGAACGAAGCCTTCATGACTTCTCTCATCGCTAATGCTTGTGCTCGATCCGCAAGAATAGCGGTCATTAACGTCAAGTTCTGTTTCAAGATTCGTAACGCGGGTTTGATCCTCGCGTTAGCGACATCTCCTACGTAGAGACTCTCGTAGAAGACCGAGTGTGAATCAAGGAAGATTAGCCTGTACGCTGCGACCTCAGAGACATGTTGGCAAGCGGATTCGATTCCAGCTTGCGTGAAGTCGAAGTAAGAGGACGAGCTGGTCCTTTTTTCGCGGCAGCGTTTTCTAGTCGCTGGGAGGACCCTCGGGTTGAGAGAGAGGGCTTTGTTGAGAGAGTGAAGCTGAGAGCTTAGGAAATGTAGAGTGTTGAGACGAATGTAGAGGCGTTGGGTCCCGCGGCTTGTGGAGGGTCGCGGGTGGTGACCATCGGAGATAGCGGAGGCGCCACCGAGGTTGTTAAGATCTTCACCGGAGGCAGTACACGGCGTGGCTTTCTTCCATAGCTTCGCGAACTTGGAGTCTCTGTTACATCTTGTAAGAGGAGGAAGCGTAGGAATGTAACTCTGTTTTGATCCTGTTAAAAAAACAGAGAACCAATCAGTTAGTTACCAACGGTTGTGCGTAATGACGGATTTACCCTTTTATACTTAAAAGTCGTTATTTCACTCACCGCAAGATGCAACGAAGGTGGTGTACTCTTGGAAGAGCTGTTCTAATCCTTCAGCAAAATCATAAACTAAATCTTCTGTAATTCCAATCGGGATCTCGAAGAACTCATCGATCGCATCATTAGCTAGCTTCATCAACTCTCCAGCAGATTGTGCATAGGGTTCTGATTTGGATTTTGGGTTCCAAGTCTACAAGGGAAAAAAAGGAAGATTTAAACAGATGAATCAATATGTAAACTTGAATCCCAAGTAAAGATTTGGAAAAAGCGTACTTCAGCTTCCTTTGCTCTGCTCAAGCATTCTTGAACTGTCTTCAATTTCTCTTCCATCCACTGCCTTAAAAGTCGTAATATAATGGACTCGACTTCATACGGTACCATCTCTCTAACAAGCCCTTTGCCTCCATCTTCACATTCCTCTGAATCTTCAGCCACCATTTGCACAAGAACCTTCTCGAGTTTCCCCGCCGTTTGCAGAACTTCCACAGTCTCTTTAGTGATGGTCGACCGGCCAGCCAAGTACTGCATCAAGATGGAACCATAACACTGGTGAAGAGAAACCGAGGCGACACCAGCTGCAACCGAATGCCATCTTTTAAGTATAGGGCTAAAACACTCGCGCTCGTGCAAAGCAAGCTCCTCTGTCTCCTTGGCTAGCTGAAGCAACATCTTCGCCGCTTCTTCTTCTTTTTCATCTGTTTCTGCGATTTTGGCCTTCATGCTCTCGATTACGTTTGAGAATGCGTTTTTGATGGAGGCTCTAATATAGTAATCGACGCGATCCCCTGAAGAATCTACCAGTTTCACATCGCCTTTCTCTTGATCACCATTCCCTTGAGAGATGGTCACGTCTTCCCCTAAAATCTTAGACGACGACAACGCCAATGGTAGAAGACTCTCGACCAATCCCACGTTCCCTCGTTGGAAATAATCATGATAGCTCAACAACCTATAATCACACACTTTCGCAATCGGATTAGTTAAATCTTGTCTGGTCGTCAGGTCCACTATAAGACGAAAGGAAATACCTTTTTTCGGTCCATCCTTGCATAGAAGCCAGTGTGGAGTTTAAAAGCTTTACGTAAAGAGCCTCTCGATCAGGCTTCTTGGCGTCATTAGTAACTTCAGCTAACATGGCATGAGAGGCACCAAGCAAGTCTGGCTCCATCTGAGAGGTGACAATGTATTGATGGAACAGAACCCAAGTAAAACACAAGTTATGCACTGGCCGCGTGATCCCCAGCATCGACCATGTCTTCTTCATCAGTTCCAAGAGCTCATCGATCTCATCAAGAACCAATGTCTCATCACGAATGTCAAAGATGGATTGCAAAAGCGCCACATAGAGATGGATGTTAAGAGGGTATCCATCAGCCCAATGACATACGTCGGTGGCCGGGTTGGTGTTGCGCCAGGATAAGGAGGTCACAACGTTACAGAGCGTCGGCATTGTCTCTGAGGTTTTTCCTGTGTCGATGGGTTTCGTCTCGCTCTGGCGGATGATTTCTCGCAGACGCATCGCAGAGTTGTTGGCTTTGTCAAGAGGGATTGATGGGTGAAGGAGAAGACCAGCTTCAAGGACTTTGAGCTGTCTTCTTTGCCAAATCTGATACTCATGTATATCACCAAACTCCAATGTTTTCACATGTCTGAGAAGCTCTAACGGAAGGATTATCGTCTCAGCTCGCCTACCCGTCTGGAGGATATAACCGTTAGAAGAAAAAAAAATCAATTTCTTCAATTATTTCAGAAACAGAGCGGAGAAAACAGAGGAACTTACTTGGCCAACAAGCGTCCTCGTTAGGGTTTTCCGAAGCCGAGTGTCACTCTGTTCCGTCACCCTCATTTGTTGCCTCATGATTTCTGCAGAGGTTAACGGTCGTCTAGGCCGAGAAGGCGGGACCGTCAAGAACCCAGCTCCGGGGCTAACGTGTCCCAATGAACCACCTCCTATGCTTCCATGACCAGGGGACGAAGGAGCTGACATGGCTCCCACAACTGTGCCTACCGTCGACATTCGCCTAGACGGAGATCTTTTTAGCATCTTTAACCCTAACGCTCTTTTCACTCGGCTTGTTGGTGTTGTCACCACTTCTTTCCTCCCTAAAGACCCGAATGAAGACCCGTTAGACGACCCGGATCCTCCTCCTCCTCCACCTACTCCATCTCCTTGATGGTCTCCCGTTACATTGTGCTTCGAGTAGAACGTGAGAGCAGTTCTGCCTCCAAATCCAGGTGATGACCGACACGCCGCGAAAAATATCTCATACGCGGTCTCGCGGATTTCCTCCCGATCAAGCCCATCAAGCTTGCCGAATGGCCAGAGAAGATCAGTGTCAGGACAAACCACAGAGCCGGCAAAGTCGGAAAAGGACTCCCTCCGTGAATGACGAGCCATCGCGGAGGGGAAGGCAGGAAGGAAAAAAGAAAGACCAGACGTGTCTCGGGGTAATGAAATGAGAGAAAACAGAGGAGAGAGAATTGAGTTCTTCCAATTAATAAGGAGAAAAAACAGAGAGAAATGAGGAGGTTGAAGAGGGGAGAGACAACTTGGAAGAAGCTAAACGACAGCAAATTTCTCTGTGCTTAGGAAGGAGAGAGGATGTGAGAAAACTTAGGAGGAATAATTAAATTAACCTGAATTAGCAAAACTCCTATTCCAAGTAACTTCTGCGAAAGCCAAATATAAATTCCATGTTGTATACTCTCCAATATACACAACCTTAAAGAAGAAGAAAAAAACAAAATCTAACCTGACTTTTGTTAACAACAGAATCCAGCATAAAATATCTATTGAAATTCAGTTAGATTGTTTCTCATACTTTTACACCTTTTTAATGTTAATGTGTCCGGAATAAAGAAGATAAGATTTGGGTCGTTAGTCTCCATTATGTCTAAAATAGTTTCGTCTGCGAGCTCTCAACAGAAGATAGAAACGAGGGTCAAGAACATTGTTCTTAAGCTGCTAAACATTGCAGGTTACTGCAGAAAATTCATGATGAAACTGAACATATTACTCAGATTTTGCCCTTTAATTGTTAAACTGGACAGCTATGATCTTGCGATGGAGTGGTTTCGAACTATCAAGTACGGTTAAACTATATTCAAACATGTGACTCTCATGTTTAGAACATAAGCATTCTTCAGGTAACAGTGACTTCACAACTTTGACAAAGATGTAATCTCGTAATCATTGTTCGTCACAAAGTAACATGAAGAAAGAAGAAAGATAAAGAGGTCAACTTGTTTTGATGTTGCAAGGAATACATAATCTACTATCGAAACCCTGTAAAACAGAACAGTACCTGAAGATTTTGGCTTTGAATTTTAATGAAATATGTACTAATGACCATTTTGATGTCAGAATTTTCATTGTTGAGACTGTAATCGCTAAAATTTTCATTACTTGTGTTTGTAGTGCTTAATCTTGAGACTGTAATCGCTAAAATTCATTGTTGAGAAGCTAAATTAGAAAGGGCGAGCTCAGTGTCACTGGTAGGTGATAGCAATTTTCAGCAGTGCATCATTGTGCAGATGCAAGAATCTGTTTCATCTTCTTCTGTCTGGCTCACTTCACTGCAAACATGAGGTGAAGGCAGAGATATGAAATACTAATGGGGAATACTAATGTGTTCAATACTTTCAATTGCTAAGAAAATAAACAAATAAAAAACCAGGACTCAAGAACTAAAAGAAGGATAACAAATTGCTAACCCATGGTGAAAATTCAAAATCTCCCACCAAAGATAATTACTTGATTGAGCTCAAATTAAGTTTAAGTTTTCATAATAGAACGGAGCCACTAAAATTACTCGATTTTCGAAGATGCAGTTCACAGTCCTCGTGGTAAAAAGACAAAAGTGTAGCAGTAGTATCATCAGCTTTCTCAAAAAGTTCAGATTTCATAATCAACAAAGCCTTAAGAAACAGTTATAAGCAACCACAAAGATTCGCTGATCAAACGCAATTGAAATTAGCAGGAATACATTTCTAACAATCCAAATGTTAATTTCAACAATATCATGTTTTAAGAAGTTACACAGATCAATGGTGGTGAAAATTCAAAAAAAAAAATACAAGTGAACGAACCCCGACATGGTACCAAAATAGCTTTCCTCCAAATGAAATTGATTCTCATCCCATCTTTTAACCTCAACATTATACACACAAAGTGTTCTACTTCCGTTGTATTAAGATACCGAGATCAAAAAATTTAACTTTAATTGTTGGGACCCACTGTAGTGGGAACCCTCCAAAAATAGGCGTATACCACTTAGCGTGGAGAGCACACGGTATTCTTTAGTAAAAGGCGAAAGAATAGTTCGCTTTGTGCTCACCACATGGCTGCGTGGTTTGATGACACGAAATGAGGCCAATACTTATAATAAAGTTCACTGCTAAATTCTCTTTATTCTCCGATGTGGGACAAGTTAACAAAGAACCAAAAGACGCGCTACATTATAAAAACTCTTCGTGGGCTTTGATGGGCCTGATATAAATGTTGGGCTCGAAACACACAAATTGTCTTCTTCTTCCTTTAAGCCGAGTGAAAACCCTAGGAGTATGCGTCTGTATAAACAAAGCCGGAAGCCCTAGCAGTTTTCCTCCAGATTCTGATCAAGCCGTCCAAAATGTCGAAACGAGGTTCGTACTCTTCTTCTTTGTAGAGGTCTACCTTAATGTATAGATTATGTCATCTATTTACCGTTCTATATCCTGAAATTTTTTCATAGTACTTCAGGGTAGCTTTTAATGTGTATTTGGATTTTGATTCTGACTAGGGCGTGGAGGTACGTCGGGTAACAAATTCAGGATGTCGCTGGGTCTTCCCGTGGCGGCGACAGTGAACTGTGCCGATAACACCGGAGCGAAGAATCTTTACATCATTTCGGTGAAAGGAATCAAAGGTCGTCTTAATCGATTACCTTCTGCTTGTGTCGGCGACATGGTGATGGCCACCGTCAAGAAGGGTAAGCCCGATCTCCGGAAAAAGGTTCTCCCCGCCGTTATCGTTCGCCAGAGGAAACCATGGCGCCGAAAGGATGGTGTCTTCATGTACTTCGAAGGTAATTTACTCTCTCGAAACCATTAACAAAATGTGGTTTTAGCTTCTATTGGATTCGTGATTTCACCAGGCTTAAGTCATGTATTCACCGACACATTTAGAGGGTGTTGATACGGTTACAAGTCTTTGGGAAAGTTTATTGTGTGTTCATCGTTACAGATACTTTGATGCTTAAACGCTTGAATCTGCTCCATTTGGACTCCAAATACTAAAAGAGAAAAACTTGTTACGTCTTGCATTGCCTAAGTCGTGTGCTTATGAATTGAGAGTAGTAAAGTTTTCGTAGTTTTGATGTGATGTAGTTATGACCTGGGTTAAGGGTGATTTAGATTCATAGATTTTCCAGAAATGTGTCATGTATCCACCGACGTAATTAGAGGGTGTTGTGATACCCAACAGTTCTGGTAAACCAAACGTGTTCCATCGTTACAGATTCTCTAATGCTTAAACGCTTGCATCTGCTCCATTTGAACTCAATATTTATATTCTTGTAAACGATTGCTCTGTATTGCTAGTTGCATAACTGATTTCTATGATTTAATTCCGCAAGATTTATTCATATTCAGGTTCGTATTAAGATCTTAGTCAGCTGTGTAATTCCTGTGATTAACAATCACCAGGCTTAAGTCAAGTATCCACCGACACATTTAGAGGGTGTTGATACGGTTACAAGACTGGGAAATTTAATTGTGTCCATCGTTACAGATGCTTTAATGCTTGAACGCTTGCTTCTGCTCCATTTGGACTCTAAATATTCCTTAATTCATCGCCTCTTCTCGACTGTTTAACTGTTTGTTTTCCCACTCGAAACTGTGTATGAAAACAAATACTAATCCGATGATTTGCTTGTACCATTGCACAGATAATGCTGGAGTCATTGTCAACCCAAAAGGAGAAATGAAAGGTACATTTCCACTCATACTTATAATCAGTCAACATAAGCTTATTCAACTCAGTTTACCCAACTGTTCTTCTTTTTTACATCCTGAGATTCTCGGATCATTCTCTTACCGGAAATTGTGGCCTGTGTGTGTGTCATTAGGTTCTGCGATCACCGGTCCCATTGGGAAAGAATGCGCAGATCTCTGGCCAAGGATTGCTAGTGCTGCTAATGCTATTGTCTAAATCTAAGATCAATCACTGGTCGGTTTTTACTGGCATTGGATTATCGTTATTGATCTTTTGGAACTCTTAAATATATCAAAACCTAGTTTGAGAATTTTGTTAGCATGGTTTTGTTGTTTTCGGACAGTTTGTATGACATTCAAATATTTGGTTATTTAGACATTTTTTAGAGTCTTGGGCTTGGCAGCTCTCATATTCTATTGAATCGAGGCACTCTTGTAGTCTTGTTCGAGTTTTTGGTTGCATCTTGATATCTTTTAGGCATTAATTCAAAACTCAAACAAGCTCACTAGAACAAAATATTTTTCTGACAATGAAAAACGTTTTTTCAAATTTGAGAAACACCAATTCAGTATTATTGCTATTTATACAAGACCACTTCAGATACAACAGACATATCTTCCCCTGTTATATTATTTATATCTACAAAAATTTTGTAATACAATTCTATGTAACATAGACAAACCCTCTCTCTTTACTAGCTACAGTTTTATTTATCTCTCTCTTCTATTACGTTCTAAATAATTCCGACAAAATATGAGTCATAGCCAACAAAAAGAATGTACTAGTAAATATACAAACAGACCTCTCTATATCAAACATACTATTTTGTGATATTATAACCAAGTAATCAATCAACTCAAATCCAAGATTGGATTGGATAATTGCACTTGAAAGAGTTCACACCACTTATGTGTGAAAATATGTCCGAAGAATCAACCAATTGTTCTTCTTCCTTTACCCCCACCTGCAAACCGAAACCCGGCTGTAAAACACATTAAACCAAAAAAGTCATAAGGTTTTGATTGTATAATCGAACCGGATAAATCTTACATCATCATCGTCGTCTTCGTGATGGCTTGAAGAAGCTTGTCTATTTGGTTCACATAATTCATCGTTCTTTGCAAATCTTCCTCTAACTCTTGGACGACTATCTGCCAATGTCTTTCTACATGCATACTACCGAAAGAAAATATTTTCGTATTAATAAATCGGTATATAAATAAGCAGTGGTTTAAACGGGTTAATTAATGGTGACTTAGCACAGACACCTTGATTTTCTTGCTGAAATTCCTCTCGTTTCTCTTCTTCATGTACCTATGAATCTTCTCTTTCCTCTGCTCAGCGGAGAGTTTACCGACTTTGTTGAAACTCGCGTCGTCTAAACCGGTTATCTCTGTTCCTAACTGCGGAAGAACCGGTGTTGCCACCAGGTGGTTCTGGTTCTCGCCACCGTCAAGAGCCTTTTTGGAAACAAAAACCGAAAACCGGTCAGAATCGGACGCATGTGTCATATATACCGGTTTAATAAACCGGTCTCTTTTGGAAATCTATTTGCCACTTATACGTACCTTTTATAAAACGGGAATTTTCACAAGACTAAGAAAAAAAAAACCTGGAATTAGCTGTGGGAATTGCAAAGAAGTTTTAGAATTTATACCTGGAGATGATCTCCTGGATTGAAGATGGGTTTAATCGAATCTGGGCAGAACATTCCACCATTGTCAGCCTGGATTTCCATCAATTGATCATGCGTTGGTTTGAAATCAGAACCAAAATGGATACCCCCTGAGTAAAAACCAGATCTTTCAATGGCTAAACCGGTGTTCATCATATTCCCCGTTACGGCCATGTAAGCTGGTAAACCGGGATTACCCAAGAAAGAGCAAGAAGGGGAAGTAGGGTTTAGGGAGCCAATATTATAACTTGGGACAGAAGAAAGGCAATCCTCTTCAAAAACCGATAAAGGCGGAGGCAGAGGATCACCGGAAGAGGAAGAGTAGAGGATATTCGGAGGCTGATGAAGTTGAATTCCGGTGAAATCAAACTGGTCTTGGAGTTGATCGGAGACTGGGAATTGAATAGACGAAGAGAAATCGATGGAAGCTGTGATATCGTTTTCAAAATCGTCTTGTGGATCAAATATGATCGATAAATCCCCGTTGTCGTTATTTTTGTTGTTGTCTTCATGATCTTGATTCGAACCGCTATTGGATTTGTCTGGAAAGTTATTGTTGTTGTTGTCGTCGTCTTTAACATAGTCACAACAATTTGAAGCAGAGGTCACTTCAGAAGTTTGATTAAAGGTTTCTTGGAATAATTGTGGGTCGCAGAAATCGAAGATTTGTGCAGTGAGAGGGCTTGTAATCTCATCCTACAAAATAAAATAAAAAATTTAAGATCGAGTTAGGTGGGAAAAAATAGTATAATATTCACTTTTGTTTGAGACATACGTTGAAGGCTTGCATAAAAAGCTGCTTGATCGGATTTTCTTGCGAAACAAGAAACAATAATTCAGATAACCTAAAGGTTTAATTTAAGTTTCTTACTTCAGACAGTTGTTTATAGAGAAGTGGACATTTATACGACCAGATCGCGTTCGTACTTTGTTGCTTTTATCAAGAGGGAATCTAGAGAAATAAATTAACGATAAGGAGGGAGAGTTTCCATAAAAGGAAAGTTTTGGGATTCTGGTGTTTCTTTTGCGTCGAGAAATCAAAACATTGCCAGGTAAGAAACCAACATCTGAAACTTTCTACAATAAAAGATAAAGGCCTAAATAAGAACAAGAATCATTTTTATGATACATCGATTAAGTACGAATTCATGTATACCGGATGTGAACAAAAAGTAAGTAGAAACATAATTTTTTTCCCTCTTTTTTTTTATAAAAATAACAAGAAAACAAAGTAATGGCATGAGTGATTATTTCTTGCGTGTAATAATTAAGAGTTAGCCCTATATATAAACTTTATCCTCTTATTTGTCGTTTCAGAGTTTTTGGAGATTAATAAATTGAATAGAATAACCACACAAATAAAAAGAATGTTAAAAGGAATGAAGCAATTTGACAAAAAAAGTGGAATAACTAATTAAGAAGACGATATTATCTAAAAGAAATTTAGATTTTAGAATAAAATAGTTATTCCTTTCCAATGTATATAAACTTAATTCGATTTCTAGATAATAGATATTTGTTAAAGCGGTTTGAGACGTGCACCAATCTGCTAGTGCTATTGATGCGATCATCGTGTTACAAACCGAACAAAACAAGTATGTATCTATCCATATATGTTCATAGACAGTTTTCAGAATAAAATGGTTTTTAATCATTTAAGGAAATGTAAGATATAGAATCTTTTTTTTATAATTAACGTATTAGAAATAAGTTATCTTTTGATATACCAATATATAGAAACTAAGGAACCAATATGTTTTCTATAAAAGATACAAAGAAGAGAAACCATTCAAGGTCTTAAAACAGATTCAAAGACAAACAATTAACATTGCAGACGAAATTTTTATTTTTCATACAATAGACAAAGCAATTAAAGGAAAGGTCAAAAAGAATTACCATCGAGAGCTGCTCATGAGATGAAATTACGTCCTGCGACATGTTTATATGTTCTTCCTATGGACTCCAACGTGATGCAAAATTTTTCTGTGAAAAAAATCGAGAAAGAAAATTTCCCAGGAAAAGGGAAAATTATTGAACGAGGCTTCTTGAATGCTTTGTCGAATGTGGGAGGAGTGATGTCTGAACATGAAAATCCATAGAATTAAAAGACTGGGGGAACCGGATAATAATTAATAAACAGAACGAAAAACAATTCTGTTTAAGACAGAGAAGAAAATAAATTTCTTACAGCTTTCTGGAGAAACTAATTGGAGGTTATGAAAGTTAACGTAACCATTTTATATATACTTTTGGTTAAATGTGTATGTATATGTGTATGTATCTGCATGTATGCAAACTGGTGTGTGTAAATGTCATAATGCCTTGAGAAATGCCACGTGGAAATTAGCGCTAAACGCGCTGGTCCTAGAGTTTCTCCTTCTCATGACGTGGCGTGTTGCGATTGGAAAAAACGAGTATATTTTAGTTGACGTGGAAAATATGGTCCCACCCAAGTGGTGACTTGGTTGACCGGTAATGGAGTTTGACCCAATTCTTTTGTTTCCGATGATTTGACTTTTTGACTGAAAGTTGTACTAAATTAAGCTTTCTATTTATAGAATTAGCTTTTCTATTTTTTTTTTTCGGTTTGGCAATTTTTCTTTTGTCTATTATTTTTCATTTCCTAATTTATTTACTTGGCTGCCTTTGATATGCTGCTAAGAAGTTAAAAAAAAACGAATAGGTCAGTGAAATATTGAATTTTACATTAGATCGTTCAAAGTCAAATACAATGATTTCATGAAAAAAGTTACGTGATGCTTAATTAAATTCCAGAACTGAAAATTTCATATGAAAATGGTTTCTTCTGGATAAAAATTCTCTGACAGTGATATTTTTAGCATATCATGCTTTGAGTTGTCATTTTCTAATGTTGTTGTTATTCTTACAACCATAACCAAATATTGAAATGATCATTTCTTTTTTTTGTTGTCAAAACTCATCATAACATGTGAAAAGATAAATTTATAGATCGGAATATTGATTGAAATAACGTAAAGAAATGGTGTATATACATATATATAGATATATATTAAGGTCGTTAAAATTAATAATCCAACGAAACTATATACAATAATACAATTTTGAATAACATGGTACTTATTTGTTGTGTTGTGTTAAAAGGTATTCTATTGAAATTGCATGAAAATAAATTACAAAGCTATGATATTGTGGATAATATAGTTTAAAAGATTATAGTAGTTTAAACTTACAAAATAGCTAGCTTTGAAAGTCAACTAAAATAAAGGTAAAGAGAAGAGTTAAAATCATTGGCATGAGTATCTAAGTAATTTGTTTCTAGCTCTTTTAGAATGTATCATAAATTGATTCCACGATATTTTTTTTAATACATATATCACCGCTCGCGAATTTGTGTTTATTATATTTTTATAGGTTTTTAAAATCAAGGGTAATGGAGTTGCAATATATTATTTAAAGAAAATAAAATAAAAACAGCTACTTGTTTGCAAAAAGAAAAAGATACAGCTTGAGATCAAAGCTGATTTAATGAATCGATACTTTAGAGATATGTATGAACATCTTCTCTTTTTTTTTTTTCTTTCAAATGTATGAATATCTTCAACAAAAGCATTGTGGGCAATATTGCACACGCATGAAATTTGTCCAGAAAAGTAAGAAGCAATACGAGATATTGAGAATAGTATTGCTTCGTCTGATAAGTTAGATTAGTTAGAAAATATTGTTTTGGTTTTTTAAGGTTTCTAAATTTCGAAATACTTTATTTATAATTAGTTATAAACCATAGATTGTGATGAATTGGCTTCTGCTATTTACTTTAATATAAACAATGATTTTATTCATAAAGGTTCATTGTTTTTTTTAAAAAAAAAATATATAGGTAAGCCAGTTTATTATTATTATTATTATTAATTTGATTCTCAGAATACATTTTTTTATGTAAAGAGAGAAAGAACCTGTCGTACGTCCAAAGGGAATGGCCCGTACCTCGTCGTCCTACCTTATTTGTAAACAGTTTTTGTTTTTTTTTTTTGTTTTTGGTGACAAAAGTGACTAATTTAACTTCACGATCGATATATATATATATATATGTATATTATTCTAATATTATAAGCCATGTCGATACAAAATAGAATTGTAAATACGAACTCTGACGATTTAGGATAGTTATGTGCAAACATTTTTTTCTTTTTGTTTTAACAAACAGTATTATATGCAAACAATTTATTTCGACTATTTAATTTTAAAATTTCAACCAAATGAGCTTGCAATTTTATATATACTTCTGGAGTAACGGGACTAAGCATGATACGATTCTGTATGTTTCGTAATTAAAATCTAAAAACCTAGCTAGGAAGACAATAAGCATCGCATATATAGGACATCCCTTGTTCTTTTCTGAAAGCTTCATTTTGTACTTTCAAAACATTTCCGTATTAATTCGTGTTTACTTGTTTAACACAAACAATCAGATATTTTATGTGAAGTGAATCCTTTTTTTGTTTCTTTTTCTTTCAACGGTTTGTACTATTTAATAATTAATAGTAATCGGTAATCCTTTTCTTTATGATTAAGATAATTTCGTAGCATTTTTTAATTTATTTGTCAAGAAAGATGAAGTTATACTTCATTTTCTCTATATGAATTCTCAACAGCTTATATCATGATGAATTGTTTATAACAAAAAAAAGGAAAATCGTGTAACATACCATCTACTATTTAGGTGTTTCCAAAAAGAAAGGATGGAACCACATCGTTTACTAATAGGCTTTGATAGAAAGCCCAAATGCGCACATCTTGCCATCGTAAAGGCCCAAACTTTTATAGCGAGAAATCTCTAACTTGCCCTGAGCGTCTCAATTTTTTTTGTTTGCGTCTTTCTCTCTCCGCCTTCTTCTTCCTCCCGGCTTCCGCGATTTGGTTTAGTTAGCGCCGGACCGGAGTAGATAAACCCTAGCCACTAAACGGGTTTGCTGTAGCTTCACCGACCAATCTTCTGCTGCTGCGTATTCTTATTCCTCTTCTTCGTTCATACTAAGATGAACTGTGCAAGTAAGGCTTCTTTTCGCTTTTCTCTCTCTTTTTTTTTCTTTATTTGCAAATTTAGGTAGGGTTTTATTTTGGGTAGTTTCTGTTGGTGACGCTGTGGTTATTTTTCGGACAGTTTCCGGCGAAGTCCCGGAGGAGCCTGTAGTTTCGACGAAGTCGGGTTTGCTATACGAGAAGCGGCTAATCGAGAGGCATATATCGGTAAGCTCTTCGCTTCTCTTCGTGGTTCGACTCCTTTCTAGTTTTTCAGCTGTTTACCCTCTCTTATTTCTGTATCTGATAAGGTTCAAAAATCTGAGTGATCTACACTTGCTGGAACTAGTGCCATCCTTATATTCTCCATGATTGCACATAGTTCAAAATTTTCTCTGGTTAGATTTTAGGTTTGTCAATGCATCTGGTTTTATGCTCTTATGGGAATTAGTAAGATCCTTAGCAGCTTGATATAATGCTTTAAAGTCAGACATTGACACTTTATATCCGGTTTCCAGGATAAAAACTTTGTTATGTATGCGTCAACAATGTCCCTTATATTTTTGTTACGATTTGCTGTTACCCTGTAGGATTATGGGAAATGCCCGGTTACTGGTGAACCACATACCATAACCGACATTGTTCCTATCAAAACTGGAAAGGTAATGCACCTGGTGGAATATGATCTGTCACAGAGCAGTGTTTGCAGAGACTTATTGTAGCCTGATTCGTTCTCGGGACGATTTTGCAGATTGTAAAACCTAAACCATTACACACAGCTAGCATCCCTGGATTGCTCGGAACGTTCCAAACTGTAAGCTTTATATTGTTTGCTATTATTATTTTTTCCACACCTTTTTGGGGTTTTATGCGTGCTTTTATTCTTGAAAGATTCGCTTTCCTCTTTGTTATAAGGATCATATAGAGTTATATGGATCTAAGATCTTTATAGATTATACAGAGCTAGGTCCATGTGGCTGTTTAAGTCATTGAACATATTAGATTTGCAGTCTACTCTTTAACACAGCTGGTATCATTTGTCAACCTATTACTGCTACCAAGAAAGAGTTGTTCACCAGTTTTGTTGAATTAGGCAACATAAATGCTTAAAAGTTTTATCTATTTATTTGCTTGCAGGAATGGGACAGTTTGATGCTATCAAATTTTGCTCTGGAACAGCAACTGCATACCGCGAGGCAAGAGTTAAGTCATGCTTTATATCAGGTAATTATGATTAAGTGCCTATGCCACCACCTGTATATGATTTACGTATATTTTAAAATGTAGTTCGGTTTTCTTTACCTGGACGTTTCCATTAATTATTATTGATAAAGGTGGTTAATGGATTTTTTGGGGGTACTCCTTACCTTTTGTTTGCAGCATGATGCTGCTTGTCGTGTGATTGCGAGGCTTAAAAAAGAAAGAGACGAAGCACGACAATTGCTTGCAGAGGCTGAAAGGCACTTACCCGCAGCCCCCGAAGTTGCCACAGACAATGCTGGTCTTAGTAATGGTAAACGAGGTATGCCTATACATTGTTCTTCTCATAATAAGTTGGCTATGTAGTCATTTCTATGTTACTATAACAAGTTGCTATTTTTTATTGTTGCGAAATAGCTGCCGATGATGGTGAACTGGGGCCCGATTCAAAGAAAATGCGACTTGGAATTTCGGCTCAAGTTATAACAGAATTGACAGATTGCAATGCTGCTCTTTCCCAGCAGCGTAAAAAGAGACAGGTAATGCACAAAGCTTCACATCTGTTAGTATCTAGGCTGGAAAGCAGAAGTCATGAGAGAACTTCAGGCTAACTCTGCCTCTATTGTGTTTTATTGGATTTTTGCGTGTGGATCTTCTGTCTTAATACTTTTTCCTCATTGGTTCTCTAGATCCCTCCAACATTGGCATCAATTGATGCTCTGGAAAAGTTCACCCAACTCTCAAGCCACCCACTCCACAAGACCAACAAACCTGGTATATTTTCAATGGACATCCTACATTCCAAGGTTTGACACCTGTTGCTTCCCTATTTTCCATTCATCACTTGGTGATGTTTTTCTTGGTTCTGGGAAGTCACTGCGTTTAATTGATGATCAGGATGCCATTGCTACCGGAGGAATTGATACAACTGCCGTTCTCTTTGATCGTCCTTCAGGACAAATCTTGTCAACGCTGACTGGTCATTCAAAGAAGGTCCGTGTTTTGCCGTAGTGTTCTCAATTTCTGTTCTTTGAACTTTTCCACCTTTAGTTTGTGCCTGACATGCATTATGCCTTTTGCAGGTTACTAGTATTAAGTTTGTAGGTGACACTGATCTTGTTTTGACTGCTTCATCGGACAAGGTAAGTCAAGATTATAAACAGGCCTAAAATTTGATGGTTTAATATAATTTTTCTATGTAGTGCTTCTACAACATCTGTATAGGAGCTTCTCTTGTCTTTGTTGAGTATTGCATGATCTTAATGAGTAGTATAGAGCAGATGAACTTTTTTATTTAAAGTCTATGAATTTTCTTAGTTGCTGCTCGCACACATCTGCTCTGAAATCTAGTTCTTCGAAAAGTCATCGTGTCATGTTTGAAAAACTGATTAGACTATCTAGAGTGATCCTGGTACACATCACCATAAAAAGCTGACTTACCTTCTAAATCCTTTTGCTATCTTAAAAAAAGTGTTTAAATACCTAGCTTCATACATAAATTTGGTTTATCACAGCATTGATTGTTTGCAGTCTCTCTATGTTATGTTTGATCATAATGATATGCATCACCATTCGTCTGATGGGTATTAGTTGGTTTTGACATTCTGCAGACAGTCCGTATCTGGGGGAGTTCCGAGGATGGGAACTATGCCTGTAGACATACATTGAAAGATCACTCTGCAGAGGTAAGGATGGAATTAGTCACATACCAATTTTACCTGTAGTACATGTAATTATTCTGTAATAACGTAAAAGCGATTGATGTGTTTTTCAGGTGCGAGCTGTAACTGTCCATGCAACGAATAAATACTTTGTGTCGGCATCGCTTGACAGTACCTGGTGCTTCTATGATCTGTCCTCCGGTTTATGCCTTGCCCAGGTTGCCAAACTGATAAATGTTCTTCCAGTTTCAGATTTTCTTTTTGTATGCATAGACAACAATGTTTATAGAAGCATGAGAAACATTATGTGAATAAGACTTCTAGAAAGAACCCTTTTCTTCAACGTACCATTCTTATGTGTGTTGTTATTATTCAGGTAACAGATGATTCCGAAAAAGTGGATTACACGGCTGCTGCTTTCCATCCTGATGGTCTCATTCTGGGAACTGGTACCGCTCAATCTATTGTCAAGATTTGGGATGTTAAGAGCCAGGTTAAAAATCCCCTCGACCTCCTTGTCCATCAACTCTTGAGATTATGAAACGTTTTTCAGTATTCTCCATTTTTGCTCGCCTCAGTTTCATCTATCTCTATCTTCTAATAGGCAAATGTGGCGAAGTTTGGTGGACACACTGGAGAAATCACATCTGTATCATTTTCTGAAAACGGCTATTTCCTCGCGGTGGGTACTTTGATCCAAAAAAATTGAAAGACGAAAATCACCAGCTTGCACTTGTACTGACCAAATTTTTGTTTGCTCTTGAAATTGTTCAGACTGCTGCTCTGGATGGTGTTAGGTTGTGGGACCTGCGCAAGTTAAAGAACTTCCGAACATTTGAATTTCCAGATGCAAACTCAGGTATTCAACTGCCTGAGCGCCTCTTGCTAGTCCATCTTGTTGATTGTGGTTTTCATTTCTAAGACAAGAATGAAATGTTTTGTGCAGTGGAGTTTGACCATAGCGGATCTTACCTTGGCATTGCTGCTTCAGATATAAGGTGAGGTTAACATTGATACACAAATGAAATGACTTGATCTAGAGCTTACTCGGGAGCGAGATATCGGAGTGGAATTTTAAGAATATATATCATCACCAGAAATACAATTTGAGTGTATGTATATGTTTCTCTTACAGATCGTACTAATAAAAGCTTATGTGTTGCAGAGTATTCCAAACGGCTAGTGTTAAAGCAGAGTGGAACCCAATCAAGTCTCTTCCCGATCTATCCGGTACAGGTAATGCCAAATGATTAAGCTTTTGAAGTCAATGTTATTCCCTCCATTTTTGAGTCTATCATGCAGACATTGGTGAATCCATATATTAACTTGCAGGTAAAGCAACATGTGTTAAGTTCGGTCCGGATGCAAAATACATAGCAGTCGGCTCAATGGACCGTAATCTCAGAATATTTGGTTTACCTGGAGATGACAATACCGAAGATTCTGCACAAGATTCATGAAAAGATACCTCCAACTGTCAATTATCAAGGGCAGTCCCAGCTCGAACCCATGGCGGGAGGGGCGACCAATTACCTAGGTCCAACTCTTATGTTTGGGCTCGAGAGAGGGCCGATGCTTAAGTGATGCAATCTTAATAGACCTGATGTCGTTTTGAGTACTCTCCTCATGAAATACTTGTCAAAGCATAATGTATTTTTCTCTTCAGTCGTCTCTTTCTTAAATCTCTATTTTCTCTCTTCTTCTCATCAAAGCATAAATTTTTTTTGCAAGCAAAGCACACGTATATGAATAGTCTTTAACCTCAGCAAGTCCCAGTATAGCTTAAACATTCGAAATCTTAAATTTTAAACAGTAATAATAATAACTTGGTGTTAGTATTATATCGATTGTTAAGTTAATAATTAGAAATTCTTTTACATTTTGCGGGGTGAGTAGGAGACAACGAAATGATGACAAAAAAAATAAGTGATGGTGTTTTACTAGAAATTAGAAAATCGTGAGACAGGACAGAGATTTTGCCTGTACTCTGGTCAAAAAACACACTTCACAATCTTCGCATTCTCCCACCAATCTCAGATTCCTTTTCACTTCCTCCAACTCTTTCTCTCTCTCTCCTTTTCACTTCCTCCAAGTCTTTCTCTCTATCTCTCTCTCCTGCCTTTTTAGTAATTCCGTTATTAGTTAATTTTTTTTGCTACCATATTTTGGTATCAGTTATCAAGTGCAGGAAAGTTTGTATCTTTCTCTACCCAATTTCCAAAATAACCAATCTTTCAAACTAGATTGTTTCAACTTAAGTCCTCTAAATGACTTTAATGTTGAAATAGATTCGAAGGGCACTAGTAGGTTTTAAATAGGAGGCTAAGCAATAAATAAACTGTTTATCCCTTAAAGCTTTCAATCAACAATTATTTATTGTTTTTGCTGTACAGTAAATCAAACATTGTACCGTCTCAGAACTGAATGGCTCAAAAGTGTTAACAGAGAAAAAAAAAGAGTGTCTCTGATTCTCTCTCTTTCCCCACTTAATCTCTTCTCACACGTCTTAGAGAGAGAAAGAGTGGCCACCCAAAGCCAAAAACAAGAACCCAGAAACCTAGAAGACAGACAGAAGAAAAGAAACTAAAGCTTTACTGAGCCACCAAGCAACCAATTACATAAACTAAAAAATCCATAAACCAAAAATCCAAAAAATCCCTCAAAGATTCCATCTTTCAATACCTACAATGAGAAAGCCTATGCTTTGATTTTCCCAATCTTTTCTTTAAAAAAAAACCCCCTAAAGAGTAACAGACCACAACAATCAAAAGAGCCCACACACGAAATGGGTCTTTCAATCTCATTCCTCATCACCATCTTCTTGATGAGTCTGCTGTTTCCAGATCTCAATGTCGTAGAATCTGCAACAACCGAATACACAACCTTAATATACAAAGGATGCGCGAAACAGCAATTCTCAGATCCATCTGGTTTATACTCACAAGCTCTCTCTGCTATGTTCGGCTCATTGGTCTCTCAATCCACTAAAACAAGATTCTACAAGACCACAACAGGAACAAGCCAAACCACAATCACTGGTCTCTTTCAGTGCAGAGGAGATTTGAGCAACCATGACTGTTACAACTGTGTTAGTCGTCTTCCGGTTCTATCCGACAAGCTCTGTGGCAAAACCATTGCCTCTAGGGTTCAGCTTTCCGGCTGTTATCTTCTCTATGAAGTCGCTGGCTTCTCTCAAATTTCAGGTAACCCTTTTCTTCTTCTTCTTCTTCTTCCTTGGCTTCAATCGAACCGGAAATTGATTCCTCGGGCTCGTCGATGTAATCTTAATTACACTAACCATTGGTTGGTTAAATATAAAAACCGCCTCTTCAGATCACAATCGGGAGAAATATCCTCGGTTTTAAATATCGGTTCCGATTTAACCATAACCAGAAATTAGACTATAAACCAGAGGAAAAACATTCCTCTTGGAAGTTTCAATTTTAGGTTATTATCTGCCAATTGGACCGGTTACGGTAGGGTTTAGGGTCGACTGAACCAGATTTTAGTTTTTTGTTTATTACTCCGGTTTGGTTTTTCTTTAACCAAAAATTGCCGGTTTAATTATTGCAGGGATGGAGATGCTGTTCAAGACTTGTGGGAAGAACAACATCGCCGGAACAGGATTCGAGGAGAGGAGGGACACGGCGTTCGGGGTGATGCAAAACGGGGTCGTTTCAGGCCACGGATTCTATGCAACTACTTACGAATCTGTCTACGTTTTAGGACAATGCGAAGGCGATGTCGGAGACTCCGATTGCAGCGGCTGCGTTAAGAACGCACTCGAGAAAGCTCAGGTCGAGTGTGGAAGCTCAATCTCCGGTCAGATTTATCTCCATAAGTGCTTCATCGCTTATAGTTATTACCCAAATGGTGTCCCCAGGAGATCTTCTTCTTCTTCTTCGTCCAGCTCTGGCTCTTCGAATTCAGATCCTTCGTCTTCTACAGGTGAGATTTTGATTCTCTCTTGTTACTATGTCTCTTGAGATTTCTGGGTCCATCCGAATCTGGGTTTACAAATTGAGTTTTTTTTTTTTACCAATATAGCCATAATGTTTGCCGGAGATTTTGAGAAGGAAAAAAGCATCAATTTTTCTTTCCCTAAAATTGCAAATTTTCCGTTTTTAGTTAGTCTTCACTAAAGTTCGAAGGCTTTCAGTGTGAGACTTGTTCTTCCGTTTTCAGTCCCAAGGATTATACTAGTAATTTTTTTAGCGAAAAAGAAAGAAATGTGTTGCCTTTTTTATTAATTGGAAACAGTTATTCCTTAAGGGTTTGAATTAATTTCATATGATTCTATATCTAGCCATATAGGTATGCAGTTCAATTAATAATACTTTATTTATCATGCTTTCATTAAATACTTTTCTACCCATGAGAAAGATCATTAAAGATCATTCCTTAGAAATGGTCTACCACTAATTATTTTCTTCAAAAAGTACTTTTGGCATTATCAACACTATTTTTAATGGGTTCATGAACATAGTACACTTGATAGTATTAATGATATTGATGGTAAAATAACATGATAAATACAAAAAATTGACAGGAGCAACAGGCAAGACGGTGGCAATAATAGTAGGAGGAGCTGCTGGTGTTGGCTTTCTTGTCATTTGCTTGCTTTTTGCCAAAAACTTGATGAAGAAGAAACATGACGGTACTCCCCATTTCTCTACTTACACATATACATACATGCATACATACCAAACACATGCACATGGTGATGAAGGATATAATAAAGGGAGACTAATTGAAATGTCATTACAATGATATTTTTTTTGGCAGATTATTGAAGGTGGGGAGGAAGATAACAAAGGGAGTCTAATCCCTCAAAAGAGAGGCAGAAGTTTAATTTTTGTTTTTTTTTTCTCTTTGTTGAGGTGCTTATTAGATTCCCTAGTCCAAACTTTTTAATTTCATGAAAATTGTTATTATATTTTATTTTGTTTTTGCTAGTTCAGATTCTTGGAGGGAGGGATATGTGGTGATTGCGAGGACCAAAAAATGTGAAAAAAAGGATTATGTTTTTCTCAATCAATTGCACTAATAATTTCACCTGACCAATTACATTACCATTAATATAGATTCCCTTCTTTTTACACTATCTTAAATGATTCTCTAAGGTAATTTTCCACTAATGGTCTCAAGTAATACCGCTTTGACTATTATTCTTTGAATAAGTATTTTCTACGCAATAAGAAGGACGTAAGTGCAAATTCCTACAAAACTATAGGATATAACGTGGGTCCGAGCGTATGAAGAAGCATTTATATTACACATTCGATTCTGCGATATAGATTTAAAAAGGGTTTTTTGAAAGAGATTCTGTCAATTCTGAGGATACAAGACATAACGGAAATGAGTGAAGCTGCATAAAGCTAATATAACAATAGCTTTTTCTTTCTGAAGGAGAGATCTTCTGAACCTGGGATTTTTTTCCTCACTCTAGAGACATCTCTTTCTTCTTCTTGATGACCATCATTCTTCTATTTCCCACAGGAACCGAGCATAGTCTCCAAGTATAATGCTGGTCAAACACAGAAGATGATGGTCGCATTCAAGCTTTCAAAGGTGGAAAACAAAAAGGAGTTTGTGTAAGAGCTATTTCATATTTGTACCTGTCATTTGGAGAGGCTTCAACGGCCTTCTCGAAATAGAACAAGGCCTTCTCTTGGTCACGATTAATACTCCAAAACGCTTTCGCATATCTGCATAGTGTTTCTCCATCTTCTGTTTCAGACAACCTTGAGCTGCGGTTTCCCCCTGCTTCGGGCTTATTTTTCGGGACAAAAACAAAACACGGCATTAGAGACTTTAATCGAAAACCTATCAGTGACACAAACTCGAATTCATCTGCAAGAATCAATGTGAGAAGCAACATAAAGGTGGAGAATTCCGGTTCATTGATCCGGAGAATGAAAATCAAACCTCAAAGTCTTCTTTTCCTTGACGGGTTAGGCCTCCAAAAGAGTCATCATCATCATCGTCATCCTCAGTGTTTATCTCCCAGAGGAAACTAGCATATGCTGCAAGAACATTACTGAAAAGGAAGAAAAAAACATACATTCAGGTTAATTGATATCACAGAATAACCAATGGATTTACCGAGATTAATGTTCCAACAGACCTATCCTTAGGAGATGCTAGAACAGCGCGTTCAAAGTAGCTTGAGGCTTTAGCTTCGTCCTGGTGAAGTTTCATCACTAATCTACCATAGTTTGCTAAGGCTACACCATCACTAGGCTCAACTACAGTACACTTATGATAATACTCTGCTGCCCCATTAAGATCTCCTTTGTACTGTTTTTACAAAAACAAAAACTTGCCATTAGTAGAAACTACTTTAAAACAGAGTCGTCTTACAACATAATGATCTGAGTCAAAATACCTCTAAGAACTCGGCATAGTTTTTGAGAAGCAAAGGATGCAATGGATACTCCTCGATCATTCTTTTGTAGTAATCACCACAGTTGTCATCATCAAAACTCGGTAAATCGAATTTGATCTCATCACCATACAAATCGAACTTATCAATCCCTAGCCCTGCAGCTAAATGCATAGGAGGACTTGGTGGTCGTTCAATCTCAAAACTTTGTTCATCATCTCTGCTCTCACCAGTCCCTAGCTTCTTAATAACCTCTTCATCTCTATCAAAAACCCCTTTCCCTCTATCTCCTCTCTCACCTTCACTGTCTTCTTCCTTGACCGATAAGATATCGATTTTGTGCTTCGCGAAACTGAAGTCGGCGTCAACCGAATCACCAATCGAAACAGTTCTCTTCAAATTCTTCTCGATTTCAGCTACCGGATCTTCACTTTTGAACCCATCTCCAGAATCGCAGTAAATCGAGAGAGATGGCTCGCTCTTCAGCATCTTTTGTGTCTCTCTGTCACACACTCAAATCCGTTCAAAGTCTTGGACTTTGGTTTCCTTTGAGCACGTTGGTTCAATTCAATCTTTTTGACCAATCGGTGGTGGGTCGTCGATTACGAACGAATCTTGTAAATTCCTCAAATGTTATTTGTGGACACTGATTCGGAGGACCCCGAGACAACGATTGAACGATGATACTAGTTTTGAGGTTCTCTTAGGCTCACCAGTGAGGGAAAGAGGATAAGTGGGGTTTGCTTTGATTTCATGGGAAACGGCAATCTTCCGCAAAGGACCCTTTACAATATTTATATTGTTTACCAATTTCTCCGGTAAGTTTACTTTCTTACTATTTGAACCTCACTAGTCACTCCAAATAAAATAGCTGATATAATTTATTCTTTAAAGGCCATCTACTACATAAGTAAAGCTTAGTTCAAATTTTCATCAATAAAAGTTCATTGATTGATCTGTCTTAACTAGAGATAATTGACCGTTCCTACTTTAGTTTACAACTTAATTTACTGAACAGTTTTAACAAAGTGGATATGGATCGATTTATTGTAGAAACATTTTTCTTCTTCTTTGGTCATTGTAAAATTTGACAGAGCGGCTATAGATTTTATAATCTATAAAAAATTTAATTTAAGATAAGAAAAAAAAGTTGTGTGCCTCGTGATCAAACGAAGAAATGAGGGATATCCACATGAGTTTGGCCTTTCTTCTGGGCGGACAATTAGCTCCTCACATGAACTGGCTTTTTGAGTCTTCACCCCATAAGTCAATTATAAAAAGACAAGTTGTCAAATTCTTTAGTCCACGGGGAAAAAGCCCATTACTATTTGATTCTAAAAATAGCATTCTATAAATTTGCATCATCACTATTCTTCCCATTCTTATTTGTGCCAGAAAAAAAACAGACAACATTTCACTACTAAAAAAAACATTCATCACTAATGCCAACTTAATTCTTACGAGCCATCTCCAAATATAGCAAACTTCAGCTGGAGAACACCACACTACTTCCTAATAGACTCGTTGTCTTTCTCAGACAAACACACCCAAAATTAGTTTTTTATAAAGATGGCAAATAAAAAAGCAATGGTTATTATTACCATTCTCCCATTCTTTCGGAAATTACAACCATTGACTAAACAATTTATCTCTTCTTCATTCATCATCCAACTTCTCAGAATCTTGGATCCAGAATTGCGAGAGAGATCAACTCATTGTTTCTCTCGCAATTCTCCTCCTCCCTTACACCCCCTCCAAAAGAAAGAAATAAACATAACAATCCATCCAAAAAAATTTTAATGTGAAAACTCAATCTGTTGAATCACAATGTCAATGATGTTCCCATCTTTTCAGTTGCTAGAGCTGAACATAATCTCAGCTCAGGACTTAGCCCCTGTCTCCCGCAAGATGAAGACTTACGCGGTGGCTTGGGTTCACTCCGAGCGTAAACTCACCACACGAGTCGACTACAACGGCGGAGCAAACCCAACATGGAACGACAAATTCGTGTTCCGAGTCAACGAAGAGTTTCTCTACGCTGATACTTCCGCTGTCGTCATCGAAATCTACGCCTTACATTGGTTTCGAGATGTTCATGTAGGCACGGTCCGTGTCCTCATCAGTAATCTCATTCCGCCTAATCGTCGTCCAGGATACAGAACCAGCAACAACGAGTACCGTCGTACGCCGCCTCCGGGAATGAGATTTGTGGCACTTCAAGTTCGTCGTACCTCAGGTCGACCTCAAGGGATTTTGAACATCGGTGTTGGGTTGCTTGATGGTTCTATGAGGAGCATGCCGCTTTACACACATATGGATTCATCTGCTGTGGGATATAGGGATTTGCTTGGAGAAGAGGACCGTCATTTGCAGCATTTGCATCTAAACAGCAACAAAGGTAGCTCCAAGAATCCACAATCTCCGTCTTCAAGGCAGTTCCAATCTGTAGTCTCGAGGCCGGAGCTACGTCGTACAAAGAGCGATTCAAGCTCCATGGTTGTTTCTGATCTTCTAAGCAGAGCTGAACGGAGCCGTTTGGCTAACAGACAGCCGGCGAGTGCATTAGCGAGCAGCGAATCTGATACTGCACCAATCACGACGGATTCCGATGCAACAGAGACGAAAGACTACACGCCTCCAAGCAAAACCCCTAAGGTTCCAAGGCAAAGATACGATTCGATCGAATCGGATCTCATAGATCCGTCTCCGAGGGTGAGGCCAAATGTAGTGGTGCCGAGAAAAGAGAGTCACGACGTTCCGCCTTATGGTTCGTACCATCAATCACGCAAAACGCCGAGAAAGACAATGATGAACGAGAAACAGAGGCCGGTGAAGAATTACAACCATGGCCGCGCTTCTCCGTACTTATCGAGGCACGGGACGCCGTTGAGATCTAACATCGTCGCATCTACTCCGATGCAATCCAATGGGATTAGATCGACTCCGATGAGATCTAATATTATTGCAGTGTCACCGATGCGCCCTAACATGGTCGAATTGACTCCGATGCAGACTCCGATGCGGTCAAACATGTTTGGATCGACTCCGATTAGGTCCAACATAATCGGATCCACTCCGATGCGATCAAACTACATGGCTACACCGATGAGGTCGAATTTAGTCGGAAGGAAAATCTTCACCGAATCGGAGTTAGGTCCGTCGCCATCAGAAGTGGCTGAGAAAATAGCGAAAGATAGATCTAACGCTAATGAAACAGAAAGCTCAATACTCAGCGAGTGGAGTATCGACGAATCTAGCATCGAAGGATTGCGTTCAAAGCTCGACAGATGGCGGACGGAGCTGCCACCGCTGTATGATATAGGATCAAGTCAAGTAAGCAACAGCGAATTCGACGGTTCGATTGTTCCCGCCGCCGTCGCCACTGGAGGAAGAAGTTCGAGGCGGAAAACTCCAGCGGCGAAGAAGCATCATCGCCGTCATACAGACGGAGGTAACGGACTTTTCTCGTGTTTCAGTAAGATATGCGGCGTGGAATGTAGTTTCGTATGCGGTGGTGGTGGTGGTGGTGGTTCGATGGGTCCTGATGACTCGAAGAAAGGTGGGACTGGGCGCGTGCACCGCACATACTCTGCTGATGATTTGAGCTTTGTGTGATTTTTACGAATTGTATTATATTTAATTTTTTTGGGACTAATCTTTTGATATACATATGTTTATTTTATTTTATTTTTGGGAGGGGGTGAAAAAGCGTTGGAGTGATGAATTATGCAACAGTAGCTCTAGTAAAAAAAAGAATTAATCTTATTACTGTTGTTGATAACTCATTCCTTTTTGTGTTCTTCGTATTTTACATTATTAAAAAAATATAAACATATGCTGGCAAGAGTAGAAAAATAGTGATAGAAGATATGAGAGTGTGTGAGAATATTGGTGTTTTATAACGATGGTGTCTCGTTTCTTTCTTGAGAAAAATGTTTTATGCACGAGTCAAGAAAACATAAAAAATTCATATAACAATATTACCGTTTTCCTTATAGTGAACTGATTTGTATATAGAGATCTCATCATTCTCATTGATTTGATAAACTACATAAAAGAAGTTACGGATTCTGGTTTGACATTAGGACTTTTATTGATAACACTACGTAATAAAGAACCATGGAAAAATGTTTTTTTAAAAAGGGAACCATGAAACTAAATAAATAAAAAATTAGCATAATCTTAGAGAGAATAAAAACCGCTAAATGAAAGAAGAAAAAAAGAACCGCACAAAAGCAAGAGCTAGCAAAGAAAAGAAGTAACCATAAATCAAAATTAGATGGTATAACATGATTAGTAAGGAAAGATTTACAACATTTAAGAATATTTCTGTCATTTTGGTAGTGGTGCAAAATAACTAGTTCCAATTCGTGCAACACGAGTAAAAAAAAATTATTTTGATTCTTAAACCAAGCTGAATTGTATACAAATTTGGGTGTCAAGATCCACCTATAGTGGTTGAACCAAGCTGAAAGTGAAACCAATGGTTTGATTCGTTTTGTTATGTTAATTAGTTTGACAAATGAAAAATTATGTGTTTTACTGAAAGAAAAAGCTTTGTCGGGACCAACAAGATCAAGAATTCAAGATCAAGGTTTGCTAAAGTTCGAGAGATGGACCAAAATATTTGACAAACATATAAATCAGGCTAAAACAAAACATATTTGGTTCATACATACAACCATTTAGCTCAGTAATGATTTTAGTATTCTATCAGATCTATCGATCAGAGCATGAGATCACTGTACTCTTTGATAATGATTTTGATCAAAAGTGTAATTTCCACAAACCAATTGCGCCTGCAAAAGTTTTCAATGGATCATCAAACATCATGATGAATATCTCATCACCACGATTTTATAATAATGCATATTTTCCCATCAATTTATTTTCTCACTTTTTTTATCATTTTGTTCGACAACAATCATTCTCAGAGAAAAAATACAGAATTCTCAACAATTCTTTTTTTTCCTCCTTTTTGTTTGTTAGTATAGTTTTGTTCAACAACAATCATGGCCTGAAGGAAGAATAAATTAAAATTAGGTTTTTACATTATATGTTAAAAACCTATATTATTTTCGTTTGTGGTTTTTTGTGTGAACTTTTCAAAGGGGCGTTATGAACGAACTGCCCCATTGATTAATGACCCTAATTGAATATTATTATCCATAAGCTTGTTTACAAAAATATATGGATGGATGTTTAAAAGAATGACTTTTCATCCGAAAGCATTACAATATAGCTTTTACACCAAAACAACAAATACAAGTGGGAGAAGAATAAAAAAAATTAAAAACAATGATGTAACAGAAAGTAAAACCTTGGCCAATATTATAACAAATTGTTATGCACACACACACACAAGACACAACTGTAAACAAGTTTCTTGGGACTCTCTACTTTCTCTTGCTGCTTGAACCAACAATAACGCAACGAGAGCACGACAGGTTTGATGATGTCGGGAAGAAAAGTTTGAGAAAATTAATATTTAAAAAACGAATGAGAAGACTTTGGTTTGAGAAAATGGCATTGTGGTATGGCCATTACAAGACAGATGGGTCCCATTTCTCATCACTCTCTCCACCACCAAATATCCTCTCTCTCTCTCTCTCTCTTTTACCCTGCTTGCATCATCTCTCGTCTCTCACAAATATAATCTCTAAGATCGAAGAAGAAACCCTAAATACCCACGCTCACTTCTTTTGTCTCCATACGGTTTCATCATCTGTGTCATCGAGACTCTTCTCTTGGGTGGTCCGTTGAAAGACTCTCTCTTTGATATCTTTGGATTCTTAATTGACATGCGTGACAGGTCAGAATTGGAGGTGGGGAAGAGTAATCTCCCGGATGAGAGTGAGCTGGAGCTGGGATTAGGGCTCAGCCTCGGCGGTGGCGCGTGGAGGGAGCGTGGGAGGATCCTAACGGCTAAGGATTTTCCTTCCGTTGGGTCTAAACGAGCTGCTGACTCCTCCTCTCGCCAAGGAGCTTCTCCTCCTCGTTCAAGGTTCGTTTTTTTTTGTTTTTATCAAGAAAGCTCAAATCTTTTGGTTTGTTTCGATGTTGCATGATGTGAAAATGTTGCCGTCTCGAAACAGGATTTGATGTAGGGAACTAGTTAGCTTCTGTTCTAGTATACCCCTGAATCAAACTATGGTTTCTTGAAATGCTGCAAAACTGACGAGCTTGTAGCTTGTCCTTCTATAGATAGATTTTGCTGTGGAGTCATTCATCATGCTTATGCTAAGATTTGGTCATAGTAAGATGTTTGTTTTTGATGATTGCATCTGAATTTTGAGAGTAAATGAGTGAAAAATGTTGGTTTTTTGTAGCAGTCAGGTGGTGGGATGGCCACCAATTGGGTCACACAGGATGAACAGTTTGGTTAATAACCAAGCTACGAAGGTGGCGAAAGCGGACAAAGAAGAAGAAGAAGAAGGAGAGGGGAAGAAGAAAGTTGATGAGGCTAAAGATGTCTCAATGAAGGTGAATGGGAAAGTTCAGGGTTTAGGGTTTGTTAAAGTGAACATGGATGGAGTTGGTATAGGCAGAAAAGTGGATATGAGAGCTCATTCGTCTTATGAAAACTTGGCTCAGACGCTTGAGGAAATGTTCTTTGGGATGACAGGTCAGTACGGCTTATACTTCAAAACAGAGATTTTCGACTATGGAGTTTGGCTGACATGTTATATTTCAAAACATTTTAGGTACTACTTCTCGGGAAAAGGTGAAACCTCTAAGACTTTTAGATGGATCTTCAGAGTTTGTACTCACTTATGAAGATAAGGAAGGAGATTGGATGCTTGTGGGTGATGTTCCGTGGAGGTAAGAATCGGAAAAAGGCTTGGTATTAGAACCTGATTAGTCTCTATTATGATCTAAACCATTTCACCTTTTTATTTTATTTTGTTAGAATGTTTATCACTTCGGTGAAAAGGCTTCGGATCATGGGAACCTCGGAAGCTAATGGACTTGGTATGTTTTAAAGATCACCTTCTGGTTTCTTGATTTCTCTTCTTGACTAATAAGAAAACCCCGATTGAATCAATCTTAATGCATGCAGCTCCAAGGCATCAAGAACAGAAGGAGAAACAAAGAAACAACCCTGTTTAGCTTCCCTTCCAAAGGTGGCATTGTTATGTGGTTTTTTTGAGTTCGGCAAGTTACTCAATACTATTTGAAGAAAGTATACCGAAGAATCGATAAAGGCTGAAGCTTAGATTTGATTTTAATCCTGTTTTCTTTATTGTTTTCGGATTTCAAATATGGTTTTTTCTTTAGGTCATTCTATTTGTAGTTTTCTCGGTGTTTTACTTCCAGTTGTTTCTTCTTTCGCGGTGTACCAAATGTCTCTGTTCTCAGAGAGAATAGTCTCTTTTTTTTTATTTCTTCTCTAATATTGTAAATAGTTGAAGCTATCTAATGTGATGAGAGTTTCTGTTTCTTGTGGTTTTCTTCTTGGCTCCAAGAAATGAACATCATCACTTCCTTAATATGGTTTACGGTCTTTTTGGGGTTTCCATTGACTTAAGTCAAAAACGTTTTGCAAAAACAGAGAAGACTATTACAAACGTTATATGTAGTAAGATGACATAAAATAACCAACAAAAAAAAAGCATGGAAAGAATCAAATTGACGGACTGATGGAACCGCATCTAAGAAATAGTAGAAAGTTTGATTTATTTGCTTATTGTATTTTATAAAATACTTTGAAATTAAAATAGGAAACAAACAAATCCAGAGTCGAACATTGTTAAATATTATTGTTTGTATTATTTCTTAATCTTAATCTGATAGAGATTTCATCTACTAATCTAAAAGATATCTAGTCCAATTTAATTAAGGCAAAGAAAGTAAGAAATGTTTGGATTCATTGTCACCAAATTAAATTATTTAAATGCTATGCGATGCCCATCTCTTATAGTTAAATCGTTACCTTAAAAAGAAAAACATTTAACAATTTAAGATTCCAACCAAACATTGAAGGATAAGAAATGAGTCCAAGACCAAAACCAAAACCAAAACCAAAAAAGAAAAAAAAAACAAAAACGAAAATTAAAGTCAAATACCTGTTAGTCTGTAGAAGAAGATTCATGCTTCTTCATAAATTCCAGGTTTTTGTGAAATCCTTAGGACCACAATTAGATTGGGTTTGGAATTGAAAAATGGATCATAATCATCAATGGCGTATGAGACTCTCCTTCAAGAACGCCACAATTGCTCTCACTATCGTCAACGTTCTCATCTTCCTCTTCCTCCTTCAGGGATTTTTCACTTCATCATCTTCATCATCTTCTTCCTCTCGCCGACTCGTTTCAGGTTTGTTTCGATTTCTATCTCTTAACTTTTTCGTAACATGCTTCTGGGTATAGCCTGATTTTGCGTAATTTCTCTGGATTTCATCGGATTTTGAATCAAAGTTTGGTGCTTGAGTAACCATCTTTTGATGGTTCTTTCTCGGATCTGTTCATAACAATAAAAATTCGGGCTTTCAGATTTTTGGACCCCTTGTCTAGATTTAGTGTAATACGCTTCTGTTTCACTTTAATTCTCGAACTCAATATCACTGTGGGTTCGATCTTTTCTGGATGTCTGGCTTCTACAATCGGTTTCGAGAAAGTTTGGATTTTTATTTATTGAACTGAGTATGGCTTATAAACCTCTAAAGATGAAGATTCATTCGCTGTTGATTTATGGACTTTCCTCATCTTTAAGCTTGAGCTGAATTATCATCTTGTTTCTGCACAACTCTGTCTTCTTTTGTTGGGGTACTTAGAAGTTTGTTTATTTTGCCTTTTCTTGGTCCGTTCATTCATCAGTACATACCTTTATGATAAATGCAGCTCAGCTTCGGTATATCAAGGAAGTCGAAGAGATTAGGCTCGCGATGCAACCTTTAGAGCTCATCAAAAGAGTAAGGAAAACAAACATTTTACATTGATCACATTTTGTAGCGGCTTCTTCCCATTAGCATTCTCAAAGTCAAACATACTGGTTCAAAAGATTGGCAATGTGAGAAGATTTGGCTCTATGTTCTTTGATTGATAGGTCCGAGAAATCGAGCAGGAGGTATCTGCAGGGCAAGAAACCGAGCAGCAGAAAGACGTGAAGCAGAATACAGCTGTTGATCTCTCTAAACGGCTCAAGGATTTCCGCGCACTGAACGATGCATCGAGCTTGAAAGGTAAAAATGGTAACAGCCACAATATAATCATTTGGTCTATGCTATGGAATTTAGATCAGAAACATACTAAAAATGAAGGTTTTGATCTTTTACAAATGTTGTCTATCCGCACAGCATTGGAAGAATGGAGAAAGCGGAAAATGGAACGAGCAAGACAACGGGATCTTGAGAAAATTGGAGGAGCTTCATCCAAAACATCATAAGACACTAAGGTCTGAAAAGATCTGTTTATCATGGCTGCTGCTATATAAAATTATTTTAACATTATAATATAGTCTCTGAAAATATTCATTTAGTGTAATACACAGACAAATTGCTTGAAAGGAAACGAATGTGAGATCCTATCTTATCTAAAAATCGATCTACGCCTAATGCCGCCTGGTGATGTTAAATAGCATTTATAACGATTCCGTTAATTAATTATTTAATAAAAAAAAAAAACCAAGAAGAAGAAGCCAAGTAAAGGTCGGTTGTAATGAACTTTTCCTCAAACCCTCTTCAAGAAAAATTTAGGAAAAAAAAGAAACAAAAATACGTTTTAGAGAACGTCATGCATTTTCTTTCACAACAGAAAAGTTTGGGGTAATTTTTACGCCTAAAATAAATTTAAAAATTCTCCTCTTCTCATTCTCTATTTTCTGTTTATATCTACCATAATTTTATAGATTAGATTAAATTAAATCTTAAACCTAATTATGCCTTCTAGTACCCAATTTCATAATCACTGCTTGAAACGCTCTTACGAAAGTATCCGAAGCGATATAAATATACAATTTTTCAAGATCGTCACAGAGTTAATCAATAGCTAATATATTCCCCAATAAATGGCTCTCTATATGCATGTTAATTAACTCCAGGCGAATTATTATAAATAATTGCTGAAAAAAATATCCGATCCTTACAATAAAAATTGACCCCAAAACATGGTAGCTTCGAACAATTAATAATTTAATATGATAAAAGCATAAGGAGATAATATAAAAGAAAGCACTTGGAGATTCGAGCTCAATGACAACACTGGGCTAACCTATATCCAACACTTTAGAACAAACTTGCGACACGTGTTCCACCACCTGTAACGAGCTAAACACAGAAGGTACTCTGTGCACGACACGTGATCATCGTCAAGAAACACCTAAGCCTTTTGTGTATATAACTATGTCATAGATAGATCCCTTCAATCGATCATCACCGAGACTTAAGTGAAGCCTTTGTTGGATTTATAATTTAGATAAAAGAGTGGCAAAGCAGTTAAAAAAGCAAAGAGTGAAAGAGGAAAGTCGAAATGGCGACAACGGTCGGAAGAAACATAGCAGCACCGTTGCTGTTCTTGAATCTGGTTATGTACTTCATTGTACTTGGTTTCGCAAGTTGGTGTGTCAATAAATTCATCAACGGCCAAACTAACCACCCAAGTAAACTATTCTTCTAGATCTCTCTATTTATTAATATATGTGAATATGTGATCATGTAGCTAAATTAAATATTTGAAATGGTTAGGTTTCGGAGGCAATGGAGCGACGCCGTTTTTCCTGACTTTTTCGATCTTAGCGGCTGTTATCGGGATAGCATCGAAGTTGGCCGGAGCTAACCATATTAGGTTTTGGAGGAATGATAGTCTTGCGGCCGCAGGATCTGCCTCTATCGTTGCATGGGCCGTCACCGCTCTTGCCATGGGGTAAATTATATAGAATCTACTTTTAAAAAATGTATATATATGTATGATGAGTGCTTGTTTCAATAAAAATTGTTTTTTTTTTGTTTTTGTTTTTTTTTTGTGTGTGATTAATTAAGGTTGGCATGCAAGCAAATAAACATAGGAGGATGGAGAGGATGGAGATTGCGAATAATTGAAGCTTTCATAATAATCCTGACGTTCACGCAATTGCTATACGTCTTGTTAATCCACGCAGGTACATTCAGCAGCAAGTATGGTCCTGGTTATAGAGATCGTGACTACGCTACAGGTCAAGGTCATGGTCATGTGCCAGGCACTCACGCGGGCGAGCACAAGCCTGGTGTTGCGACCACCATGGCTGTTTAGAGTCAGTTGTTTGTTTTATGTGATGTTAACTTGGGTAATAAGTTTATGATATGATATAGGTGCTTTTTCTTTTTTCCTCTTCTTAAGTTTATGTAATAATAATGTAATTCCATCGATCTGACGAACGAACAAACTGTTGTGTTCTTTTGTTAATTATGAATTTGTGTGTTCCGTATTTTTTTTTGCTTCCGAATCAAGTTGATCCATATCAAACCGTCTATTTTTAGATCATATGGAACCATACCATATAAAAATTAAGTAAATCAGAAGAGCATAAAAACGATTTGCGGACAATCTTTCGTTCACTCTCAATTTTTTTTAGTTGGTTTGATTTTGGTTCAGGATTAGTTTGTTCGGTTTTAGTTAACGTCTAACCTTGAGTGTAACTGGACTTTGGGGCTAAAATGTTGAAAATGAATAAATGAGGGGACTATTCCTCATAATAATAAAAATCTTAAACCGAGCCGTACTAAGAACAAGACCAAACCATGTCCCGTGGGTTTCTCTGGAGATTGTGAATTTGTGATCTTTGAGGGGTATTTGAATCGGTGCAAGAGAAATCATCGGTGTCTCTATGGAGTTATACAGTGATGGTGCATTCACTATTTTTCTTCTACAAGAAGATGTCTTAACGCATGATCCTGTAATCAAAAACATTCCACTGAGGTTTGATTCATGGTATATACATTACATGTTGGTTTTTATTTCCCACATATCATTGTGATTGATTTCCTCATGGAGTTATAACTTTGGAAAGTTTTGGACAGCCCGGCAAGTGTTCGTTGAAATGCCAAGAAGAAGATGCAATATTCTGTTTTCGACTTCTTGGTATTATAATACTGCGAAACATAGCCGCAAGAAACACACAGGAAAATCTCAGTATATACAAATTCTAATCTGTGATTGTAAACAACTATTCTAATCTCCGTGATTTACTTAATACTTTACAGACTATGTTTGTGCTTCTTCGGACTCTCTTCTTCGTCGATACGGGATATCGTCTTGGTGTATAACTACTCTCCCGATTCGTCTGTTTCTCCTGCCTCTCTTACTTATACTCCTCTTTACTTCTTTCCCAATCACAGGTTCTGACATTGGGAGAAAGTGCATGAAGCACAAAGGTACCAAAGCTGCTAGAGACTGTATGAGTATCCCTGAAGGCAGGTTTGAGTAGTTACTTGATGTTACACCGATCAGATTAGCCAAACCCACCCCTAAGAACGCGCTAACTATTTGTGATAGACACAGAGCTGAAGCAAGAAAAGATGTGACTGATCCTTCACAGCCTTGAGGACACATGTTTGATAACAGGACTGCAAATGGAAGGATCTTGAACTGCGCAAGGATCTCTGCTAAGCTTGAAAAACAGAGCACGAAGACCTCGTTGGAGATTCCAACCCCGAGATTTATCTGCTTCACCAAGATATAGTCGAGGAGAATCGATAGAGCGTACAAGAGTTGGACGATATGGATCAGTGGCCTCATGGGAAGCGTCTTCAAGTATCGATCGTAGACCACGGTTAGACAGAGAAGCATCAGCTGTCCGATCACTTTCGACATTCCAATAACCGAAGGATCGAGGTTTAGAACTTGAGTTTGGTAACAGAAGACTGATCCCGACAGAAGTGGGACCATTGAAATGGATGCTACTGCCCAAATCAGAGGCTGTGAGATTTCATCCGTCTGAATTGCCTCCCTAAGATTCGATAACTGTTTCTTTACGCTCCTCACAACCGAGCTTGTCTCTGCTAACCGTGGTAAGCCAAAAGATTCTTCTTTGGAAGATAATGAAACCGCAAGCTGCAGAGACAACACAGCGGTGAAAACAAGAAAGGAGATCTTAGGAGGTGTTCTGAGTAAGAGATATCCTCCAAGTAAGTTTCCTAGGATTCCACCAGCTGCTGAAGCCATGAGCGCATAAGACTGGAGACCGTTTATCCGGTATCTCAGACCGTATTCCGCGACAAGAGCATCTTTTGCAACCTCAGTGACAGATGCTCCAAGGTTGCTAAGCAGGGCACATGCCATAAGAGATGGAAGAACTTCTCTAGCTCCTTGGAACATCGCCATTGAACCCCATGCTAAAACCTGCAGAGACACTGAAGCATTCAAGATTTCAGAACATGTTGAAGAAGGGAGCAGAATCGTCACAATCAGCAAGCTCCTTCGTTGGATTTGGATAGACTAACCTCCAATGGCGATGTAAGGAACTCTACGACCACTTCCGATGTAAAGAACATCAGAGAGAACTCCGTAGAGAGGTTTGGCCACCATGGGAAGACTGCAAGAATACTGCACAAGCTGAAGCGTCGATGGTTGGAACCCGAGGCTATGAACCATATGGAAATTAAGTGCAAGCCATGGGAAGCATCTCGATCCTTGTACCCAATAACCCAACCCACACAAAACCGAGAGACCTTCACCACCCATTTGTTCGTATCTCACCGTTTCTTCAGATTCAGACACACCCTTGTTTCTTCTTCTTCCTCTAGTTATGGAGAGACATGCGAATGTTGTCGCTCTTCTTGATTTGGTTTCCACCATGGAAAGGGTATTGTTCCTGCTGTGCCTCTCTTGTTGTTGTTGTTGTTGTTTCCTGTTAATGGACGAAAATGGTGGTTTCAAGAACTTGGCTGGCGAGTTCTGGATTGATAATAACGGATTTATCATGATTGCTGAACTTTTCCTTTAAGAGGTTTCTTTGTATCAGAAATGAAAATAGAGGAAGGAGAACGGAGAAAGCTTTGGCTTTCTTTTACACAGAAGACATCTTGTCACGAGCTTTGTATGTATCGGTGTGTATTTAACATCTTGGGGCAAAACCCTACGGATCGTTGAATCGAGGAAAGCGACGAATTAGGATTTTTTTCAATTTGGAAAAAAATTGATATTTTGAAGGCAGAGCCAGAGGGATCTAGAAGCGTGTAATAACAAGGAGACAGAAAAAAAGGCTGTCTTCCACAGATAATCAAGGCTTTAAGAGTTTATTAAGTAATTAATCAACGGTTCTAAAGAGCTTTAGGGATTGTTAAGGTTTCTTTTTTAAGGGACCTACAAAGAAATCTACTGTCTTAGGAAATTGGATTCGAGTGGGTCCCATTTCTTCTCTACAATTTTCTTTTTTGGAAACGATGACTCATCTGGTTTTTGATTACGACTTGTCACTAAAGTCCAGTAAAAATTCTCTAATTCAATTATTTTATTAAATTTTTATTTCTGGACTTTCTGGTTTCTATAAATTGAACGGTACGTCGGTAACGAGTAATGACCACACTTTCCAATTGAGACATGTGGTTTACACGAATTATGTGGTTTGCAATTTTACTAGTTATCGGTAATTACATGTAGTCAAATATAAAATTATAAATATACCATAGTACAAAATAATATCCAAATCAAGCACAAATGATATCCGAGCCGACTTCTTTGCGCATGTTACACTTTCGAAACATTTAGGAGGTGTTATTGAATATTGTATTTTTATGAAGCTAAATATAATTACGGCAACAAAAGTCAACTGGATAGAGTAATGACTACGTTATTAGTAGTAGTGATACATTTTACTACTATTATGATTATCTCACTGTAGTATGTTAAGGATACGTTTTCAATTCCAAGTACTTCTCTACACTCTCAAGGCCACAAAGCTGCTTAACGACCGGCATAATCGCTGGAATCGGCAACTCAAACCCATTAATATCAGAAGTGTCTCTACAATCACCATTATTGCAATTCCATGAGAGATACTGTTTTCGAGCTTCTTTAATGGCAGATCTTGTAGCACAATGCACTGAAGCAGCCCCAAGCAACGGAGGCTCACCTGAAGCTGCATCAAAAGAAAAAGTAGACATTTTCAGCTTTAACAAAGTATAATTAAGATTAGACCTTTAGAGAGGAGAAGAGAGAAAACCTTTAGAGGAGAGAACGCGGTTCTTGTGATGACCACTGTTGAGAATCTGAACGTTGAACTGTTTTGGAATTGTGTCTATTGTAGGGATCTTGTAGTCCCATGTGCCTTCTTCAATCACAAGCCCGTTTCCATCTGTTGTGTACTCTTCATACATGTAAAACCCGATTCCTTGTACAAACGCTCCTTCAATCTTCTCACAAAACAACACCATCAACCAACCTTTTATATATATATATATATGTTAATCTAAAAACCAAACTCAAGAGCTTACCTGTCCTAAATCAACAGCAGGATTAAGGCTTCTTCCACAGTCGTAAATGATATCTGATCTTATAATTTCCGTTCTTCCTGTTACAATGTCAACCTCCACCTGCACAGTTTTACATGTATATTTGCCCATCATGCATGTTACTCATTTAGTTTCTAAGAGAACTCCTAATTAAAACTATTGGTTATAAGATTCTCACCTCACTAGCTACAACTCCGTAGTTGAGATACTCTGCAGAAGAGGACTCTGGCTTATAAAAAGTACGAGCTGATAAGTCCACAGACTGAGCATATGCCTGTTGGATGAGCATGTCCCATGTCACAGTTCGAGCATTCTCCAGAATCTGATCCATTATAGGTTTCAGCCTCTCTGCCAAGATAACACAGCAGAGCCTAACTGCTTCACAACAGTTCTCTGATGTTGTGCTACCTGCAGTGTAACTGCTTTGAGTCATACTGAGTGTGTCGATCTGAAGAAGCCGTATTCTCTCAAGAAGATCTTGATCACTCCCATCAACTTTGATCATACCTAGACCGTAAGCAACCATCTGTTGCACCTTTGTCCATAACCCTTGTCCCATCTCAATACCTGCAACCTCAACCACAACCGAACCATCCCTCAAAATGCTTACTTTCCCTGGAGTTGGCCTATTCTTAACTTGATAGACAATGGGTACTCGAGCAATCCCTCTTTTGCGCCATATGTTACCATGGTTAAACTCTTTCACCGATTCAACCCTTCGCTTGAAATCTGAAGATATCTCCAGTTTGTCCCATAACAACGGCAAAGTATATTCATCAGGCTCACCAGCAACTTCCTTGTAAAACTTTCTCAGGCTTTCGTAAGTGTGAACATTTATCCTTCTCACAACATCAACGTCCATGTTCAGGGAAGATGCTACATTCTCAATGATGGATTCAGCGATATACGAACCTTGTACCTCACCGGGTGCCCTCAAAGACGTTCTGCTAGGAAGGTTTGTCTTACAGACTTTGATGTCAAATGACAATGCACCCCAGTCGTAAGTCTTGAGGGAATTCACTATGTTCAGTGGCAGTATCAGACTTACATCCACATCTATCCCTGCATCTACTAACACATTTAGCTCTAGTGCTGTGAGTTTACCGTCTGATCTGAAACCAACACTGTAAATTATTTTCATGGGGTGCCTTCCTCCAGCCATTACCATATCAGTCTTACGGTTCAGGTACATTCTTACAGGACGCTGCAATTTCTGTGCAGCAAGCGCACATGCTGTTGCAATCTGAAATCATTTCAAGATCATTAATATATAATGACAATGGACAGGCCTCTTGATACTCGATTTCCTAATGGCTTTTTTTCAGAGGATAAAATAGTACTTACAAGCATAGACTTTATGGCCTTTCCACCAAAGCCACCTCCAAGTCTTCTGGTGATGACTCGCACGTTACGCTCTGGGATGCCAAGACATGCAGCAATTGCGAACTGTGTGTACTCGGCTGCTTGAGTTGAACTGTAAACCACTAAACATTTGTCTTCGTCTGGAAACACAAGTGACGTTTGTGTCTCCATATAGAAGAAGTACTGTGACCCGATTCTCAACTGCAGAACAGAAGTCAACAGAACACGAGTGTATGAATGTATTAAAGACATTTTATTCGATTTGATTTAGAACAAGAAAGAGAGAGAGGCAGAGAGTGTGTTCAATACCTCTACTGAGCGTATCTTTTGATCAGCTTCAGCCATTCCTTTAGAAATATCGCCAACGGGTTCGGGATAATACACGGGAGGAACCTCAAAAAAGCTGGACTTTTTGACTGCATCCTCCACAGATAACACTGGTGACTCTATATTCCTTAAATCGTACTCAACTACTGCAAGTTTTGCTGCCAAATCTGCATGTTTTTGTGTGTCTGCAATCTGCAGTTTTATTTTTTTTTATTCAGTTCCCATATCAAAAAGAGTAAAGAGAGTTTAGTTCTCAGAGTTATCAGCTTAGCCGAGGGGCAAGATTGAATCTCTTGTGTGGAATCTTTGAACTTCTTATTCTCTTTGTACTTTATTCTATCACAAAAGAAGACGCTGGAAAATGGACTTACCACAAGAGCAATTATTTGTCCGGCACATATAGTAAGTTCATCTGCAAATAGAAGCCCTGTGCCAAACATAGATATGTAACCAATATTTTTCCCCATTTGAGGAATATCCTTGAAAGTAATAACTGCCAAAACTCCGATTGGTGCCACGTTTTCTCTGAATCCAATGCTCTTTATCCTAGCCAATGGCTTTGTGCTATAAATTAATGCTCCATGTACACAATTGGGTAAAGATGGAATATCATCAACGTAAATAGCTTCACCTGGCAAGCCAGACACTCATGTGTAAGGTCTTATGCTGTTTTTTCTAAATAAACATAGTGACTAAAGATCTAAAAGCCTCTCTGCTTTAGTCTTTTCTCACCAGTTAAAACAAAAAAAAAAACGATAAATAGAACAATATATATAGTACTGACCAGAAGCCTGCAATTCAGCTCCAACTTTGATAACGGCTTCACCAACAGGGTGATATTCTTTACTTTCAAACACTTGCTGTGCAGATGACAGCAAAGGCGGAGATATTGTTGGATTGACGTGGCCATCGATATGCTTTCTTTCTGAATCCCAACTGCCACTCTCGATCAGAGGATAGAGAAAATCAAAGAGAAACCCAATGGCCAAGCTTTTCTTGTACTCAGTGTATGACGTCTCTATGCTGGGCACTATGACCCCTTTAAGTAACCTCACAGCTTCATATAAAACACTGTGGCTGAGTAACTTACCGGTCAAGAAATCCTCAACTTCCCTAGCCCTGATTGAATGATACCCACCAAAAGAACCAAAAGCCAAACGGCATTTTTCCACAATGATGCCTTTTGATGATGCATCGTGAGAGACTACTGCTAAGAAAGCAGCGTTGATGTAAGGCAATGCATTTCCCAAAGGGCGAGGTGCAGCTCGATAGGTTTCAAAAAGAAAACCAGTAGTAGAAGAAGCAGCCCAGCTTGGGATATGAACTTTTAAAAGGAAGGTTTTGGTGTCTATTATAGGAGGAGATACAAGAAACTCTCCCATCCTAAGCTTCTCGTGTCTCCCTGAATTTATCATATGCACAGATGCATCTGCAGCGAGCAAAAGTGTGGTTATGTCAGAAGGAAAGTTTTTGCTCTGTGCCATTACCAGATTACCACCGATACTCCCTGAGTTTCTGATAAAATGGTTGGCCACCTTATCCATATGAATACCTATTTTCTTGAAAACATAGGCAGACGTGTTTTCCTCCATCAAAGCATCAATAACTTTAGATATGGTAACAGCTGCTCCAATTTCAATTCCTCTGTCATCTTTCTTGATCATCGACATCTCTGGAATGTGGCTAATATCGATATATCTACCATATTGTTTCTCTTCTTTGTAGTAACCTATTCCCGTGTTGCCAACAACTAATTTCATCAAACCTCTATCACCCTCACGGTTGGTTGCTGTCAATATTTCCTGAAGCTCTGCGATGCTAACAGGAGTGCTCCAACGATACCTTGTCTGATCCAAAACATTACGTTGTTGACGCTTTATCTTCTCCTTCAAGAACTCCGGGAAAGTGAATAGATCTTTATCAGGGTTGTAAGGAGGCAACTTCTTTAACATCTCTTCTCTGCTTTCTCCTTTCCTCCAAAAAGAGTTGAACCCCAAATCCTCTATGTCGACGTCAGCAGCAAAACTCTTACAAGCATCAGCAATGGGACGATAACCAGTGCAGCGACAAAGATTTCCAACAATAGACTTCTCTGCAGCAGAAGCAGTCAGGTAGTGTGGAGTAGATTTCGAGTTTTTGGAGTTATGGGCGTTTGAAAGAGCAGAGTAGAGAGAGATGCACATCCCTGGAGTACAGAAACCACATTGAGAGGCATGGAAACCTGCGAATCTCTTGTGAATTGGGTGAAACCCTTTTTCAGTGTTTCCGAGTCCATCTGATGTGGTTATGGAGCACCCATTTATGCTGCAAACAAGGGTCAGGCAAGAGTTTATTGAGTATTCCTCGTCGGTTTGGTTTTGTTCAGTTTACTTTTTGGTTTTCACTACGTTGTTGTTTTTTTAGTAGTGTACATAGTAAAAGTATTTTTTGAGAGAAACACACAGACACACACAAACTCAGAAAGGAATAAGTAGACATAGAAGTTAACAAATTTGTCTGATGGTTTACGGATTCAAACAATAAAATCATGACTTTCACTTTTTTTGTGGAGACAAATTAAAGAGTGTTAATCATCCAGGTCTAGAAACTGAGGAATCTTGATATACAAGCAAAAAATGATTCTAGATATGAATTTGAGATTCAAACAGAGAAGTGCATAAAAATGTGTACCTTCGCCACAGCTGAGCTTGACACTCTTAAAGCGAGTGTTGGAACGCAAGAAATCCAGTAAAGTCGTTGAAGGATCAACTGACAAGACTTCAAATCTCTCTCCATTAACAGCGAACACCAAATCTTGACCCGCCACCGCCATTTACGCCCCCAAACTAACCAAAAAAGCAGTGAATCAGTGGACAACAGTTAGCTGCTGCATGAGGAGCTCAGATTTTTAGAAAAACTCTGAAAAAGAAAATTGGCAGAATTAGCTATATAAGAAAACTAGAGTTTGCGGAGTTGTTTTAAGGAGCTTAAGTAACGGCGAGAGGTGGTTGACAAATAGGTTCTTTATAGTTACACATATCAATTTCCACACGATACGAAAAAAAATGAAAAGTGGAGAAGTGGACACTAAAAGCAATCTAAAAGAGTTCACTCTAAACGTTAAGTACTAATAATGAAAGAATTTGTAACGTATAGATGAGCAAAAACGCGATATACTGATTCAAGAGGTGATGAATTTGTAGTCTAAAATTGAAAAAGACTATCTAAAAAGAGATAAGTTTCGTTTCAATGGGATTCTAGTGTTGATGAGGATTCTACTGTTTTACAAGTTGTAATAATTTCATTCGTCTTCGCGAAAACGAGTAGTGCTCTTTTTCTCTCTCTTTCACTGCTTACCTAAAATGCGACTTTGGTGTTGATTGGTTTCTCCAAGCCCTAAATCGATCGTTTTCAAAGCACAGAGGAGTCTCCTGCTCAACATATTCACCTCGTCATCACCATCAGAAATCAACCTCATGCAACATCAAGCGACGATTTACCTCCAATTTCGAATACCATCATTTTCTTAAACCCCAGCCAAGTTTCTATTCTCAGTGGTGGTCCAATCTGGTCTAACCGAACCGATACCGTATCGAATATATTACTGAATGTTTTCTAAGAAACTTGACCAAACCGAGTGATATTTGTTTTCTATATTTCGTAAACCGGAAAATCTAGTAGAAACCAAACCAAAATCTGAAATTGTTTTCTCGGTCTGTTTTATATGTCGAGAGAAACTAGTGTTTTGATTAAAATAAACTAAATTTGTTCTAGTTCGGTTCGGGTAAGCTGATTATGAGGGATGTTCTTTCCTTGACGAGCAAACCTTAAACCCTAATTCTCAGAAGCTGGTCTGAGCTTTGTCACAGTGTCTTGCAATCGACAATTTAGTGATTTACCGATTACAAACATTACTAAGTACACAACTTATGCTCCATGTTCGGGTGCTTTCTCTGTGGCAGCTTCTGATTCTTGGTGATTATCCACATTTTCTTGTAATTCAGCTTTTGCTTCAGAATCCCTCACTCCTGAAATCAAAATTTATCAGTTACAAATCATGCGCTTTTGTGCAAGAATCTGAAGTTTTTTTAACACATTAGTTCAATATCAATGGCTTTAAATGGTTTAGGATACTCATCATCATCCCCTACCTGCTTTCTTCTTCTTCCGTGAAGATCTTCTTGAATTATCGTCTGATGCTGTACCAAGAAAAAGATTGCTATACTTGGTCATTACTCTTTCTTTTTCCTCAAGCATCCCTAATAGCTCGTAGGCATCCGCCACTGACTGCACAATGTGTTTATCCGGAGGCTTACGGTCATAACTTTCCAGGTCCTTAAACAGCTTCATAACCCACAAACAAACAAAGAAACACGAGCTTGATGTCAGCACGATATAAGGACATAACTAACTAGTGCTTGGTCAGGGAAGAGGAAACGACCAAAAGCTAATTGCAAATCATCCGAAGAGCCTATGAACGAATGGAAAAAAAAACAAACCTTTACAAGTTCCTGTAACATGTTGTTCCGGAAATATATGCGAATCATTTGTAAGCATAATTGCCAAGGCACAGAATGCAGATCATTCCCGATTTTCTTTCGCCAAATAGCATGCGCCTCTTCTGCTCTACGATCCATATCTAACGCGCGTATCAACTGTCCATATGTCCCCATCGTGTTCCCTTGTCCCTTACTTAGGATCCACTTTATTACCTACAAGCCATTACACGGGGGGCTAAGAAAAAAAAAACCTCTCCCAGATTCTGTTCTACTTTTTCAGTTACTAGATTTAAGAGAGGATATGTTGCTGGGTCCCAAATAAGAGAAAAAAAGGGAGAGAACATTCAGGTGATAGATACCTGGACCATTCGATGCCATTGATGTTCCTTTTCAAGAATAGCTATTACTCTTTTGAGGGAAGCAATGGGAAAATTGCGTTCCCAAGCAACCCAAGCATCCAGAGCTCCATAAACAGCCTCTTTATTATCTTCGATATCAAGAAGCTGCATAGTCCACATCGTATTAAGGGTTTGCGAAAAATGAGCCAACGAATAAACCAATAACAATACGAACAAGAAACCAAGGTTGAACAGGAATATGGAAATTCTCATCATTGACAAAACATTAGTAAAGGCAAACGGAATATCTGAAGAATATTAATTTTTTGTTCTTTTGCTTACAGTGTTCACAAGAAACTTTATTTTATCCTTCTTGGGTATGTTCTCCCCAATTTGATGCCTCCTAGGGGATTCAGCGTTTTCCTTCTTTGATGAATCCGCAACATCTTCCTCATCCTACATCAAGATGAAAAATATGCATCCCAAGGATCTCATTGGTGACAAATAACACACGAAATATGAACGAGGAAATGCCCAATTCGCAGGACATTTACTAAACAAAAGTACATGGATAAGAGAAAGTATTTGATCATCAGAAATATCAGTTCTGTGTTTGACTATACGAATCTACTAAGAGCTTGAGGCAACTGAATGAGAATTCTATATACTATGTACGTGGTATAACTTATATATATCAAGTTCAAATGTAAAATATCTGTCTGGGAAAGAAAAAAACATAAATTGAGCTCACGCTAAGACTACGGCAACAAAACACAAGGCCAAATCTTCAGTGTACCTCATTTTTCACAAGACGTCTAGGAGATACATGGGAATCAGCCACAAACTGGTAGCTCATCGATTGGACCCATAAAAAGGCGGGCTTTTTTGTTTGGCTGACCTGAGAAATAGCATGTCTCACACAATGAGATGTATACAAATGGAATCTAAACAATCTGTGTTTCAAATTTCATCATAAGCACCAGACATCCAGTATAACTACTAGGTTTCTACGGCGAGTAGATAAATGGTTTTCCAAAGCTTCAACATTTCAAAACTGAAAACTTACACCGAGAAGATGATGAACTGGACCAGTCAGCGCGCCAGCATTACCAATGACTTTGTGATTACTACAGAAGAATGGTAAAGCATAAGAGTCAATACACCGACACTAAGATGCAGCTTGAAAAAAGATTAGATTTTACTCCCATGTTTTCGTTTTATATTAATTCGCAGGAAGGAAACTGAAATGAAAGATAAAGCACAACACGTGAATGAATGAAACTTTGCAAATTGACATAATCCGAGCATTTACCTTATTCCATTGAAATGAGAAAACATTCCTTGCTCACCTACAATTAGTTTTTCAAATCAATAGGATTCAATAAACTCCTTCGAACTGTGTTCATTATAGAGATACCGAACATGAGAAGAGTTTTTAACTTAGATTCGAACCAGGCAACATTTCATACCCAAAATGGACACTTTTAGAAGGAATCAGCTCCAAATTCGAACTCAGATATTCAGTAACAGAAATAAATTATCATGATGAAAACTCAAAAGTGATAAATGCAGAGCGTACAAACGGAGACAACAGCAATTCTAACCATATATTTCGTAGTCTCCATTACATCCTCCTCCGGTGAAGAGGTTTCGTACGGCCAAAATCGTAGCTAACGTCGCCGATGTTAGGTTTCCGGTTGCTCTAGTGACGGCGCGTTTCAGAGGCGTTCTAGGAATTAGAGATCTGGAACCCGCCATTGGAGACGGAGCGAGGAGAACGAAGACGGAGGCGTAAGGGGGTTTCAGAAATTTGGAATTCACTCAAATTATTCAATTAAAATTTTTGAAAAAGCCTAAAAAATACCCCAATTTAATAATATTTGCTAGAAAAATACCTAAACTATTTTAACTTTCTAAAAAATATCTGAACAACTATTCACTTTCTGTTTAATATTCAAACTATTTAACTTTATCTTTTTAATACTTAAACTAGAATTAAATCCGTGCATCTGCACAGGAAATTTATATTTTTAATCTAATTTTATAGTATAATTTATATTTTACAGATATAATATTGTTTTAATAAGTAACACATTTATTGTTATGTTTAGATAATTTTTTTATTTATTTTTTCTATTAAATTTGATTATAATTATAAAAATATAATTTTAATTCTGACCGTTTTATTAATTCGAAAAAGAATATAATTCTAAAAACATAATTTTAACCTGTCTGTTAATATTATCATATAATATACAGATTTACTAATTTTAAGTATTTAAATTTTTAGATTAATTGATTATTAAAAAAACTATATATACATATTGTTTATCATTTCTTTTATCATGAAAAATTTTATTTTAAATTTTAATATTTAAATATGAATATAATATCTTATTTCTTATTTTATAAAGATAATAACAACTAATTTTTGTAATTTTTATAATTAATGTGATCTATATTTAAGAAAATTTAAACTAACTAAAATTCAAATTTGAATTTTCGAAATTATTTTTAAGTATAAATTAAAATAATTTTTTTATTTTTCAGAAATAATTAAATTAGAAAAATTAAATAAAAAATTGTTTGGCAAGAGAAATAATAGATATTCAAAAATAGAATAATAGAAAACTAAACAAAAATCGGTTTGGACACAAAATACCATTCTGTTTTAATAATATATATAAATAATTAAATATCGAAAATTTTATACTATTCCTATTTTGAAATACCAGTTTTGCCCACTTAACTTTTTAAAATCGATTTAGTTTTACTAAAAACAACGAAATTATAATATTTTAAAATAAAATAGAATTTTAATGTCGGATTCGACGTAAATGGCATCATTGAGTCTGTTTCTGGCGATCGCGGTACCGTAAACGTTGATCTCAAGAGCGACAACACCATTAATTTGTGGATCGAGTAGGATGGAACGAGTCGGGATTCAAATCTTTCTGTAATTTGCATTTACAAAGACATTATTCTTCTTTATTTGAATTTTCTTCGACCCCGTTCGATCGAGTTTTGAAAGAGATTGTGTGTAGAGAAACTGGATCCAAGTAATCCTCCAATTTTTTCTTCGGATTCTGCTTGATTTGTGATGAAAATTTAATTTTTTTTGTATATAATCAAGTAAATATAACAAACTATAGTAAAAAATATTCATTATTTTGTTATATCATAACTTTTAGTCTTAATTTTATATTATTTAATTGTGAAATTTTTTTATTTTCACATTTTTTTAATTAAATATACTTTATGATATCATTTGAAACAAAAAATATAAAAAACTACCATATTTTTTTAATACAGAAATTAAATAATAAATATACTCTATTAAATGAGAAACAAAAATTTTCCATATTTTTTTCAATAGTCTTAAACGACAACTATAACATTTCTTATTTTAATTATTATTTTTTATTTGTAATGGCATATTATGTAATATTCTACAAAATAAAAGTTAGTTTTTAAAATGTCTACTTAAATAATAATATATAAATATTTGGTTTTGAATTTTTTTTAAAAAGTATCTCCATCCGGTAGGAGATTCGAAACCATTACCTAAATAAAAGGGTTGAATTGTTAAATAATATTTTATTATTTTAAAAAGAAAGATTTTTTACTAAAGACATGAAAAGAACCTTCTTTTTAAAATAATAAAATATTATTTAAAAATGTTATAGTTGTCGTTTAAATTTATTGAAAAAAAATATGAAAAGTCTTTGTTTCTCATTTAATAGAGTATATTTATTATTTAATTTCTGTATTAAAAAATATGGTAGTTTTTTATATTTTTGTTTCAAATGATATTATAAAGTATATTTAATTAAAAATGTGAAAATAAAAAAATTTCACAATTAAAATAATATAAAAATTAAGACTAAAAGTTATGATAAAAAAAAATAATGAAATATTTTTTACTATAAATTGTTATATTTACTTGGTTATATACAAAAAAATAGAATTTTAAATTATTTTCACCAAAAATTTGACATGAAAAAATTAATTTTTAATTAAAAAAGTTTGTGATGAAGTTAGCGTTATTAAACAATATATATTATGATTAGTTTTATATTTTAATTAACCCAATATAAATATGTTAAGTAAACAAGTTAGTTCTATATGAACGGATGATTATAATTTTTTAATATCTACCAAACAAAATTTCGTAAAGTTTCATTCATTCACGTGTGTTGTGCTTTAATCCTTCATTTCACCAAATAAAACCAAAACATGGGAGTAAAATCTAAATTTTTTTTTTCAAGCTGCATGCATCTTAGTGTCGGTGTATTGACTCTTATGCTTTACCATTCTTCTCCAGTAATCACAAAGCCATTTGTAATGCTGGCGCGCTCACTGGTCCCTTTCATCATCTTCTCGGTGTAAGTCTTCACTTTTGATTTGTTTAAACTTTGCAAAACATTTATATCTACTCGCCGTAGAAACCTAGTAGATATACTTGATGATGTCTGGTGCTTATGATGAAAACAGTATCGCTATTTTATTCTCCGGACAGCTCCATAAACTGGAAGAAAGGAATGGATGATGAAACAACGAAAACAATTTTAAAAAAAAAAAAATTCTGAAATGGTTTTTATTTGATGATGAAGCAATGATATACTTATTCTTAGCATTGGTATGGAATAAATGTTATTGATTATACCGAGGACGACTCACTGTAAGCCTGCAACAAGCTAGCAAGACTTGAGAACTTGGGGCGTATATAAAACTAGACCTTTTGATACTCAAGAGTAGGATCAAACAAGAGGAATTGATTGATGACATACATAGTAGATGTTCAAAAAAAAAAAAAGACATACATAGTAGCTATAGTAGAAAGGGCACAGCCCACGTGACTTATGCAAATTCAACCAGAGAGGGATTAAAAGCATCATTATCGCCATTTCTAAAACGGTTTCTTAAAGCATTAAAAAAAATAAAAAATAGAAAATAAGAGAAAAGCACAAAGATCGGTTCTTATTTGAGACTAAGAAGAATCGATTCTTATTGCTACGTGTACACATTTCATTGGTTAAAAAAATTGAAGGAAAGAAACCTTTTTTTTTCTTCTCTTCTCATTCTTTTCTTCCTCGAAAGAAATTTCACCGAGTCTTCGATGATTTCGACGACTCCTGCCGTCGCCATGCTCGTCTCTTTCGGGCCGAGACGACTCGTCGCTTTCTCCTCTGCTCCAAAATCAATTTGGGATTGAGAGCTTGCTTCATTGAGCATAGACATAGTCGGAGAGAGCGATGGCCTTTGATGGGTGTGTACAGAAATTGGATTTCTGACAAGTGAGAAATCTCTTAATCGAAAAAGAAGAGTGGTTAAGGTTAGAAGTAACAAAGGTTTAGGGTTTTACGGCGGAGATAACAACAACAAGGCTCTGATTCTCCCCACCGAAAATCTCTCCGATATGAGCTCTGATTCTCGTCGACTGTGATCACGAGGTTTGACTTTTGTTCCAATTACTTTCACTTTGGGATGACTTGAACATATACGAATTGGATAGTCTAAACAGTGTCTGATTGTGCTAATTATATGATTGATCAATTATCAATATGTTAGACAAGATGTTCATTGTTTTGTCGGGGTTTATTTGGATGATTAAGATGATAGAACTCAGTGCTTAGTTCAGGTTGTTTACTTTAAATTCTCTTGTCTCTCATCATTGTCTAAAGCATAGATTCAAAATTTAGCTGCAATTAGTCGATGATCTTGTACTACTCTATGAAAATGTTCTAATGATTGTCGATAACATCTCTATCTGGTTGCAATGGTGGGCTATTGTATCCCTTTCTGCACTCAGCCATTCTCGGGTAAGAAGATGATTCCTTCACCTTTCGCTGTGGATTGTTGGGCACTTTCATCTTGTTCAATCTCAAAAACCCATCACCTTCTCTACTTCCATTGTTGTCTCGTCTCTCGCACTGCAACGGCGTTTTCTTACGCATCCCTGAGTCCAGTTTCCTTTGTTCCACTCCGTGTAACTCCGTCGGTCAAAAGTATCATTGTTGGCAAGAATGCGTTTTGAGGATGCTCGAAACTCTTCCACATAAACTTATCTCTTTTTGAGAGCAAAGGTGATTTTGTAGAGACATCAAAGATGATTCCACTGTTGATGCTAGGAAGTCCATGTCTGCTGCTAAACGTGCTGAGCTTGCTCTCATCGAGCCAAAACGTGTTAAGAGGTAACTAGTATTTTCGTCTTTTTTTTGTGCTTCTCTGTTTTACTAAAATCCTGATTAAGTTTCGGATGAACATGTTGTTTTGGTAAAAACTTCTAAAACTATTCTTGATGATGATGCAATGAGGTATCAGCAATAAAACTAGAGTTTTTTTATCTAAGTTTCTTAATCCAAATTAGTAATAAAAAAATACCTAAGAAACCTAAAGGGGTATCAGCGATAATGATGCTCTAATGACCTAAATTAATTAATTTAATTATTACGAGATAAAGAATAATAATAGTTAGGAAATTGAGAACAAAATCCAAAATCATGGATTGGATTGGTGGGAGGAGCAAGCCAATAAGGAACAGTGAGAGAGTCGAGTTTGGCGAGTTGGGTGTAAGTGTGAGTAGCGAGATGGAAGATGCAAACGCGACCCTTGTCGATGAAGTAGATGGAATTAGGCTCAAGTCCTGAGCAGTTGGTGGCGTTGACGCAGAAGAGCTCGTTCTTACCAAAGAAAATGCAGAGATCTCCGATGTCCTCCGTGTAAGACTCGCAACCACCATTTTCGGAATCTCTCTTAAGCACTGTGAACCGCTTGGTGGTAGGCACCACGACACCGCCCTTCTTCTTCCTTTGCTCCACCTCCCAGAACGGGATGGGTTTCCCCTCACTCGTGTACTCGATAAACCTATGGACCGGGGATTCAAAAAAAAAAAAAAAAAAAAAACCAGATCGATTTGTTTACAATTTTTTTTTTTATATAAAAAAAAAAAATGAGAGAAAACAAGTTACCAATAAATGAGGAAGAAATCGCCAGAGGGAGACTGAACTAAGTGTTTGATGCGAATACACCTCTCCAGAAGCTGGTGCTCGGAGTCTGAGAGGTTGGGGATAGAGAGAGGAGCGCGTTGTTGGTAATGAGTCAGTTGAGGGAACTGGCCGGGACGTGCTTTGATCTTCTTGATTGGGTCCGAGCCAGGGAGTAGACAAGTGTTAGGAGTGAGATAAAAGCTTGCGTGTTTTTCGGAGAAGAGGACACCGGAGGCTGCGAACTGGTTAGGGAGAGAATGGAGGTGAGTCCAATTAGATCCATTGCTAAGCATGCAGAAAGAGATGGAATCTCTCCACTTAACGGCCAACGTGACCGAGTCGGGGTCTTGTTGGTCAGGCGAAGATGAGAGAGAGACGCCCTCAACGATCCGATCCAGGCCGGGAGAACCAGAGCCAGAAGAACCAGAGCGGATAGGGTCAAGTGGAGGTAGCGAGATCACTCTTTGCCATGGCTTTGACACCGTTGGATTGAACAGATTGGTTAGATGTACAGTTAGATCTTCTGTGTTCATACGAGCTACCCAGCCTCGTGACGAGCCGATGTAGCTGCTACACGTACTACCCATCTTCTCAGATTACCAACTTTCACCGTTTTATTCTTTGCCGGATCGTAGTAGTTCAAATTTACCACTTTGCCATCGAGACTATCTCCCACATCCTCCAAAGGAAGCAATAGGTACGGTGATGACGGTAGAGATGACGTCACACCCGCCGAGGAGGAGAACCCGCGAGACCCAGTTCGCATCTGTCATCATCTCACACACACACACCAGAACTATATTATTTAAACAACTTAAAAAAAAAAATCAGATAAAATAATGACAGAAACAGAGTGTAGCTTACAGTTACAGAGTTCAAACTCAAGCCACCAACTGATTTTGCCAACCCAGTTTGCAAGAATCGATGCATCTTTTGTGGTTTCTTGCAGTGTTTTCTTTTAGATCGCCGAATCTTTCTCTCGTATCTCTATAATATAAGTCAATATATATATATATCCTACTCATATGTGTATTAGAGTAGGGTTTCTCTTCCCTAGCGTTTTAAGAAAACCGAACCAGCCCTTCCGTTTGCATTTTCCTTACCCCTATTATTATTAACTTTTTTTTTTGGTAAACATGTTAAGAACCCCGATTATTATCATTTTCTATTATTTCTATAATTTTAACCCTTCTATTTTTTAATAAACGGGTTGATATAGTACATGTGTGTGTGTTTTACCCTATATTAACACAAATAGAACTGGGTTTGTGGTTCAAACCGACCTGGTCCGGTTTCTTAATCATTTGCCTTCCTCCCGGCCAAGTTGGTTGAATGACGTCGTTGGGTGCCATTATTGTTCAAAGTAGTTTACTACAGTAGTTAGGTACTTCTGTACTTGTAAAGAAAGTACATTCAATTGATTTTTTTTTCCTCGAAAAAAGTAAAACAGATTCATATGACTCTTGCTAAAGCCCATTTAAACTAGTTTGAAGATTTTATAAATAAACTGAAGCATTGTTTTAAAGAGAAGAAATTATTTTTTAGAAAATTAGAAAAACTAGTTTTAAAATTTTAATTTGTTGAAAGGGTAGTTTTTGTTAAGCAGTAAGATTTTGGTAGTTATTTTGTTAAGCACTAAGGATTTGGGTAGTTTTTGAATAGTGATTTTAAGGTTCATAGAGTCTTTATTATTGTAAAGGAGGAGGAGAGAAAGAGAGTGAATAGAGAGAAAAAAGAAGAGAAGAGAGAGAAATATATGTTTGGAGATATTTTTAATAAAATATTTCCTTTGTTCAGAATTATTTGATGTATTAGAAGGTTTTTTTGTTCAGAATTATTTGATGTTCTCACTTTTCAATGCAAAATTTAATGAATTTTTATAGTTTTTGACTTTTTATATTCTGCATATTGTTTTTTTATTGGCTGAATAATATTTAAATGAATTATAAATAATATTTTTAGTATAGGGAAAATAAAAATTAAATGAATTCTTAAACATCAAATAATTCTGAGCAGAGGGAGTATTATTCTCTGTTTGTTCTCTTCTTTAATTTTTTTCCTTTGAAATAATTTATTCTTATATATCATTATAAATAGTTATTATTATTCATATTTCATTTCTTGTCAATATTTTTTATAATTCTGTTTTAGTTTATCTAATTTATTAATTTTTAATTACAAATCATAATCTAAAATAATGTTAAAATAAGATAAAAAGAAAGGGTAATTTAGGATCCCAGAAGTGTTCGTAATAGATTTTAAAATGGATCCATTCCGTGTTCGGGAAATTTCATAAGAAGTTGGAAATTTCCAAACTTTTGTGGTTGTTGTTGATGATGTTTTCTCCCATTGGGATTGTTGAGCCGAGATCGTTTTAGAGGAAATCTGACCAGATTCTATCATTAATAATGGTATGAGCTTTCTCTTCTCTAATTGCATTTGCGTTTTCTTCAAATCATTTAAAATTCATCTTGGTTTCCCTCTGTTCTGTCTTGTATCAAATTGTATTTTTGAGTTTTTCTAAATGTGTAGCAGTGGTCCCATCTGTCTTTTGATTTAAAAAGTTTTTTTTTTTTGTTAATTGAATTGTGAACGAGAGCATTTACAAGAAGATGAAGAAGAGCAACCAAAATATTTTTTTTTTTATTGCAGATTGAACAATGCTCGAAAAAGAAAAACGTTTCTCTCTTATTGATTTTGTTACGGATGAGAAGGAAAAAAAAAAAGAAGGAATGAAGAAAAAAATCATCTTACTTTACTCTTGTTTTTTGGTATGATGTGATTTGTGTGCAGGCTGCTTCAGCCAAGGTAAGTGTAGGGTCTCATGTCTGGGTGGAGGATCCAGATGAAGCCTGGATTGATGGAGAAGTAGAAGAAGCCAACAGTGAAGAAATCACAGTAAACTGTTCGGGAAAGTCGGTAATTAAGTAAATGATATCTTTGATATGGAGAAATTTGTTATTGAGTAAAAGGTTTAGCTTTTGATCTTCATAACATTCTCCTGAAAGGCTTCATTTTTTATCCTCTGATAAAACGGAATAGATAAGATTAGAAGGGAGAAAAAACAAAGAATCACATAGATGTGATGCAATTTTTGTTTCTTAGGTAGTGGCAAAGGTAAATGGTGTCTACCCCAAGGACCCCGAGTTCCCTGAACTTGGGGTGGACGACATGACAAAGCTTGCATATTTGCATGAACCAGGTGTTCTGCTCAATCTCAAGTGCCGATATAATGCAAATGAAATTTATGTAAGCTTCAGCTATTATATATATACCACTTTTGAATTCCAATTTCTTAACCATTTTTTTCCCTTTGCAAGGAATTGTGTTGCGTACATTTTACCATCCCCTGATCTTAAGATGTCTACACAGTTTCTGCAAGCTAATTTTATTTCTTTTCATGATGAATCCAGACATACACCGGAAATATATTGATAGCTGTGAATCCCTTCAAAAGATTACCACACCTTTATGGAAGTGAGACGATGAAACAGTACAAGGGCGCAGCTTTTGGTGAGTTGAGTCCACATCCGTTTGCCGTTGCTGATTCTGCATACAGGTAACTCTTCTGTTGTGTTATTAATGTAGCTTGTATTATTGTTGCATATTAACTGTTTCTGATCACCATAAATATACCATTATTAGGAAAATGATAAACGAGGGAGTGAGCCAGGCGATCTTGGTGAGTGGTGAAAGTGGTGCTGGGAAGACGGAGAGCACAAAGATGCTCATGAGATATCTTGCCTACATGGGCGGAAGAGCTGAGAGTGAAGGACGATCCGTGGAACAGCAAGTTCTGGAGGTAAGTTAGATTCTTAAATACATACAAGGCTACATTAATTCTTGCAAAAGATAAACTTGATGAGTTTCCTCCAGTAATATCTTGTCATATATACTTTTTCTCTGATTTACTTTCGTGCTTTGCAGTCCAATCCAGTTTTAGAAGCTTTTGGCAATGCAAAAACCGTTAGAAACAATAATTCAAGGTGGAGGGGATGAGTCTCACGTTTGTTGTTAATTTGTCAACATTTCTGTATTTTCTTGACCCCAAATTTAAAAATATTTACGATTATTCCATATGTTGCAGTCGTTTTGGTAAGTTTGTGGAGATTCAGTTCGATCAAAGGGGAAGGATCTCCGGAGCTGCTATCAGGACATATTTGCTAGAGAGGTCGCGTGTTTGTCAAGTTTCTGACCCTGAAAGAAACTATCATTGCTTTTACATGCTTTGCGCTGCACCGGAACAGGTAAGCCTGATCTCCTCTCTGGCGGTGTTAGTCCTGTATCAGTCCCATGTTTGACCTTAACTTGAGATCCGCACTGACGAAAAACATTATATTTCACGAGGTTTCAGGAAGTTGAGAGGTACAAGTTAGGAAAACCAAGCACATTTCGCTATCTGAATCAGTCTAATTGCTATGCATTGGATGGGCTTGATGATTCCAAGGAATACTTAGCTACAAGAAAAGCTATGGACGTTGTTGGGATCGATTCTGAAGAGCAGGTAGTACTTTTCTTTTAGGTGTTTATATAACATGCAGAGTTATAGGAACAAGACTACTTACGTTCTTCTACTGCAGGATGCAATCTTCCGAGTAGTGGCTGCAATCCTTCATCTAGGGAACATCGAGTTTGCAAAGGGTGAAGAATCAGAAGCTTCAGAACCTAAAGACGAAAAATCACGGTTCCATCTAAAAGTGGCAGCAGAACTTTTCATGTAAATGGCTTCACTTGTCTGTGTTCTCTCAGATAAACGGTTTTCTGGTCAGCCGGAATTAGAGCCTTGACTTGCTCTTTGTTGCAGGTGTGATGAGAAAGCTTTAGAAGATTCCTTATGCAAAAGGGTCATGGTGACTCGTGATGAAAGCATTACAAAGTCGCTTGATCCTGATAGTGCTGCTCTAGGCAGAGATGCACTAGCCAAAAGTGTCTATTCTAAGTTATTTGATTGGTAGGTTAACCATAGCTAAATCTTTATTTAAGGTATATTCTTGGGGGTTTCTATGCAAAAGGTTTCAATTTTCTTGCTTACAGGCTGGTGACCAAGATCAATAATTCTATTGGCCAAGACCCAAATTCAAAACACATCATTGGAGTTCTAGATATTTATGGATTTGAGAGTTTCAAGACAAACAGGTGCTTAACCGGTATGCTTTTGTTTTCGCTGATATGTTAAGTCTCTGGAACTGATAGTTGAATTCTTTCATTGCTTCCTACATTATGCTCTCTAAACATTGGGCTGATGGTCTGTTATCAAGTTTCTTTATATTTCAGTTGCTTAGCTCAAAGCTTTCTTTATGATGTGGAACCATATGATTACTCTGGTTATAGGCCGTTCCTTGCAGTTCTTTGGTTTGGCTGTTTGATTATAATTCTTTAATTTTGTTAATTCCAACACAGTCTTCTCATTTTCCACGGGAAAATTGCAGTTTTGAACAGTTTTGTATAAATTTGACAAACGAGAAACTGCAGCAACATTTCAACCAGGTTGGACACTGACACTAGATTGTTCTGTTTTTCGGCTGACCCATACTCATACATAACTTCCTCTACTCTACAGCACGTGTTCAAGATGGAGCAAGAAGAATATACTAAAGAAGAGATTGACTGGAGTTACATAGAGTTCATCGATAATCAGGATGTCCTTGATCTTATTGAAAAGGTTAGCACAACTTATATCCTTGATCACGCCTAGTGTTAGTTTATCGGGTTTGAGTCTCTGATGTACAGTTTTTTCATGCCAGAAACCTGGTGGTATCATTGCCCTTCTGGACGAGGCTTGGTAATGTTATGAAGGTCATCTTTGTTCGTTGTTTCTTTCTTTTGTATTCAGAAAATAAAATATTTGGAACCCTGTTTGCTTCTGCAGCATGTTTCCAAGATCAACACATGACACATTTGCACAAAAGCTATACCAGACTTTTAAAGACCACAAGCGTTTTGCCAAGCCGAAATTGGCTCAAACAGACTTTACAATTTGCCATTATGCTGGTGATGTTAGTTTTCTTCATAACCCTAACCGCTTGCTAAAATGCTTGTGTTGATGTAAAGGCAACATTACCGTGGTCCGATGACTATACTCTTGTTTAATTCCACTAGGTCACTTATCAGACAGAACTGTTTTTGGACAAGAACAAAGATTATGTTGTTGGAGAACATCAAGCTCTCCTGAGCTCTTCAGATTGTTCTTTTGTCTCATCATTGTTTCCACCATTGCCAGAGGAATCTTCCAAAACATCAAAATTCTCATCAATAGGATCTCAGTTTAAGGTCTGAAGTAATGCCAAGTTACAACTGATTTTTGCTTATAATATCCACGTTGATTCTCACCATGTAGTAACATACAGCAACAACTGCAATCTTTGCTCGAGAGTTTGAGCACCACGGAGCCACACTACATACGATGTGTGAAACCAAATAACCTTCTAAAGCCAGAAATCTTTGAGAACATTAATATTTTGCATCAACTTAGGTGTGGGGTAAGCTTTATATGTTGCAGAGAACCCTATGCTTTGAATATTTGCAACAGTTTTCATTTTTATGCTTTCTCATGATGTTGGGGAACTTCCTGCATCTGATCTCAGGGAGTCATGGAAGCCATTAGGATTAGTTGCGCTGGATATCCTACAAGAAAGCCTTTCAATGAATTCTTGACCCGCTTCAAAATTCTAGCCCCAGAGACTACCAAGACAAGGTAGCTTAACCAACACTTAATTCATGTATTTATTCTTGCATATTTATCATTTCTTTGTATATAGAATACTTAAAGCAACTTTTTGGTTCTGGATTTTGTGTTAGTAGCTATGACGAAGTTGAGGCTTGCAAAAAGCTACTAGCAAAAGCGGACCTCAAAGGTTTTCAGGTGCAGTTTCATAATTATATCTCGCGCTTTCAACTTTCTTTTTCTGCTACTACATTCGAGATATGACAATCCTTACTAAAAATTTTCTTGCACCATCATAGATCGGGAAGACAAAGGTGTTTCTTAGGGCAGGTCAAATGGCAGAACTGGATGCTCACCGAGCTGAAGTTCTTGGTCATTCAGCACGGATTATTCAGAGGAAAGTTCTTAGTTATCAAACTCGTAAGAAGTTTCTGTTATTGCAGGTCGCTTCAACAGAAATTCAAGCCTTGTGTAGAGGTAATACATGTTGAATGCGTTTGTATATTTTGTTGGCTTTGGAAAAATGTTATCAGGATGTCTTATTCCCTCGTCAAAACTGAATTTAGGACAAGTTGCACGTGTTTGGTTCGAGACCATGAGAAGAGAAGCCGCTTCTCTGAGAATTCAAAAGCAGGCACGGACTCATATCTGCCAGAAAGCTTATAAAAGCATGTGCTCCTCTGCATGTTCTGTTCAGACAGGGATGCGAGCAAAAGCTGCTCGAATTGAACTTCAGTTTAGGAAAAAGAGAAGAGCGGCAATCATTATTCAAGCAAGTTTAAGCTCTCATCTTGATGAACTTTTGTCTTTTTTTTTTTTTTTTTTTTGCCTATCTTATACCTATCACATTCATCTACTTGTTTGAGTATTAAAGACATGCAACTTACTGGGTTATACAGAGTCAAATCAGAGGGTTTTTGTGTCATCGGCATTATGCGAGGATGAAAAAAGCAGCGATTACCACTCAATGTGGCTGGAGAATGAGAGTCGCACGCCGAGATTTTCGGAATCTTAAAATGGTAACACACTCGATTGCTAACATATCAAGTTCTTAGTCTCACTAAACCTGCTGTTTACGAAAAAAAACGGACCTTCCACGAGAACTACATTTTGTATATATTTTTGTCCTTTAACTTTTCGATCTCTATCTCTGTTTCGTATAAGGTCTTCTGTGAAATACAGAATGTAGTCAGTTTTGTTACCAGTCCACTAGATAATATGTAACTAGGTAAGTAGAGATTTTCTTATATCTCTTCATTTTTTCAGGCTGCTAAAGAAACAGGAGCACTTCAAGATGCTAAGACCAAGCTGGAAAATCAAGTGGAAGAACTCACTTCAAACTTGGAGCTTGAGAAAAAAATGAGGGTACGCATCATTTCATCAACGAATGCTCAAAATATTCTATTTCCTGAAGAGGAAAAACAACAGAAATTTTATTTTCTCAAAGTCACTGTAATCAGTCACTTTGTTGGTTCTGTATGAGGCATCTGACCAGTGTAATGGTACAGATGGAGATCGAGGAAGCCAAATCTCAAGAAATTGAAGCATTACAGTCATCTTTAAAAGACATGAAACTTGAGCTTAAAGAACTCTCTGCTGAAAATGAGCAGCTTAAGGTTAGTCAATAAAACCTTTTGTTCCTCGGAATTCAGTGTCTGTGTTGAAGATTATGTTTATGATTTTTTATATGCAACCTCGTTGTTGTGTTTTCTTGTTGTCTTTCCTTATGATAAGGAGTTGGTGAGTTCTTTGCAAAAGAAGAATGATGAATTCGAGAGAAATTCAACAGCTGAAGTTCCTGTAATTGATCAGACTGCAATCGTCAAGCTTGAAGCTGAAAATCAACAGCTGAAGGTAGGATTCTTAAATACATGTTCTAGATTCGTAACAGATTTTCGGTTTTTCCTCTTGATCACATATATATCTCATCAAGCAACACATTTATTAGGAGTTGGTAAGTTCCTTGGAGAAGAAAATCGATGCATTAGACAGAAAACATGATGAAACAAGCTCAAATATCACAGAGCAGTTGAAGGAGAATGTTTCATCTGATTACGAGGTCGTGAGCAATCTTGCAGCTGAGAACGAGCGGCTCAAGGTAACCTTTCTACACATGTAGCTCAACTAAGTAAGTTCATTTTATTAGTCCCCTGAATCTGATGAATGGACCTACTTATTAGGCACTAGTAGATTCATTAGAGAAGAAAATCGATGAAAGCGATGGGAACAATTCTTCAGATGGAAAACAGGAAGGAAAAAGCATGTTGAGAGGAGATGCTTCGATTGATAATGAGAAACTTGCTTCTCAAAACAGAGATGTAAGTATCCCAAATATTACAAGCCTTTCTCTGATAAAAGTGTGGATTTTGTCTGCATCTCTAACTTGATTCATACAATTTTTGTTCAACAGGAACTGGTAAGTTCCTTGGAAAAGAAAATAGATGAAACAGAGAAGAAGTATGAGGAAGCAAGTAGACTCTGTGAAGAGAGGCTGAAGCAAGTTTTAGACGCTGAGACAAAGCTAATTGAGCTGAAGACATATATGCAAAGGTTTGACGTTTTTGCTTTCTTTCTTTCTCCAAATTGTCCATCTTTTCTCTGCAACATGTTTTCACTAGTTAGTACATATGAAATACTTTATCATTCTTCTATTCAGGCTTGAGGAAAAGGTCTCTGACATGGAAACAGAAGAAGAAATTCGCCGGCAGCAAGCGCTGGTGAATTCTGCTTCCCGGAAAATGTCACCACAGGTGTCATTCACAGGAGCCCCGGTAAATCTACTTTTTCTCATTACTTCCGAGTTAGACTCTGTTGAAGAATTTTTTTTTGACTTTCTTTTCTTTGCCTCTTGCAGCCTGTGGAGAATGGAAATCATGTAAGTGATAAACCGTTCTGGAATCATCTTTTCTTGCATATCGCGAGTCTTTTATAGATAGAATTTCTCTGACAGATTTTGGCATTCTTACAGGAACCACTTGCTCCTATACCGGGAAGAAAGTTTGGGACAGAATCTTTTAGGCGATCCCAAATTGAACGACAACCACATGTATGTGCCTACAGAAAACATTACTCCTACATATACTTTTATGCTACTTTTTTCACTGGCTAAATGGTTGTATGATGCAGGAATTTGTTGACGTTCTTCTCAAATGTGTATCCCAAAATGTTGGTTTCAGTCATGGAAAGCCTGTTGCAGCTCTTACCATATATAAATGTCTTCTACACTGGAAAATATTCGAAGCTGAAAAAACCAGTATCTTTGACCGAATTGTTCCTCCTTTTGGCTCTGCAATAGAGGTTAGGAATTACTACGAGACCAATACATATGTGCCTTGGAAAAAAGGCATAAACTTGAATGTTTTAAATAGTTAACGCAAATCCTCTGCTTATTTATTTGCAGAATCCAGAAGACGACAACCATTTGGCTTATTGGCTAACAAACACATCAACACTGTTATTCCTTCTTCAAAGAAGCCTGAGACATAATAACCCAACTGGCTCAAGTCCAACAAAACCTCCTCAGCCAACTTCTTTTTTTGGGAGAATGACACAGGTAAACAAGAAAAGGATAAAACTTGCTATCTTGGCTTCACTTTTAAACCTTATGTAACTGGGATTACTCAAAATATGGTTGTCTCAGGGTTTTCGTTCAACTTCTTCCCCGAACCTTTCAACTGATGTGGTGCAGCAGGTAGATGCTAGATATCCTGCTTTACTTTTCAAACAGCAGCTTACGGCCTATGTTGAAACAATGTATGGAATCATCCGAGAGAACGTGAAGAGAGAAATATCGTCCTTGCTTTCTTCCTACATTCAGGTGTATATCTTTGGTGACCCGACCAACAACATAAACCTTTTGAGACTCTTTTAGCTTAGAAGAAAGGATCATTTCACTTGATTGATTCTCTTCGAATGATTCAGGGTCTGAAGAATTCATCACATGATTCCTCTGTGTTGGGTACACCATCAAAGTCATCTGAAGAAACACTACCAACCAAGGCCGCTGAGTCGTCTGAAGAAAATTCAACCGCTGAGTCAAATTCACCAAAACAGCCACCTGAGGAGAATTCGCCAGCTAGAGAGGGCCAAGCAGCAAAGTCGCCAGAAAACTCTTGGAAAAGCATTATTGGGATTTTGAATCACAACCTCTTCATATGGAAGAAGAATTATGTAAGAATACTTAAGCTTCACATTACTGTTTTAACTTTCCTACTAAAAACGTTCTCTTTTCAGGTTCCTCCATTTCTCGTTCAGAAGATCTTCATCCAAACATTCCAATACATCAATGTCCAACTCTTCAACAGGTACGTAATTGTTTCTATCCCCTCATTGACTTTAACCGGAGGAAAAAAAGACATGCCATGCCATATCAACCATTAAACTAGAGCTGTTATTTTACCGATGCAGTCTTCTCCTCGAACGAGAACACTGCTCATTCAACGTGAGCAAGGAAGTGAAGGCAGGGTTAGATGAACTAGAGTCATGGTGTAGCCAAGCGACTGAAGAGGTAAAAAATGGTCTGAAAACAACTTTAGTAACAAAACATTTTTAGGGTCATATGATTTCACTTGTTACTCTTGAATGCAGTTTGTGGGATCTTCATGGGATGAACTCAAACACACAAGACAAGCCGTAGTGCTCCTGGTTTGTCTTCTTCTCTTGATACTATACCACTCTCCCTCTTCTTTCTCGTTCCTGAATGAATGTTGATGGGCTTCTTCTTTCAGGTTACAGAACCAAAGTCCACAATTACATACGAAGAACTTACAACTAACCTGTGCCCGGTAACACTCTGCTTCTCTGATGTCACAACTCACATTAAAGAACAATTAGATACCAGGAAGAAAAGAACAAAAATGACAGGCTTCAGAATCACAATATGTGCAAAGATATCTAAACATAACGAGGAAAGCGTGGAGAACCGACTAGGCCTAAAAATAACTCCTTTTTCCTTCGTAGCCTTCTGTTATATTTAGAAAGATTGAGGTTGAATCTTGGTTAACCCTTTTTCTGATCTTTCTCTGTCTATCAGGTTCTTAGTACTCAGCAACTGTATAGGATATGTACCCTTTGCGAGAATGAAGACCACGACAATCATAACCTATCGCCAGAGGTACGTTGCGCTGAACAACTTCACCGAGATCTGATAAACCCGAAGAAAAAAAAAAGACAAGAGCTATTGCCTTTTCTATTTCGTGTATTCATGTTGATTTGAATATTGCAGGTGATTTCCAACTTAAAACTATTATTGAAAAAAGAAGATGAAGACAGCCATTCCTTTTTATTAGACAACGATTCCAGGTACTAGCTAATGTCATTATCGTCGTTTATTAAACTCCTTGAAGATTTTAGCCTAATTATTTGTTGTGTGAACACGACAGCATCCCTTTTGAAACCGATGAAATCTCGAACTGTATGCAAGAGAAGGACTTTGCGAATGTAAAATCAGCTTCCGAGCTCGCTGATAACCCCAACTTCCACTTTCTTAAGGATTGATTGACAATATTGTTTGAGCCTTCTTCCTCCTAATTATAGGGCCTCTAAATGCTACCATTGATGATTCGCCTGACCTGTATATTACAATTCCTTTTTCGGTTTTGAGTTTGTAGAAACCTATTAGATTTCTTTTTCTAGTAGTTTCCCCCCAAGAGCGTTTTGCAGTTGAGCGTCTAGTCTGTACGGCTCTCGCTGTCTTCTTTTCACCCTCGTTACTTGTAGGTCAAACAATCTCAAGGCGGGAATTATTAAAGCTATGTAAAACAATGCTTTTTTAAAAAATAATTTTATGAATATAATTATTATTATGAGACCCAGGACAGCCAAGTGGGCCATCGAAATATTTGGGCTTCAGCCACTTAGCCCAGATTGGTACTTCGTTGCCACGTCATTTCGGTCAACCAAAAATCACAATGGTTTAGATAAATGAGAGCTTTAACGAATAAACCGGTTTGTTTTTGGTCCAATTTACGCATATAACATGAGATTGATTTGATATGCACGAAGGAGATGCATGAACATAACTTTATTTTCCTTTTGTCAACTCTTCTAGGGTAAAACTAGAAAGTATGATATCGAAGAATTTTAATTAAAGAAACGTTGACAATGGACAACCCGTATAAACTGAAGCAAAAACAGCATTATAATTGAACCACATTGTTCAGATAGGTCTGATATTTTATTAAAATAAGGGTTGAAAAGAAAGACGATAAAATTTTCGGGCAAAATGCAATGTACATCTGCAAGAATCTTGGGAGACGGCTTTAAATTAAGTATTTAACCGTTTTCCAAAGCATTTTAATACCATGACAATTAAAGTTCTTAACACCTTGTCTTTACTATAATTAGCTACTACCATCCATGTTGTGCATGATTATTATATTACTATTCTATTAATCAAATGTAGTTCTGCTCATATTCATACCACAAATACACAATAAGAAAAACTACTCATTTTCAATCCTTTACGCTTCTAGTTTCCAGGACTCTAGTGGTATACATGAATGTTATACAAAAACCTATTACACTATTAGTAAATTACGTATAATCTTGTTACACTCGTTTACCTTTCTCCTTGGTTTTACCTAAACACCCCTTCTTTAAAATTCATTCGCTCTTTAATTAATCTACACCACAGATTTGTAATGCAGAATAAAAACGACACATACCATTCTCTTTCTTTCGGCTATATGAATATAAGAGATTATTATTTTTCAGAAATATATATATATAAGAAATTATTAGGTTTCTATGTTTTAGAATTTAAAAACAAACTCGTGACAGCTTAAAATAATCCAAAACCCATTACTAATTCATCAATAAAGGAATATTTGTGCTCTTTAGAAAATTAAAGATACGATACTACATTGCTACATATATTCATAATTTCATTCATCCTATTGTGATTTATTTTGTTAATGATTATTTAAACACAAATGTGAGCTGCCACATGCCGCCTATTACGTGTGACACGATGTATGATGCTTAAAATAAACCAAACTATTTCCCTTGATTTAATTTAAAGAGTACACACATTAATGTACATTAACAGTCTAGAACTTATAATAAATGTAGGTTTTGAATCTAGTTAAACGGATTACGGTTCCGAACTAACATTAATTGGAAAAAAACCAAAAAACAGTAAAAAAGCAAATAAAAACCGATTTACCCGAACAAAAACGTAACAAAATCAAATCCAAAAAAAAGAACTACAACTTCACTGATTATTTTTCTTCGTAGAAACTTAAAGTGGATCATTCTAAAAAGCAAAATGGAAGCTGAACGAGTTCTATTTGTAAAGAATTCCAAACGAAGGCCATTTTTCGTCGGACCGAATACCATAATAATACCCGCAAAATATGAATAAGATAAAATTATTTGGTCAGAAAATACAGATCATATATAAAGGGTTGACCAGTAAAAAAAGAAAAAAAATAGAGTCACCAAAGGTCAAAGACACCTGAGGTTGATGGTATAAATAAAATCAGAGAAACATGTGATCACATGGACTTGCCATCTTTCAATATCACAATGTTATTTTTATTTTTGAGGGAACCATTTGACTCCAATCATTTATTATATTTCCATACCCTTTCAGTTATTACAGTTATGGAGTTAGTTGCATCTCTATCTTCTTTTCTCTCCTTCCCCTATATTTCTTCTATTTGTATATCCACGGTTTTTCTTTCTTTTGAATCTATTAATAATCCACGTTGTACCACTTATTATTTTCTCTGCAAACAAAAAATTCCTCATTTTTTTCTTTGAATGAAATCATATCCATCATTTATTTGCTTAACATATATATTCTTTATATTGTTGATCGTGGAATAATGTGATACATAAGTAAGAATTTAAAAGAGTGCTACAATAGGCGTGTTCTTTCTAGAATTCGAGAATTTCTAGCCAAAGCTTAAACTAATTTTCATATATGGAACAGTGAAAGAACTAAATATTTACCATTTAAAACATTTACATCAGCCGGCCAATTAAAATTGCAATGAGATGATTTCAAAATTATAAGGTTCCATTAATTATTAACAAAGTCACAAAGTGTTTAGAATATGAGAGATTAGTGGCCAATAACTTAGGCAAAAATTATGAAATGAAAGACTAAACTTTATAAATCTTCTCCAAACATAGGTTTTAGGCTTATAAGATGGGATTTATACATCATACAATACCATCTCAAAAGGTTAGTTTTGTTTATATGTGAATTTATGTGATGAACTAAAATGAGCAGCACCCGCCCCTAATCTTGAGGATCAACGTATACGTATGTTAATGATTTTTCGTTTTGTTTAGTGAGCTCAATAACAACTTAACTCTACGTTGTTCAAACAAGCAGTAATCCACAGAGAACAGAGAAAATATTTGTTGGAATAAGTTCATGTTACCAATATATATTCAACTACTTAATTATAAAATGTACAAGCAGATGGTAAATATAGAGACGGCATGAAATTAGGTAGGCTTTTATGCTAAATTTGTAACATGGGATTTCGGGTCCCTAATCAGTTATATATTATAATTAAGTCACATGATTATGCAACTGACTCTACCGATCGAATCTGATTAATGAAAGTAGAAAGAATGTGTTTATATGTATAAACAAAAAAAAATTTGGTAATTCCACTTTAGCAATAATTTTGTCCTTTTCTCTCGTCGTAGTATATATGTTTAATGCCTTATTTTTTGCTTTCCGAGATTCTCTGGCAATAATTACACTTATTGCAAGAAAGGAGTTGAAATTTTAGTTTAATAAAATATAAATACTACTATTGTTTTTGCCATACCAAATAATTTTCAGATGTTAGAAATGATTGGCATTACATATATACCAACCAAAAGATTTGACCAAAATTTTGGCTGATAGTGTCGCATTGGGGATTATGTTACATGTCGATATAGTTTATTTAGCCTACTTATGGTCTTCATTTAGTTCACTGTATAGTAAATTCTATTTATATTTTTAATTTATAAAATAATAACACTAAAAGATATTGATGATTTATGGTTCCAGATTGAACCAACTCAAAAATTAGCTACTTCCAATAAAATCATTATTTTTATCAAAACATATAATTTCATTAAATATAAATAATTCTAATTTTTCTTTTACACTGTTAAACTTTAAAACGCATCTCTAATATTTGTTTATTACATCAAGTATTGTGTTTTTTTCGAATTGCATAAAAAATATAAAGAGTTTTAGATACAATAATTGGTTTTATATGTGTAGCTCATTTAAAAAATAATATAGTAAGACACGCTATTTGTTGGTGTATATGATCGCATAAAACTACATTGATAAATATTATGGGAAGAAAACTTAGGTTGGTTTTGCTAATGGTCAAATGAGAAATCACAAAGTCAAATGAAAATTTTTAAGAGATATATTTTATTAGCTTAGAGGAGTTTATTATTCCAATTCCCATGTTTCCATGTGATAACATAAACAGATTCTGCTTCACAACCGTATTTCTCATAGATATTTCTCTTAACTATAATTTTATTCCGAGAAACACAAGGAAAATCCAATATTCTCTTCTTCAAGATGATTTTATTGTCCATTAATAAACAATCTGCACTTGAAAATTTTATTTAAGGAATTTAAAGGATATTGTCCATTTAGTTAAGATTAAAAAATTATATTTGATATTGATACCCTGTTGAATGGTTGCATTATAGGCGATGGATAAAAAACTTTTTCCTACCACTTCATATCATCTATATTTAAAAATCAAAAATCAAAAACTCTTTTTCTGGAGTGTTTGTGGCAACGAGTGATTGCTGATAAATAATAGCAAAACATTAATAAAACTTTAATAAATTACATAACTTTAATAAATTAATAAATTACAAAACATTAATAAAACTCAATAACAAACAGGTATGTAACAGTTTTAATAAAACTTTAATAAATTACATAACTTTATAGTATTATAATTATCATAAATGTTATAAAACGCTATGATTCTACAATTTTTATAATTAAATATTTTATGTTTCATAAATGTTGGCATTTCATTATATTACTAAATAGAAGTGAAACAAAATATAAAATACAAAAAACGAAAAGTGATGCATAAGTATACTTTCTGTGTTTCTTAATATAGACTGTTTTGAGTGAAAGCACAAAGATGAGAAAATTTAAACTCTAAAATACCCTATATTAGAAACATAAACATAGGGAGTATATGTTTATTTCATTTTGAAAAATTATGCATAAGATATAATTGAAATTCTCTTCTTTTTTTAATTGGCATGCTGACAAAAAATGATATTAATTGGTATATATCATATATATTTTGAATGGTATATATCATATATCATAAAAGAAAGATTTTCTACTCTTTTTTCTTGTTCCATAAAAATTTATCTTAACGTCTTTATTAATTTGTTGACCAAAAAACTTCTTTATTAATTAATGGTAATGAATTGTATATAGACATAAATGAAATCGTAAATAATTAAACCAACATACCATACGAATATTAAAATATCTGTTATCGGTGCATTAATGTTAATTCTCGAGGTTTCTAGGAAATGATACTACACCATTACCCAAGTCTTGGAATACGGTAAGTGCGATCGATTCCCCAAGTCTTTTTAGTTTTCACTTCTCACTTTATAACCTCTCCGATCAACGAGAAACGAACACGCCTTTAATTTCGATTCTCTATATCTATGCATCAAATTAGCCAAAAGATAGTGTTTATTCCAAGAAATATTCAGTTACTACGTACCATCATTATCCATATGCGTAACTCTCACTTCAGTAAAGTTATAGTACATAATGATGTTAATAGATTTTATTTTTTCTCACTTTATAATATATATATATATATATATTCCTATACCACTTGTATACCAACATTAGAAAAAAATGACTATGTGAGTCCAATTTTTATCACGGTTCAGTATAATTTTGATTAATTAAAGTACTAAGAAAATCAATGAATTCTATTGATTAGTAATACTGCAGATTGAACAAACTATAGCAGAATAAAATGATAGAATCTTTGAACGAAAATTTAAATTTGTTGTCTCGGATCAAAAATGCGCTTTTTTCAAATATATCTTTACGATATTGTTTGTTGGTAAACGAGTTATGATATATTCTACCGAAATGGTCGGTGAAACTAAAAGCTAAGAACATCCGAATATTCTCGAGAACTTCCATTCAATTTCATTTATCATCAGATTCGATACAGAAATTAAAGTTACTCTAAGTAAATTCTGTGCCAAAGCAAGCGCATGTTGGTTCTCCTCTAGATTGGTGCAATTCAAAGATATTTTGATTCAGCATATAATTCATGATATATACTTAACTAAATAAGTATTGCACCATTTTCCATTTACAAATATAAATTCTGTAATATCTTAAATAGAAAATTTCTGTAAGATCATTTTCCCTCCAATCACAAGTGGGAGATTTGAGCATCTCATCGTGATCTCAATTTGGAAATATAAACCCTTCAATAGAAATTTTTGCTAATTAGTTTATCTATCTATTCGTATACAAAATAAGGTCAATTAGCTCGAACATTCATGTTTGTTGTTATTCCAATAAGTTTGTACTTTTGATTTGGAAATATGCAACATTCCAATGAACGTCTTAACAACCAAATTATATACTTTTTGACAAAAAAAAAACAATTTATATACTAATAAAAATAGATAGGTTCATTGGATCTTGATTACAGTTTATCTTCACCACCAATTTACAAATGTTATAACTATAAATCTATTTAGATTTTCAAGATTCTTATCGCATGTATGTTGCTATGAAGGTCTCTAATAAACGGGTGTAACGGCTTGTATTATTCTTTTTATAATATTCATGATATCCCCACCCCCGTATAATATATACAAGGTCGAGAAATAAAATTATATATATATGTATATATATATAATATGTGTAGTGTAATTACATAGATCAATAACAAGGGCTTGTTAGTAGTCTAATTATATTTTTTTTGGCGTATCTAATTATCCTTTAAAAGTTTAAAATCGGTACTAGTATACTTCTTTTTCATGAACACTAGATATTAGCTGACCCATAGATCAAGCAGAACATCAATACTTAATTGTATTTTAAACATATGAATATGTGCATGTATATGTTTAGCAGTTTACGGTGAGATTTGCATATCGTTTATCTTATTTATGAAAAAAAATAATTAGTCTGTGGATTTGGAAAGTCTGTGGGATGCGTAGCCACTCTTGATGGAGGTTTAACCACGTTGCCTCAAATTCCACAGCTTCGCGGAATTCTAAATTTTATGTTTTTGAAGGAAAAAACAAATTGATTAACATACAATTTTTAACTTTAGTTGTGTCTTACAAATAAAATTTTCTGGATTGATGTAATTCCTACAAACTAACTCTGTTCTGTTACATATCCTCCAAATATAATTTGAGAATCCAAGAAAAAAAAAAACTTCATCTATGTGAATGTGAGTAATGTTCCGGAGAAACAACTTTTTAAAAATTCTAGATTATGACATAGAATGAGGAAAGGAGTAGGCATTTTGGAAGCACAACGAAAGTAAGTAATATGATCAAATGTAACAATATCTCAAGTGCAATGGCGATAATTTTTAACGAAAAAGTCATTTTTACTGTTTTACATAGTATTTCTCTAAAATAAGACCAAGGAGGAGCTATGAGAAACTCCCAAGTCCCAATGGACCTTTCATGTTTATGTGTTTACATGATCGTGTAGCAAAATGCGTTGTCATGTCTCTTCATTAGAATCGATCGTATAAGCAACATATATGTATGTATCTCCTTTTTTACCCTTAATTGAATCCCACGTTGGTAGCAACCTGACATCAAATTTAATTATCTTGTTTTCTTTCTCTTGTCTGGTGTATATCCAAAGTCATCTCTCTTCTTTCATTAGCCTTCGAAATTCTATTTTACTAATAGTCCATAATGGCGCTGTAATATCCATGAGTTATGAGATATTTTGGGCATATCAACATCTAGTTCTGAGATATTTATTTTAAGAACTACTTTCAAGTCTAACAAAAAATGTGGATGTTTTAATAACGTAGATAAATACTTATTTAGTTTACGGATCCATATTTGCCTAAAATTATATGATTTACATGTAGTTCCATTGTATATACTATCACTAGCTGACTTCAACCTAAACTATAGTTGCATGACCGAATTAAGACCAAATTTGGAAAAATAAAAAAGAGATGGAAACTAGCCGATTCGGTCTACACCGACCACAATGTTTTTGGGTTTAACCGACCACAGTCTGCTCCTAAAATATATATCCTAGGAGACATTTACTTGTAATAGCCAAAAACTACTATCCTATCGTTGAAGAAAATAGTTCACGGATTTAATGAGTCAACTAGAAGGCATTTTTTTACAGGCGGGCAAATTAAAACATATGGGTAGTTATAAAAATTTATAATTGAACGAGTTCATCCTGTCTCCATGTAGACCTAGTGTACGTATTTTATCTTTGACATGCAAAGAAAGAGATGCAAAATATGGAACCACTTTTCTTGTAACTAATTATTGTATTTGTTGGACGAGGATTAAATTAATAACAATGAGTAGATATATGAAAAAAAATATAAACAAGTAATGGTGGGCTGCAAGCTTATCATTTGAGAATTAAATAACATTCAGAAGTTAAATATATAATAACAATTTTCAATCCATACCAAAAATAATTATTTACTAATTTACAAACGCCGATTTGCTTCAAGTCTTCTTCTCTATTTATACATCTTCTTCTCCAATCCAACAAAACACAAATGCACTAAATCTCAATCCTAAAAAGCTCTCTAATTTTTTTTCAGACATTCTAAAAACTTCCTCTGTTTTTTCTTCCGAACTAGACAGAAGTAAACTCAAAACTCTGTTTAAGATGTATGGAAATAATAACAAAAAGTCTCTCAACATCTCGAGTATGTTCCAAAACTTAATCCCGGAAGCCGACATTTTCTCCCGACGCTGCATTTGGGTCAACGGTCCGGTCATCGTCGGAGCTGGCCCATCGGGCTTAGCAGTCGCTGCGGGCTTAAAACGTGAAGGAGTACCTTTTATAATCCTCGAGCGAGCCAACTGTATTGCTTCTCTGTGGCAAAACAGAACGTACGATCGTCTCAAACTCCATCTCCCGAAACAGTTTTGCCAATTACCTAATTTTCCCTTCCCGGAGGATTACCCCGAATACCCTACCAAGTTTCAGTTTATTCAGTACCTTGAGGACTACGCAACCAACTTCGACATCAACCCTAAGTACAACGAGACAGTCCAGTCAGCGAAGTACGACGAGACGTTCGGACTGTGGCGGGTTAAGACCATTTCGAAGAGCGGGCAGTTTGGTTCTTGCGAGTTTGAATATATCTGCAGGTGGCTTGTGGTGGCTACGGGTGAAAATGCTGAGAAAGTTGTGCCGGATTTTGAAGGTCTAGAGGACTTTGGCGGAGATGTTCTTCACGCCGGAGATTATAAATCCGGTGGAAGGTACCAGGGGAAGAAAGTTTTGGTCGTCGGATGCGGAAACTCCGGTATGGAAGTCTCTCTAGATCTCTACAATCATGGAGCAAACCCATCAATGGTCGTTCGTAGCTCTGTAAGTACAAAAAGCTCGAGTCTTTATAACCCTAAAACCAGAGCATCCTCTGTTTTTTCTACCCTGTTTTTTTTAAAAAACAAAACAGAGCATCTGATACTCTGTTTTCTGTTATTTCTTGATTTAACAGGTCCATGTGTTACCAAGGGAGATTTTTGGGAAATCAACGTTTGAATTAGGAGTTACGATGATGAAATGGATGCCAGTTTGGCTCGCGGACAAGACTTTGCTCCTTCTTGCAAGGATGATTCTGGGGAATACCGATAAATACGGCCTAAAAAGGCCGAAAATGGGACCGTTGGAGCTAAAGAACAAGGAAGGCAAAACGCCGGTTCTTGACATCGGAGCATTACCCAAAATCAGATCGGGAAAGATCAAAATCGTCCCTGGAATCATAAAATTCGGTAAAGGAAAAGTTGAGCTAGTCGATGGCCGTGTTCTTGAGATTGATTCCGTTATTCTAGCGACTGGGTACAGAAGCAACGTCCCTTCATGGCTTAAGGTAATCTAGACAACATCTTTCATTGTTCTTTAAAATTTTTTAAGACATTTAATGATGTCGGAAGAAAAAAACACAAATACCCACCCGACCCGGTCCGAGTTTGGTGAAACCCGACCCAAATTGATTTTTGAATGTGAGAGCTATAAATGCAAAACCCCAATATTTTAAAAAGATCATCTATACACTTTTTTTGTTTTTAGAGAAAACACATTTGTACATATTTTTCGTCGAAAAAGGAGACAAAATCGTGGTACGAGTGTTTATTTTAGTTAGATAGAGAAATCCGGTACGACAGTTAAGGGAAAATGGTATTAAATGTTTGGAATTAATTACAATTTCAGGACAATGACTTCTTTTCCGATGATGGGATACCGAAAAACCCGTTTCCAAACGGATGGAAAGGAGAGGCAGGATTGTATGCGGTCGGGTTCACAAGAAAAGGATTGTTCGGCGCGTCGCTGGACGCGATGAGTGTGGCTCATGATATCGCTACTAGGTGGAAAGAAGAATCTAAGCAACAGAAGAAAACTGCTGCAGCTCGTCATCGTCGGTGTATCTCACATTTCTGATTAAAAAAAATACAAAATGGAGAAAATCAAAGAGATAACTAAGCCCTCTCCTTGGGAGAAAAAACCCAAAAAAAAAATGTGAAAATTAAAAATACTTTGGGGTTTTTTTTCTTTGTTTATAAGGAAGATGTGGCTTTTCTATATATATTCTTGTTTTATTATTTTGTTTTGCGAATGCTTTTATTTTGTTGTTGTTCTGTATTTTTTTCTTCATTTTAGATGTTGAACTCTGTAAGAAGTTTTGTTTAATCTAATATGACATATGTTATTGTACTTTATCTTTTTTTACCATTATGTTTTATTCTTGGTGAATATTTGTTTTTTGTTAGTAAAACTAATATGAAAAAAGAAACAACTAATATCATGCTGTTTCATTATTGCAAGAATTCTCTCACAAGTTATAGCTGTTATTTTGGTGATTTAGGAATTATTAGCCATACCATACCATTTTTGTAATGATTTAATTTGACAAATGATTGATTACACATGATTATCTTGGACCATCAATACAAATTACTATGATTACTCAAATCTCAGATAACAAAACATGCTTTTATGTATGCAAATTCCATTGGGGATGCAGTTGATATGATAACAATAAAAATTTAATAAAAAAATGAATATTTGTAATTTGTATCCATTTTTAAAAACAATTCAGAGAGATGCATTTTATTATTATATGAAGGCAGAGTATCAGAAAACAGAGTGCTCAACCCAAAAGGCAAAACAATGGATAGTTTATCCGTTAAACAGAATAATAAAAAAAGAACATATTAAAATATGAGTATGTTTCTTTTATGGTTTATTTTACATAACATGAGTTAATTTGATAGTTTTTAGGAAACTATGAATGAAACAATGGATTCATATAAGCTTGTATATATCCTCGAATTAAAAAAGACTATAAATAAATAAATAAATAAATAAATATATATATATATATATATATATATATATATATATTGAAACGGATTCAGATCCAAAGTATGCAATATGTAAATGTACCCTCTAACATTATTTAAGTTTCTTATTTGTCAAATTGTAATTCAAAAAAATAAACTTAAGGTACCGGAGTAGCTTTATTTCACCAAATATATATATATAAACTTTTACATACTCTGTATATGGACAAAGCCTCTGCTGAAAAAATATTCAACTCTGGTGCAAAAGATCAGACATTAATGAGAATCAAGTTTCATTTGAGGTCTCAGACTCTGCAGGCAAAGTCATTGAACAAGCAGAATAGAGAATTGAAAAACAAAAGGACAAATTTGAAGTTTTGTATTTCTGATTTGTGGTGATGAGTGAGTGACTGAAGCTAAACCACGGTTCCTTCATTCTCTGGTCCAAACAAAAAACATTAAAAGCTAATTCCCACCCCAACTGTGTAAATGTCTGGTTCCCATCCCTTTTGAAACAGTTATTCATGTTCTCACACAAAACTCTGCAACCTTTTACTCAGACATCACCTTAACCTAAAGACATGGAGGAAACCACATGGCTGATTTGGATTTAGCCGCCGATTTAGACTGTTTCTTCTTTTTTGTTCTATGTAAAAAAAAACACCAAACCGACCCATATTTTCTTGCCGGTGTCTTACCAAAATTCACAAAGGGAAATAGTTTTGAATATTACCAACATACTACAAGTTGAGATACAGTAAGACCAATGTACATAACTCACTGTAGAATGAGTGTAACATTTGTAAACTTACATGAGAAAGGCCTATATGTTTATTTCTTGGAGAGCATTTGATCTATTTGGCCGTTTTTGTTGTACATTTCTACTATCTTTTTAGCATATGATGGCATGTGACTGTTGGCTCTGCAGAGGATAATGCCACTTTGGTTATTAGAAGGCGATCCGATAGCAAAGAAACACACGGATAATAATAAAAAAATATATTTAGGAGTGTGCTATAGATTTTTACCTTTCTTTTCCCCATTTGCGGTTGACGTGCAAATAATTTCTGATGGTATGGTAATCCAATGAATACCGAGCAAATTCTAGACCCTTAGGACCAACCTGAAGCAAGAATGCATTTACAAGTAAGGCTTTTTGCTATGAAATTGCTTCCCCGTTTGTGTTTATAAGGAAAGGATTTTACCAAACTTAGGATGAATGCGATAATGTTTCCAACAAAAAGTGGCGCCGGCTGAGAAGGACCTCGACCTGAGAAAATAAAGGAAATTGAATATTTAGAAGACTTCAGACAATGTTAGTTTTGCTTGGCATCTTGCATTGCTTGAACAAAAATATGGCTTTAAGCAGAGATGATTCAAGAAACGTAAGTTTGAAACATACCAAACTTAGCAGCATCGTCTGCCTTAACGGTCTCTGTCACAAAAGGTCGCCGATCACCCTGAAATAACAGCGAAAAAAATGTTTCCTGTAAAAAGGATTCTCAAGTCTTAAATAAAACAAGTAATAAAAAAGATTGCAAGTCTTACGCTGCTGATTGTTGGAGAGATCTCCAAAAGGTTTTCAACTAAGCTTAGCATTTCTTTTCCGCGCTCATTCCTGTAGTTTTATGCATAAAATTAACTAATTTTGGCCAACCTTACAAGTCTATGAGGTCCATACTAATAATACAGGTAAGAGGATTGACCTCACTGTAATATACTGCGGATGGTCAGTCATGTTCACACCTGAATACTTCGGAACACCCATATACCCGATAACCAAATCCTACATCAAGCATACATAGAGTCACAAGGAAGCGATTGAAATTGGCAGATTTTAAACTATTATTTGCAAGAGAAACACTCACCGCTAGTGCATTTGTGTAATCAAAGCAGCTGCAGAATTGAAAAGAAAATGATTGTTTAGAAGGTCACAGCGGCAATACAGTGATTGTAAATTTCGAAACTTTATATGAAAAGACTGGCATTACCTATAACAAGATGGAGCTATGACATCAACTAAATCGTTTGCGGGTAGAGAGAAATAGGGAACCTGTTTTAGCCAAAAGATTTTGAAAAAACGGCTCATCTCTGCATCATTCACAGATTATACCTCTTCAACTGATGACAAAAATAAAATGAAATAATCTTACCTCTTCAATGTGCCCGTCTAAGTGTTTTAGTTGGACCTACAAAAGAAGAAAAAACAAGCATAGCACTGCTGAAGCAAATGCTCATTGCTGAAAGTGTATAAAACTGATAGATAACGGCTTGTCTCTGTAGTAACCTTGTAATCTTGCATAAACTCATAATGGAGAACAGTCTCTGGATCCTTACTAGCCGCTTTTAGAAACTTGTCAAGTCCTTCCCGTGTTCCATTGTCCACTATTGATTCACAGATATTATAAGTATCTCTTTAAAACATGTCATACGCTTTTCTGAACTTGCGCATATGAAACTAGATAGGATGAGTAAGTTACCACAATTAGTGCCTAGTACATACAGCTTTTCAAGATTCAGATGCTGCTCCACTGATCTCAATGCTGCAGCATAAGAAATCACTCTGCATTACAAAACTATGAGTCATGGTATCGACCAACTTAAAAATGTAATCCAAAAGAAGTATGTCAGAGACCATACCTTGCACTTGGCACCCCACACCGCAAAAAAGAAGACGTTTCACTCCGGAAGTCTGTTAAAACGTACAATTTCTAATATATCTGAAATGGACTCAGCAATAGAAAACACACATGCAAGAAAGATGGGTCTGCAAATAACCTCGATTAATTCCAGAGTATTCAGATTAGGAGACAGAGTTGGTTTGACACCTCTTGCTGCCAAAACTTCTTCAGGTGTCCTTTGAATGATAATAAATGAAATATCAAGAGGCCTTTAAATTCAGAGTAACACCAGAATATGGATCCACAATAAAAAAAAATGGAGACTTGAAGGAGAAAGGCCTCAAATAAAATCACATTAGGAAGGTGAAAAACCTGGCTAATACTGGTCTTGGAGACAATCTGTCTTCAGGATCACTGTGAATTCAATAAATCATTTACATGATTAGATGGAAAAATGTAAAGCATGGTTGATAATAGCCTTACTCCATCACTGAAATTAAACAACAGCTTACCTCTGCACACAAACAACAGCCTCAACCATGCCAGATTTCAGCATCTCAATGGATATGGTTGTGACAATTCCAGTCCACTGTGCTCCTGCAACCGAAGTTAGAATGAAAATTCATTCCTTTTTTACAAACAACATGAAACACAAATTACAAGAAGAGTTTTATATCCGTGTCTTCAGGAAAATGTATTTGAGCTTCTTCCACAGACAGTGTATGAAAAGGAAACACGAGAGACAGGATAAATTGGTGCGCCGTAACCAAAAACAAAGCTTTGTCATCTTAAACGGGACACAAAATGGCCTCGCATCAGTGTACCTTCAACAGGCTTCAGCTTACGAGCATAGAGCTGCTCTTGATGGACCCCAAAATATGTATCTTCTAAGGAATCTGCTTTCCTTCCTCTACCATGCACAACAGGTTCCAAGCTCTGCACAAAAACTTTAAGTTTAACAAAATAAGAATCTCAACCCATCAATTAAAAAAATGTAACAAATCTTGTCCATTTCAAGGCTATATGGACATCACCTCAATCCTTGACATTCCATCTCCAAGAAACGCACATGCATCCTTCACATGGGCAATGTAGTAGGTGTCGCATAACCCGCATCGGCTGCAGACCCATCAAAACACCAAGAATTCTGATAAGAACCAGAGAAAAATAGGGAGGTAAACAAAAAAGAAAAAAGGAAGACAGAACCTGCAATGATCTTTGGCTGGATAGGTTCCTCCGGGTGGTATAGGTTTGGACTTTTCCCTCCAGTCTTCTCTTAGTTTCACTTTCTTTTTCGGCTCTGTATTCACATCTGCAGTCGAAGACCGGAAGACAAGGAACAAAGAAAGCTTCATGCAGGTTTCAGGAAAAAATAAAACCACAGTCAATAAAGAAATTAAGACAATGATCGATACTGTATGTACAGAAACAGCCATAAAACGTACTAATCTAACACATGATTCTAATTTCAAACTCGATAGTGGAGAGCCGTGGAAAACAACTAAAGCATTCGACAACAGAACCAATATGTTCCAATTTCTTTTTTAGGTACCAAACTTATTCAGAATCTTGCATACAATTTCCTCCCACATATGAATTTCAAGGATCGTTTTCCACTTACGAGTTATCGAAATTTTCTAAAAATTATGGGTCTCTATAGAATTTGAAGAATCTACGACATGTGTGAACAGACAGCAACATAGAGAGAAAGTAGGAGACAAAAATTGAGCACCTTTCGAGCGTGAAGAAGAAGAAGAGTTAACGACAGAGAAGAATGGAGGAAGGAGAGAGAGCTTGGAGGTGACAGTAATCATGTTTGCCCAGAGTGTGAGAGGAGAGAGAGAGAGTAGAGATATTTTTGCTTATGAACTGCGATTTCCTCTTGGGATGATAAAGTCAAAATCAATGACCCATAAAAATTAACCGGTTAAAAACTAACCAAACTCGAAACTCAAGTCTAAACCGGTTACGAGAGTCTGTCACAGCATCTGACTCCATATATTGACGAAAATAGAACGAAAATGATCCGCCATCATCAAAGTTTTGGCCGGAACCAGTGTCGGCATCGTCATCGGCGTCGCTAACGGCAACGTTCCTATTCTCGCCGCCGCCGATCCTAACGCCGATACTCAATGGATCAACTCCAATGCCCTCCCTTTTTATCATCCTCATCACTTTCGGGAACGAGCTCCGTCTAATCGTAAAATGCTAACTAAAGTTTTCCAATTTTCTCAAAAAAAAAAAAAATTTTAACAAAAAAAATTCCACAAGTTTACTTAATCGATCGTTAAAAACGCTGACGTTTTGCCTCCTTCCAAAGTGATCTGAGTCTCGAAACGCTGACGTTTTGCCTCTTGCAGCTTAATCTGGCGAGAAGACATATCCCACTCGCACCCGAGGCGCGTTGAGCGCGTTGGGCCAAAATCGAAAGGTTTAACCACTATGAATTTTGCTCGTATTTTGCTAAAACGCGGTCATGCGCGACTTTTTCGCGAGTGAACTATTATTTTATTATTATTTTTTCCTCCGATGCGTTTTGTTTGTTATTGAATTGTCGTTTTAGTCGAAATTTAGTGAAAATAGTAGCATTGCTCCTAGCTCTACATTATTAACATCAATATATGTTATTTGCGTTTTGCTTGTTATCGTTTGCCGTTTTGCTATTTAGAGGTGTCCGATGGAATCCGATCGGCGACTACGGTGAGCTCCGAAAGAAAAAAAATTCTCTGACGAAACTGGAAGAAGAGTGATTGAAGCTACAAGTAAGCAAAAACTTAATATGGGTCTTTGAGTTCAGCCTATCCGATCTCCATTTCAAAGCAAATTGGGAACAAGGACTTTAAGGAGTGTGATGCGAAACAATCTGTATATGTATTTAGTTGCAAAGATTATGTCCTGCAGATACAAGGTAATATTGAGCCCCTTACTGTTATTCGATAATCTGTAGGAAAAGTTAGTAACATCACCATTAACAAATGCACCAAAATGGGTCTTGTCTTCACGGTGAGTGGAATTATACTGTTTCCTCTTACATTTCCACAATATACAGTTATGTGATTCCTAATAATCGAACATGTCTATATAGGATGTTGTTGCTGCATTTGAGATTGTGAAACGTACAAGTTCAATGCAATCTGCAGGTTTGTCGTCTATCATCTATAGGTTTCCTAATGTCCTCTTACGGACCATCTTTTTTACTTCTCCAGCTCTAAAGTCTGCAAATGTTTTTCAGACACTGACGCTCTTGCTTTGTCTTTACTTCACCAATGGTTGATCCAGGGTTCAGCTCCTACAGTTTCTGCGGAAAAAACCACTGATTGTCCAGTTATATCTAAGCAAAGACTCATTAGAGACAGCTACAACAACTAGGCAGCCAAATCGAGTGAGATCAATGTAATGGTGCCTGGTGCTTACCCTGATGGAGAATGGGTATCAATTGCCTCTCTTTATCCATGAAAACCTTTTGATCTCCTTGTATTCTTCAAATTTATACACCGAGCAATGATATATATCTGGGATCTGGTCACTGTGGGTTGAACTAAAATCCGCAAGTCATGAGTTATACTGTAACCAAGAGGCTCACAAGAGAGGATTCAACATCCGGACTTTACTATGATTGCTCTGCGCACATGCGTTGGGTTGGAGAACGAACTCGCCAACTTGATGGTGCTCATGTTGACAACTTAAACCCTCAGAACAAGCCTGGATGGATTACGGTTAATAAGTGAGAATGGGAGCTGAGAACATGCGGGTCAAGCTTCCTCATTTGATCAGAGCAGTATGTGGAGCTGGTCAGATTGTGACCTGAGTTAGTGATCCAATGCACGGAAACACCATAATGGCTCCAAGTGGGCTAAAAACTCGTTCATTCGACGCGATCAGGGTAATAATTCCTACTTACTTCATCATTCGACTCTATATATAACGTTGCATGATGTATTTGCCCATTGACTTATATCAGGCGGAATTGAGGTCGTTCTTTGACGTGCATGATCAAGAAGGGAATTTCCCTGGTGGGGTTCATTTGGAAATGACGGGGCAAAACGTGACAAAATGCGTTGGAGGGTCACGCACCATCACTTACAACGATCTAATCACGCTACCACACTCACTGTGACCCAAGGCTTAATACTTCCTCAGTCCCTGGAGCTTGCGTTCATCATTGCAGAGCGCCTGCGAAAGAGAAGGCTCGGTTCCGGTAATCTTCTGTCGTCTTTTGGAGTCTAGAGCAGCATAAGACAATTGTTTGAGGACAGAGTAAAACAGTGTTGACATTGCTGTTTTGGTGTTGGGTTATGCTATCTATTATTCTCGACGTTGGAGTGTCCTCAAACAACTGAACGGTAGTCTTGTACTTTAAAAAAAAAAATCAGTTTTCGAAGATTCTATTCTATTCTTCCTTTGTGATTTGATTTCCTTAGTTTTATTAATAAGTTCTTTTTTCCGGTACGGATTCAGCTCGAGCTAGATTTGGAGACCCACATCATGAACCAAGTTCGGTACTTTACTCAATCGAATTTTAAATAACAAACCGAAGGAAGCTAAACCATTCTTGCATGTTTGCTGATGAAGCTGTTTTTGACTCATGTTACCATTGAAACACTTACACAAAACACACACAGATTAATACCAATACAAGAATCACTGTATGTCGAATCATTCTCCTTTATTACTCAAAATGAAAAAGATAAAAACAGAACACGTTAATCCTTGGCCAAACATTAAATCATTCATCATCATCATCATATGCATATGAGAGAAACCAAGAAATCACCAGACGTCAGGACGGAGTTCTCCAGTCGCCGGTGGCATCCAACGACCAGAGTTGTACACATTCTCACCAACTTTCCATCCCGGAACATCCTTCATCACATCAGCCTCGTAATCCAAATACTTTTTCCACTCGGACACAAACCTATTAACACACCAAAAGTGGGGAGTTGTAACAAGATTACTACTGTCTGAAGATTACAGGAACAAAGACTTCTTTGAGGATCTCGTTTACCTTTCATCTTCTTCTGCTTGGAGAATGGGAAGTATAGCTCTACGAGCAGCATATTTCTCTTCCTTCAACGCCCTACAGACCACATCAATCGTAATTAGAACTTTAAATCTTGATACCTTGTACTTGGTACTTTTTTAGCATCCCCAGAAAAATTGAAATTTTCTAATGAGAGAAGTTAAGGAAGTCTACGGCAACATATATGAAACCGAGTTTTTCTTGCTTAGTATAAAACCATTGCAAATGCATAAGAAGATAGTGATCAAAGCCAGATGACAGAAGTATACAACTTCTACAATCTAACTAATGAGAAGTTGAGAACCAAAATCCCGATAAATAATATCATAGCTTGCAACTATATGAGTGTTTCTTTCATAAAGATTCACATCTTTGCAACAGTGGCGTATGGGGTTTACAGATTCTTGAAGAACTTTCTATTCTTTAAACGATCCTGTAAGTCTAAATTCATGCTGATTAAGGCTCAGCTGAAATGCCTTAGAAGACAAAACAGTAACTCAACAAGCCATCAAATCAGCAGGCAGAATGGTAATATCGGAAAACCCCATTTAACCCCTTAATAAGCCAATATTTTACAAAGGTTAAGCCCTATCCAGTTAACTGAAACAGTTAAATCGAAGGCCACAAAAAAAAGACGACCAATTCCAAGAGAAAATGACGAGCTTCAAAAAATCAAGAGAACATCTATTCAACTTTGATCTCGGAGAAATTCTTAACACCAAGCTAAAATTCACCAGATTCTCTAATTAGGGAATATACTTCTTCAAGTTTCAAAAAATCATGTACAAGATTTTCTTTTTGATTATGGATTTTATTCTCAAGTTTCAAAAAATCAACATGATTTTATTTCACAACATAATCACTTGTCATTCTTACCTGCGGATTTTATTTCCCTGGCCGACCTGGTACATGCCCCAAGCAAAAGCACCGGAAACAGCAAGGAAAATGGCCATGGCGCTAGGACCCGTATTGGATATCCGGCGAGCATATCGGACCGGCGGGAACCCACCCGGTGGCGGACCATCCTGAAGCAGCGGCATATCTTTCACACTCGCCATTCCTGGCTTCTTCCTTATCATCGCCTCCGTCATCTTTCCTCAATCTCTCGATCGGATTGACTCTGATCACTGGATCCGATTTGATTTTGCTAACCAGTGTTCTAGGGATTCCGATGAATGAAGAAATGCAACAACAGTAGTATTTGTAATTTGTTGTTCTTCTTTCGATGAACTGGGCCTTTGCCAGGCTTAAGGCCCATTTTATTCGCAAGTCACGTGACTCCACGTGATTATGTTCTTCTTCTTTAATTTAAAAAAAAAAACCTCTTAAGTACTCCAAAATTATTTTTCATCCGCCGCTTGTGTTTGTCTACTAGACGAGATTCGAATTCGACGAAGATGGTGGGATTTAAGAACAGGTACATGTTGATGGAGGTTTTTCTGGATCCGGACAAGGATCTTCTCGGAGAAGGAACTCCGATTATTCTTACACAATTCAACCTCTCCAAAGCAATCAAAGACAGTATCCTCGTAAATTTCGGCGAGTGCGGTCTCGGATCTTCTCTTGGATCTTTCCAGGTAAAACATGTGAACCCTGTCACGAAGCTATGCATTGTAAGATCATCAAGAGAGGAACACAGACAAGTTTGGTCGGCAATCACTTTGGTCAAAAGCATCGGGAACTGTCCGGTGGTCTTCAACTTGCTCGATAACAGCGGTTGCATCAGAGCGTGTAAAGACACAGCCTTGAAGTGCGAGACGGAGAAATTTAAACAGATATCCACCAAAAGCTTGTCTGAAGAAGAGATTCGAGAGATGAACAGGTGTCTAGATAAGCTCAAACTATTGGAAAACTGAACCTTTGTTTTTTTTTGGGTTGGTCTCAGCTACTATGATATAAATTGTGTAGCTTGGTCTTTCGAATTTGACCCCTAAGATTTGAAAGTGTACAATTTGTCCCTTGTATGCATATTATTCTGGATTCTGATGTGAACGGACAAGAAAAGTCATCATCATCCACGGAAAATTCCCCTTTTCATAAATTTTTAGTGGTTTGAATTTTTGGGTTTTTATGTTGAAGTTAAAACAAAGTGGTATGGCGTAATTTTGTGAGGTTCGAAAACTTAAAGGGTACAATTGCAAAGTCGTTTAATTTCGAAGCTTAATAAACCAGAAACGCAAAGTCCTAATCGGGAGAGGAGCAATTGTCTCTGAGGTCAAACTCTTCAAAACGGTATCGATCATCTAACGCTTTAAAAATCTCTGACTTGAGCTATTACTTACGCTTGTACGATACATTCCCCTTTATAAGTTCTGATGGATTTTTTTGTTTCTGTTTGGAAACGGCTTTTGTACTGTCTTTTGTTTATGCACGTTACCTGTTCGATGCATTGCCTCACAGACATGGTACCAAAAAAAAAATTATTCATTTTTTGTTATTGCGGTTTTAGTCAAGCGTTTAGATCCCATCACTAATATTAAGTTTGTGTTGACGAACATGAGGAAGAACAATTTCTGTGTGTTTGGCTCTAGTAATACTCCTTTTTAACCTTAAATATTTAGAGCTGAAAGTGATTAATTTATGGATTATGTGCAGGAAATGAGATCCCCAAGAACCTTGGAGGTTTGGAAGTTAGGCACTGTCAACTATTTGAAATCCCTTAAACTTCAAGACAGGTTAGTTTCCGAGAGAAAAGCTAATCTAATCCCGGATACCGTCCTCTCGCTTCAGCATCCACCAACTTACACGCTAGGAAAACGTAGAACCGATCACAATCTACTGATCCCTGAAGCTGAACTCACAAGAATCGGAGCTGAGCTTCATTATACGCAAAGAGGAGGAGATATCACTTTCCATGGCCCTCACCAAGCTATCTTATATCCCATCATTTCCTTACGCAGCATCGGTATTGGTGCTAGGAACTATGTAGAGACATTGGAGCGGTCAATGATCGAGTTTGCTTCAATTTATGGCGTGAAAGCTCGTGCAGGACACAAAGGTGAGACTGGGGTTTGGGTCGGGGATAGAAAGATCGGAGCTATTGGGGTTCGGATATCTTCTGGAATCACTTGTCATGGTTTGGCCTTAAACATAGATCCTGATCTGAAGTACTTTGAGCACATTGTGCCTTGTGGAATCGCTGATAAAGAAGTTACATCTTTGAGGAAAGAGACAGATACGGTGCTTCCTTCAGAAGAAGTGATTCATGAGCAGTTGGTTTCTTGTTTGGCCAAAGCGTTTTCTTATGATGATGTTGTGTGGAAGGAAGATCCTTTAGTCATTTTGGACACCCAGGAGCACAATAAATAATCCGGTCTTGATTATCTTCGTGTCTACCAAAAATATAGGCACTCGAAAGTCTTAAAGTGTTTTTTAATTTTTTTTGTTGGTAACAGCTCAAATATAATATTTCATCAATAAAACTAGTAGGAGAGAAAAAAAAGTGTGAAAGGAAAGAACATAAAGAAGAACATAAATAATAAAAATTTATATATGTTTTTTTACTTGTGTTGAAACTATTTAAACAATTTATAAACTGAAACAAAGGAAATAGTAATCAAAATAAGGTTAATATGATGATAATACTAAAAACAAGTTGCACTAAAAATGTATCAAACAAAATTTTAAATTACAATGGTACTGAATGTTTGTTTGAATTAGATTGTTATTATTTAATGCTAGAAACGACTTTGTAACTATGTTAATTGTTCTTCAGTTACTCTCACTATATAAGATTCATGTTAATTCTCAAAAATCATCTTGTCAAATATCAGCAACATCTGCAAAATCCTCATATATCATTGAAACATTGGAAAAGAAACATTTTTTTAAAAAAAAAATATCATCCATACATAATGTTTTAAAAGTATATTCAAATTGGAAAATAAACCCTAGACTATTAATCTAAACCTGTTCAGATTTCATTGTTTGCCTAAACTAGCTGACCGAACTATATACTTGTTTTGTTCATCTTATCACAGATCAGTTTTGGTCACGAACCGCCTAAAGTTGGAGTTTCTTTTTGCAGCAATTGCTGTAAAAGATTCATCATATTCTTCTTCTGGATACACGTTTTTTTAACTTCTCTTCCTTCGTTCTCCCATCAAAGAGACCATGTCTATCAAGACTCTAAGGAGTGTTGAACCTAAACTGAGCTAAGAGGAGAATGTGACTAGAAGGAAATTGTGCTGATGGAGGGCAGTTACAATAGCTTGGAACATAATGAAAAGATACAAATTGAGAATTAGAGAAATTAGAAATCTCTACATTTATGCTTTCTATGGATCCATTAAAAAAAAAAATGTTTCCTGTGTCGAATTGAATTAACTAAAATAAGTAAAATCTTAAAAATCCTTATATAATCCGAGACGATGAATTGAATCTTAAAAAATATAAGATTAGAAAGGGAATTCTATGTCATAAAAAAACTTTATTATATATTCCATTTGATCATCTATATATCATCATTACGATTATATCAAATTACTTCCATGGGAAACATGCACCTTTTTTACCAAGTCTGCATGCACCATCAGCTTTTATAGTCCAATTACATTGATAGCATAGATCTTGATCTCTCACAGCATCAAATATATCAAACCATTTGAACTGATTTTTCCATTTAAAGCTGCAGAAGAACAATGTTGATTTCCAGATATTTGTTTTAAATTTGAAGTGGTAATCTGTTTTGAAAGACACATTATGAACCCCCAAATCATCATCTTTGGATTTGCAATGAACGGTAAAAGATGGACCGTCAAGACAATTCGTCATCTTGACGATTGTATAGGGCCAAAACGGTGGAAGTGAACCATGACTTGAACCAAATGAAAGAAAAAAAATGATCAAAAAAGCAATATGAAATTTTAGTGGATTTTTCATTGAAAATAATTTTTGTTTTCTTTGTATGTTTAAAGTAATAAGATTGCTATTGAATTTGAATTTTATAGTAATCGAGAATGGCTCGACATTTTCTGTTCGTATATATTATTCATATATGTATATCTAATGCTCCATAATTTCCTATACTAACACCTTTGATGCTCCCATTTGAATAATTACCAAACGAATAAGCAAATCACTAAAGAAGCATTTATTAAGGTTAGATCCGATTCTTAACGGAGGGTGTGAAACTTGTCTAAATAGTAAATACATGAACAAACTCGTTTGTTGGCATTTGATATTTAATTATTCTTTGATAGTTAGTTTCTTCTCTTTTTTTTTTCTTTAATCATCAAATCTGTTTTTCTTTGTCCTTTCTTTGTGCACAGTCTCTTTTTCTATTTTGATATTAAGAGGTAATCCGCTACTAATTCAAATTTCCAGAATTCTTGTCTTTTTTACATAATAACTTTCTATCAAACTTTCCTTCTTTATCAATAACACAATCCATTAGCAGTATTTTTTAAAAAGTTTTAAAAATGTGGCACATTTTCAATTCTTGCCTTAAGCCCCTCGAAAGCTAGGCACAGCACTGAATAAACCCTAATAGACTATTATTATTACTTGATTAGTAAGAAAACATCTTAGTCCGAAGTAGCGAGGCTTACCAAATGAGACACCAAATCTTCAAGACACGAGAACTGATTCAATAAACTCTTTTGAAACTCTTCATTCTCAGTTTCATCTGATCTCAATTCCCTTAGACCCTCGTTGATCCTCTTCATTCCGTTCTGCAATAACTCCACTCCCCTGCTGATTCCTTCTGGAAGTTTCCTTCGCTTGTTCGGTCGTTTATCTACTTCTACTGATCTCTGCTGGTTTCTTACTTCTACAAGCTTCTGCACTGTTGCCTTAACCTCCGTGCCTTCTTTCGAAAGTAACTCGAGTTCCTCTTGCGAAGGTGTAACTGAGAGAAGCGCTTGTTCTCTCTCCAAGAAAATCTTTAATTCCGACATGAACCGCTCTGTTTTTGCTTCTTTTCCGGAAGCTATATCGAAGGCCAGAGCCGCATCTTCAGGTACGAATCTCCATAGCTGATTGCAGCTCGTACGTGCACAGAAATACCCAAACGCAGTAACCGCGTGGTGTACCAAAGCCCAGTGGCGTTTTCTGAGGAGCAAATGGTAGAGTTCCCAGACCGCCTGGCTCTTTGGACAGGTTTCGGCTTCAGACATCTCGTATTTGCTAAGTCCTGATAAGAAGAGAGCTAGGTTCGGCTTCGATTTATGGAGATGATGATTATTAGTTTCTAAAATGAAAAGCCTTTGAAGCTCTCGTAGGACACTATTCATCTCTTGGCAAGTGTATAGCTGCTCGCTTCTTGAGATGATTGATAGTGTTTCGCTGAGAATCTCACTGTAACGATCCCTTGTCGCTTCATCTTTGAAGTATCTGTACTTTTGAATGAGAGCGACGACAAAGTTTAGAGTTTTGGAGTCAATCTCTGATATGCTCATCTTTCTACAAAAAAACAGCAACAAAAGTCAATATCCATTACACTTAATTTTGAGGATCAACTACTAGTATCACATCATATCAACTACTAGTATCTGATTTTGTTATCTCGTGCAATAAGATCTCTAGGGAAGTGAAGAGAGTAGATTTCGTAGCTACTTACAGTATCCGAAGGCAAGCAGAGAGTGCAAAAACTGGAGCTCCAAGCACAGTGTATCTCAAGGAATTCGATGGTTTCTCATTAAAGTCCTCAATGAAGTGGAAGAAATCTGCAGTGATCTGTTTATACGCGTCATTCTTTATTCTGTCTGGAAGAAAATTCAGCGGAAACCCGTCTAACAGCAAGGCTAGATATGCATCTGGTGCAGATTCAGATCTGCTCCCAGTAGAAATGTATTTGTAAACTCGAGCTGTTAAAGATTTGGGGCTGTGAGTAAGAAGAAAGCAGATGGACTTTGTAGTTCTTCTGAGAACGGAATCAGGACAAAGCGGCGCTTCTGATGATGACATTGCCATCATGAACGTGCAAAGTTTGTTAATCATATCAGCCACCAAATCCTCAGTGGCATGACGCACCCAGAAGCACCAGAGTTCCATAATTATCTGCCAGCATAAGAAATGCGGATGCAAGAGATTCTGGAGTAAGAATGTTTCAACCTCTTCCCAGGCAGGAGATGAAGACAGAATAATCATAAGGGTTTTGAGAGATAGAATCAGAGCTGAAAACATCGATTCCCAGATTATTGTCTTCCCAGAACCATCTGCCATCGGAAGCTGAGAGGAAAGGACTGAAGAATAAACCTCTCTATCTATTAATACGTCGAGAAGCCATTGCAGCTTTGTGGCAATTGCAAACTTTGCATCTGCTTCAAGCTCAGAAGAGTACCTCATGACAGACTGGAACTGTACAACTCGGGCCAGGAGCAAACCTCTGGTACTTGTCGCAGATTCAACAGATAAAGACAAAATATCCACCAATGATGGTTTTTCCTGAGAGTCATCGCTCTGATTCTTACAAATTTGGTTTGAGAAACATTGTTCATCAACGAACAACGAATCAAGTAGTTTGCGCCTGAATTCTTGCGTTGCTTCACCTGCGTTCAATAGTGCACTTAGAAGATCTACAGTTGTTTTCTCTAGAAGATCAGTCATTACTTCACTCGCGGATTTGCCATGGGTTTGTTCGCTCAGTGAAACTTTGAAAGCAGATATCATCAAAATGCAGAGTGCTATTTCCTTAAACATCATAGATGCCTGGCTTGGAAACAGCGCCACAACTTTAACAGCGTTGATAAGATAAAATTTCACAGGAAGAAAGACCCTTCTGGCTTCTGTTGCAGATATGTTTTCCTTCGCCGAGCAAGACCAGGCCTCAGCAGCAAATCTCAGAGACTCCTTGATCAGTGATATTAGCTTTAAAATGATTTCTCCAACATCTATCTTAGATACTAATATCTGCTTGTCTATCTGAAGCAACGTAATCACACCCTTCCATGATGTATTAAGAATGGTAACAAGATTGCCACCATCTCTTGCAGCAAGCATACCCAATTCACTCAGAGAATTAACTCCCAGCGTAATTATGCTTACCAAATTACACACAGTATTGCCTTCCTCCATCTTCGCTATTCCTACATTTCCATTAGTCTTAATTTCATTTATGCACTGATTCACTGTTGGAGAGAACTCTTTGCACAGACGAATAAAAGAGTCAATCACCACTTGCGCAGCCTTAAAAATCTCCGAGGAAAAGGATTCAACTTTCTGTCTCAAAAGAAAGGTGAAGAAATTAACAGATGCAAAAACACTAATCTCAATCTACAGTAGTAATATGTAATTTCAATAAAACATATGTTAAACAACCAGTATCATCATACGGTATGAGTAGCTACTGGTGAAAGACTAAGATGATTCCCGAAGATACCTTGGGCATTCAATATCACTTCCTTTGTCAAATTCAGCTGCTCTGAAACAAACTTATGAACTGTTACAGCGGAGGCCTCATCACTCATGGAAACATATTTTCCCATTAGCAGTAAAGCTTGAGCAGAAAAGCGAAGATAATTCAAAAGAAGCTGCATAACATTTATTTTTTAAAACTCAGTTGGCCAGTACTCATTAGCTCTGACAGATTTGTATTTACAGAAACGTCAAACATCAACAACCTGAAAGAAAATGTTTGAATGCTCTTCCTCTTGAGACTCCTCCATCGACATTACAGACATGTGTAAATGTTTTGCACACCATTGGCTTACCTACAACAAGCGGAGTAAGAAAAGTTAACACAGCAACACTCCCGAGCTGAGGTTCAGCAAATACACATCAAAACTGAAAATAATGTACCTTAGAACCAAAAGCAAGAAAGTATTGAGAGCAGTCAGGCCGTTCCAAAGCTAGGTATTTCGAAGCCACAGGGAGAATTGCCTTGTTCAACAAACACTGGGAAACGTCAAGACATGTGAAGTCTTCCCAGAGTGTCTATACTGCTATCAAGGAATACTTGAAACATGCCAGAACGGACCACTTAGGGGATTTTCTAATCATCTTAATACAATTGAAGCATCGTAGTATAGCAGCAATGCATGTGACAGATAAATTCATCTCTTAAGTGTTCACAGCAATCCTGAATTCTCTATTATAAACGATATTTTCCTTGAAACCAACGATCACAAGCATAGAGAGAGACTACATATCTAGGTTTCGATTTTAAACATAGTTTGACAGCTATTGCAACTTAGCATAAATGAGGAAACAGAAGAGAACATAAAAGTATGTATGGATACTGTTAAGCTCTCCACAAAAGAGGGCACATCAGAATTCTCTTCTGTATCTAACTGACATAGCCGTGTGAGTAGTTGAACCCGGTTCTCGATGAGCTGTTGTACAAATATGGAAGAAAGTGAAGCTCGTTAGACCTATGAGCTAATAATTTGCAACTCCTTCGAGTAAATCCGAATCAATTCTATAGAACGCATAGCAAGTCTCAGCTAAAACCATTCTTAATAGCTGCAACTCCTAATGTTCTACTCCTTCATACATCCTCGAAAGGAACAAACATACATATACACATGAGAAAAAACATGATTAGGCTGATAACAGTATTAAGCTGCGGAAACTCAATCCAGGCCATATAATGAAGAGAACTTAATCGGACGGATAACTAAGGAGAAAAAAAAAATAAGAAATCGGATTTTTGTTAATCTAAAAATGGAGAAGAAAGATGGGCAAACGGAGAGGATTCGTCGAATTCACAACCGGAAGCGATAAAAATTCTCCAGAACAAATGGTACTAAACAATCAGATGATTTTGGCTGGAAAAATTAAAGAAACCTAGAAAAGCAATCAAAGCTGGAAACAAAGAAGAACCTTACATCGGAAGATTTTATCTCTCCGAGTATCCTCATCGCATTGTTCTCCATCTCTTTCCCTCTCCCTCTCACTCTCACTCTCACTCTCGAATTTTGATTTCAATTTTTGTTAGTGTGAGAAATTGAGAATGGCTCTTACTTCTTAGCTTCCCGCTCTTCACATTTCGGCTATTGAGAAATTTTCAGGCCTACTTGTTTTGCTTTCGAAGATATGTATAGGCCCGTTGGATCTTATTGGGCTTTAAACCTAGCTCAGCTCCTACATATATTTAATTTATATATGAAGATTAAGATTAGTCTAATTTGGAATTTTTGAACGAGTGAGAGATATTTAAATTTCAACTAATGTGATGTCTGGAATTGTTGAGACTTAAGAGTAAGACCATCTGTGAAATGAAATTTTAATAATAAAATATAATAGAGAGTCGTTATTAAAAAATATACTATATTAGAGTGACATATAAACATAAATACAAATACAGAAGAAAGACATCGTAATTAATTGCTAGCGATGTAAATTTAAGTTTGCCCCAGTGAAAGAGACTATAATAAGAGACGACAATGCATGAAATGGCACAACAAGTGTTTGACATGCAAATCGTATCTTCTTTAATTTTTGTCACTCTCATCCCAACGCAATTATTACGTCATTTAATATTGCTTGCTTATACATTATGGATTCTTGCTGACTTCCCCACATTTATTATATGTTTATTAAATGTTTAAAAAGTTGTCAAAACAAAATGTTCATTAAAACATAACAAATTCGCATAAGAATTTCCTATGATGAACCATGCTTTAAAGAATAATTGGATCAGCCCTGCGAATTCTTTTGCAAAAAAAAATTCCAAACAATAAAAATAGAACTCTTAGTAAATAGGATCGTTAATCATACTATACTACAATTTCAAATTCTCAAACGTTGATCGTTATGTTCGTGAAAACTTAAGATATCATCTTAGAATATACTATATTTTAAGTATGGATCACGACATTTCACACGAATCATATGCACGTAGATCAGCTAATTATGCAATTTATTATCAGTTTATCTATTAGCTTCTATTCAACTTTCGATGTTAAACACGGGTTGGATTGATTCGTTTGAAATAATTTCTTTTATTTGAATTTGGATATTTGATTTCCGTTCAGTCCGAATTTTTAGTATAGTGTAACATATAAAAAATCTCGATGCGGAAAGTTTGTACTACATCTTCTTACAAAAACAAAAACAAAAGCGTTGATACTATATCCATTTTTTATGTCCCTTTTTTATATGAGTAATGTTTTCTAATTTTTTTTTGTCTTATTCTACTAAACGATGTTTTTTAAATTTACGTAGTTACTGATTACTGTTTACATTTTAAAATTTTAGAATTTTATATTGCATGAGTAGAGTTTATAAACGTCAGCGTAAGTTCAAGCAAAATCCATTGTACAAATATCGTTATAAGCCTTAATAAATCATTTCTTTAAACTTGATTTTGAACATGCACAATCAGGAAAAGAAAGAACATCATAGTTAACCAAAATGAACCGTAACTAATGATAAACGATTAAACATATATAGAGAGTCACACATTACATAACACGAAGGCCGAATTTGAAGCAAACGAGAAAATATGTCATCAGTCACACTAATGATCACCCAATGAAAAAGACCAACAAAGACATCCGAACTAATTAATTATTCCTTAATTAAACCCTAACAAACAAAAACTCTCTCCACCAAAGCTTCATATCGTCATCAAGGATGTGGAACGATCCCGCCGCCAAGGCCACCGACCACGCCGTGTCCACCGCCGATACCGCCAACACCACCAATACCACCTGCTTTACCGATACCACCACCACCAATTCCGCCTAGACCGCCTAAACCACCTCCGGTTCCGCCTAGACCGCCAATACCACCAATACCACCTGCTTTACCAATACCACCACCAATTCCACCTCCAGCTCCACCAAGACCTCCAACACCACCTAGACCGCCTCCTACACCGCCTAGACCATGAAAGCCACCGATTCCAGCTGCACCGCCTATGCCACCGTATTTACCGATACCTCCCACGCCAGCGTAGCCACCAACTCCGGCGAATCCACCGACTCCTCCTACTGCTCCGATGCATTTTTTGTCACCGATATTTTTTGGTGGTAATTTACCAGCTGCGTTTGCATGCACGAGGGTTGTTGTTGTTGCATCGTCACCTGTCGTCGTCTTGCCCTCATCAAACTGACCACTCGGCACTTGACGAGCACGTGCATGAACGAATAACATGGCGAGCAAGACACAAACGACGACTGACAAAACTCTCGACATCTCTCTCTCTCTCTTCTCTCTCTCTATATATATTTTATATATTCTATTTATCGTTGAGGTTTTACAATGCGTTTCTTAGGGTTTATATAGCAAAATGTAAGGTTGGTGACGGTTGAAAGTCATAAATTTGGATGTGAACAAAATTTATAACATGTTTTCTTTAGTAAAGGCTGTCTGATGATACAACTATGCGATTGACAACTGATTGGTCCAATTTTAAATGTTGGTTTCATTTTTATTTTTGTGTATGCTGTGACTGGCTAGTGTTTTCAGGCACTACAGCAAGCGAGATTATTTGAACCACATTTTAATTCGGTTAACATGTTTTCGTTTTTTAAAGTGTGAATGATACTTGTAGTCAAATCAAACCATGTATAAATCATAATTAATTTTCCTAATATATGGTTGACAGCCATAGGGGAAAAAAACGAAGATCAAGTCTATGGCCGAACAATTGGGGTTTGTGTCTAATTTTAAAGACAAACCACAAAGAATCCTATAACTGCTCATAACCGGACGATCGGAATTGAGACCGCGATGGAAGGGGTGATCATAAATATAAATAAAGCTTTTCGATAGAGTTTGCGTCTCTTAGGATTAAAATCAGTAAGATCTTATTTGCGAGGGATTTATTTATTTATTCTCTCGAACGTTTCTATAATCTCATACAAAAGTTACGATGCATTCGTTAATGCTTTCTTCAAAATTGGCCGAAGCTCTGATCTCTAGTGGAAAAACGGCAAGGAGCTTTCCACTCTGCAGGGCATTCGTTTCAGCGTCACCAAGGCCATTACAAGTAACATTCAGTGGACTTGTGCTCTTAATTAACAAGATTATTTATCATATTTATTGTTCATTTGGTTTTGGTAGAGTCTAGTCGTTTCTAGCTAGCTTCGAGTATCTAACGAATAAAATGGAAACTGTATATTGAATATTTTATTATTATTAAAAGTGTTAAAAAATACAGTCCACTATATAAAATATGCTGATATCTACTATTAACATATGGTTTGATGGTAACTCGTATCGTATCACAATTATATAGGATATTGCGTAAATCGCGATTTTTATTTAGTAAGATTAGCAACAAAAATCTACGAAAATTTGTCACTCCATCAAGAATATTATCAACTGATTTAGTGTTTGTATAATGTTCACCGAACTTTTCATTCTATTTCACATAACTTTGTCATGATTTGGCACCTCTGCAAAGCTGCCAATCAAAACCCTAACGAACTTTGCTATAAACTATATATAGACGTAGGGTTGAGTTTGATTGTGGAATGTGTTGAATATATGCCAACAGGGGAAAGAAGAGGCAGAGCAATGCCAAAAAGTGAAAGAAGCAGCAGAGGCAGTGAAGGAAGGAGCGAAGCAAGTGAAGGAAACCACCGAGTATATCCAAGATGTCGCTTCCACTACGGCTGGCCGCGTAATTAATTAACTCACATTTTAAGATTTGATTGTCTTCATTTACATAAATATATTTATTATTTGATGATTATGACATTTATATTTCATTGATTTGGTTAAATAGGTGACTAAGATGACAAAAGATGTGACGGAAAAAGTAACTGAGACGACAGATACTATTACTGAAAAAGCTAAAGGATCCGTATCTGGAGTTTTGGGCACAGCCAAAAATGCTACCGATATCATCAAGAACAAGATCCTAGGCGGCAATTAATCATCACATATACATATTTAAATACTTAATATATATTTATGTATGTTTAATAAATTAAATAGTATTTTCAAAAACTTTGGAATTTTATGATCCGGATAACCGGATGGACCGGACGGACCGGACCAATGATATCTCTAAACCGTGAATCCAATTCTTGTAGTTATTATGTATTTTTTTAAAGCAGAAAACCTTAAAACCTGAACTGATGATATTGAACTAAATGGAAACCGAATCAACACTCTTTTGGAAAACCTCTGGACTACGTAGAGGCTCTGTCGCAGCTTTTGTGTAGCATAATATTGGCTTTTATGGAAGCTTTAACAATTTATGGCCTGGTCGTAGCATTAGCGCTTTTATTTGCGAACCCTTTTGTTTAATCCTAGAAATCAGAAAATTCTGAATTTTTTTTTCGTAGTTTTTTTAATTCTATCAAGATTTAACTCCTACAATTATTCATTGAGACAACAACCCTTGGGAAGGACTAATTTGAGGATGGGGAATTAGCATATACGATGTATGGTCTCCTTAGAGATGATTGAGATTTGTGTTGGAAGGAAGAATAAATTAAAGAGATTTATCTTAATTGATTTGGTTGGGTCAAGCTGTAAAGCTAATCACTGAAATGTTTTTTTTTTTTTTGTAAATGCTACAGATGTGTTATCTAACGCTGTACAATTGTTTAATATTAAGTGATACTAAATCAATATTTATATATGTTCGATTTGTACATGACGAGAAATTTGTACAAAATAAAGCATTTTTAAAGGCATATTCCATGGACTTTTAAGTTGTAGATAATCTATGCTCTAAATTGTCTGTTAAGTTGTAGGTAAACATAATTATTCTCAATAAAACCTTAATGATGGTGAAAATAAAAAGGTTATCACCATCTGTCTGAACATTTCATTTTCCTTGTGGTTTTTGAGCTTTTTTTGTCATGTGTGAGCACATGGAGTCGATTTAGCGTGTTTTAGGCTTCTCTTGCTTTTCATGTTAACAATCAACTTTCCAATGCAAAAAGCCAAATCAAACTAGATATGTTAATTTTTCTTCCCAACAAAAAGATATGCTTTTAAGAGGAAAAGTATATATCAAGGAACAAACCTTTAAAATAGGGGGAAAACCTAATAAGTAATATAGTTAATATTATATTTTTTTTACCAAAATCCAGAGTAAGCTTAAGATTTATGTAGATTCATTAACAGGTTATCACGGTCTCTATAATTTGTCGCAATTAAACTTTTATGATGTTTAAAAATGAAAATAACGTTGATGCAAAGGGTTTATAATCCCCCAATAACTATTGGTTGCTTGCTTCAATAGCTAAAAAGTACAATGATGACAGGTTACAACCACATGGGAAAATAAAGCTAACAAATCAAGCCAACCAAAAAAGAAAATACAAAGAAAAGTAGATAGATTCACAAATCATTTAGACTCTATATTAAATTATAAACCTTAAAAAACCCTTTAACAAAAAAGAAGAAAAAAAATTATAAACCTTAAGAAATACGAAAAAAAAAAAAGAAAGAACAAGACATAATATTCTTGTTTTTCCTGAGTAGATGACAGAGACAGAGGAAGAACAATCTGAGTTGATCAGACAGAACCAACAACACTTCGGGAGTTTCTCTTTTACATGAAAGGTTGGTTTTTTCCCCTTTTCTTGTTTTAACTTGCGGTTAAAGCAAGCAAACCCGAGGTTGAGAAAAATCGACTCAAACACACACCCAAAAAAAAAAAAAAAAGATAATTGGCTTTGAAATGACAAATGTGTGAAAATATACACTTTTGTCTGAATATAATGGACGCTGGTTTTGAATTTTGGTGGTAATGGTGGGGTGGGGAGGAGGTTAAAAACAACTATGAGGAACATTGACGCCCTCTGCGACAAGGTAGAGCTCCGGCGTCGGAAGTAATGGTTGCGACCAATGAAGAGGATTTAGCGGCGAGGCTAGAAGCACGTGCGTAGCTACCGGAGGCGGCGGCTCCTGAAGAAGTGAAGTAAGCTCCGTTCTGAAGCAAATCACCTTCTGATCTCCAATTCCATCCTTTCCAATGACTCGCCGGTGTGTCCACTCTCTTCGTCACCTATCAAAAACATTCAACATCATAATGTCACAAAACCACTCTTTGGTTTCACTGATTTTGATTGAGTTATTACCTCTTTAGCGAAGGGGTTTTTCGGAGCGGCGTAACGGTTTCCTTGACTGTTGATTGTCGGGCTTGCGCTTCCACCGATCGCGTACATTTCCCAGTGAGTGTAATCGTTGTTCACGACATGGAAATACCCGTGTCGACACCTGCAAAAAAAAGTTCCGCACTTGTTCAGAAAACAAATCATAGAAACAGAGCATACTCTGTTCTTTATACCTTATTCAAAATATACTCTGTTTTTGTTATATATATACCTCGGCATTCTTTGAATAAGTCCGACACCAAAATGATTATAAGCAATGGTAACTTGCATAGCTTTATCCCTCATGTAAGAATCACTATGTCCGAGCAACATAACCTGTTAAAAAAAGATCAAAACACATCATCAGAATTCGAATTCCGCAACAAAAAGACTCGGGTAAGAAGTAACGATGCAAGAACCTCGTTGTGGTGAGTTAAGTGGTTGTTGGAGATGGTAATAGCCGTAGAGCCCATAACTGCATCCACAAGCCCATCAGCGCAATGAGACAACGAATTGTGATCAATCCAAACATGACTCGATCCAAAGATCGAAATCGCGTCACCATCGGCCATCGTTCTCCACCCAAAATGCGTCTCTGAGCTTCTCACCATAGCGTTACCGGTAGGTCTACAGTCATGAATATGCAATCCGTGAACAATCACGTTCGTCACATACTGAATCGTGATGCAACCGCCGTTTGCGATGTGAACGTTTGCGCCGCGTCCGTCAATCGTTTTGAAGCTGTTAACGATCAGCTCTTGTTTTAACTGAATCACCATATCGCGTTTGAAAACGATCCATAGTGGTCGGTTTTGGATCACGGCGTGACGTAATGTCCCCGGTCTAGGATTAACCGGATTGTCGTCTCTTGGATCGGTGACTACGTAGAAACGCCCGTCGCGACCGCCGATCGCGTTTCTTCCGAATCCGATTCCGCAATCAGCTAGGCGTTTGCGGTTCTTGTGCCAATTGCGATCGCATCGCCAACAATCATCGATTGGGTTGCCTGTTCCGCAAGTAAAGTAACCCAGCTTCCTCCTCTCGGTATGGTTTCTTACACTCCTGTAGGACCATGCCCGGTTTAGATTGGTTTCATTTTATTTTTATTAACCGGATCTCTCACACAATATAATTCCAAAAAAAAAAAATTCAAATCACATCAGAACATGTGCACATGGTTGATGATAAATACTTGTATATTTTTAGACTTTTTTCCATAGACGTGTGTCGGTGGGATTAGGTTCTCTGGCTAAGATTCTTGATGCGAAGGACGTTAGAGATAACCGCTAAATACGGACAAACAAATAATCGCCGTTGGATAAAAACGATCAAGCCCGTCCGTTTTAACAGATACCGTTTAGGGATCTTATTGTTTTTTGACCGTATAAAGCGTTAATATTCTGTTACGACCACATGGGAACTGTCCAAAATAATTTTAAAACGTAGCAATATCTTTTCAAAATGTACAAAGAAATAAGCAATTTTAATTGTACGTATTTTGATAGTAAATATAACGAATCCGCAGTGTGTACTCAGCCGTATATATATGGTTGGTGATGTGAAAGATAATTAATTTTGGGGAGGACATGATATACATATAGGTTTTCTTTTCTTTTATATGAATATATAAATACCGTATATTTTTTTTTGCAATAATGCGTTGGACACGGATCTGCCAAGCATGAGTGCATGTGGTGTTTTGCGGTGAAAACTGTCTGTTCTAAGTATTAGTTCAACAACATTGAAAAAGGAAATGAGAATTCTTATAAATAATATTCAAATACTATATTGAGAAAGAATAGAATGAACTACCTTTAAAAATATCAATGCATGAAACATGTAGTAGGTGATATAAATATGTATACTTTTTCATAAAAATATTCTAAGAAATGGAAAAGAGGGAAAAAGTTACAATAAATGTCTTATTTGATGGAAAATAATACTAATATAAATCTTACTTAAAGAAATGATCCTGACAGAAATAATTAATGGCAAATGTTCACGGGAAGATCACACTGGTAGCAAGAATAAATTAATCGCAAACACTATATTTGTCATAGTATATAAATAGTGTGAAGTGTGAACATGGGGATTTTGTAAATGAGATATAATATAGTTAACAAAAAAATGTATAAAGTTGGTTAGAGAAGAAATAAATGTGACAGCTTTTGTAGGATGGGGTCTTGATTCAACAATAGAATGAAACAAAAGTCACAACACAATTGTAAATGAATCATAGTTAGGAATTATAGGACCATACCCAATCGTATTGTACTTCTATGACTTTTTTTCCCCCACTACTTATATACATTCACATGATCATTTTTAAGAAAATAATTAAATAAAAATGAAATTATAATACTTACATTTCAGCCATGGCGATAACTTCGTCCGCTACTTCATCTGGATTCGTCACTGCGTGTTTGTTCCATTCGTTTTCGTCCGATCTAAAATTATTTTTTGGAAAATCATTAGAGAATTAGAAAACTAAAATTGAGAATCTAGAGGAAATTAATGATTGCGAATATATAGCAATGTTTTTTTAATTTAATCATTGGAGAAAGCACGCAACTACACTGCTCAATAAAATTCACTAATCCGGAAAAACCGTTAGAGAGAGAGAGAGCATTTTCGACATAATTATTAAATGACGAAACTAACACTGTCGAACAATTCCGACGGGCGTACGCATTGTCGGAGGCCAAAACAGTAAATTAACGGAAACAGAGTCAAGTGTATCTACACACTAGCGTTGACTCATGTGTGCAACTAAAAAGCGGAATGTACGGTCTAGATCGTTGGATCTGGATCACAACACAAATCTCAACGGTTCAGATCATTTATTTTAAAGAATGAGGGAGTATTGTATTGTAGTAAGAGATCGAAAAGGCGATAAAAAAACAAAAGGTATTTTCTCCTGCTGCTAATTTTGTCGGTTAAAAAAGAATTAAAAGCAGTAAAATGAATATTTTTAATATCTTTCCTGGGAATTGTTCTTTGTAATCTGGGGGGAAAATGTAGCTCGAGAACGAAAAATGGTAACGAATGACTAATGTAAAACAAATAAACAAAAGAAATCTTCTACTATGTATCGAGAAAAACAGAGATTTATAACATTTCATAAGAAACCAGAGAGATGTAGAGATGAAGACCTAGAGAGAGTTGAGTTCTCCATTGCTCCAACGAAGAAGAGTAGACACATCATAGCTAAAAGCCATGTCGGAAGAACCGCCATTGGAGCAGAAGCTGACCGAAAAGTGTTTGTTGTGGCCCGAGAAAAGTAGAACAGAGGAAAGAGAGGAGTGAGGGTTAAAAGACAGTGAAATGTACGAGTTTGGAGATATTATTGGCCCTTTTATAGAATATGGGAAAGGAAAAAAAAAACAGAGAGAGAAGACGACACTAAAAAGAGCCGTTAAGACGGCCGTTATGTATCTATACGATACGACGTCGCGTAATACAATTGATTCTTCGTTTTCCTTTTTTATTTAGCGTGATTAGTTTGTTAACTCCATCTCTTTATTTACCGTTCTAACCGCCAATAACTGCTCAAGCGTGTGATACACATACCTCGCACGCTTAAATACTTTTATTTATCTTTTGCCATCTGATGCTTCTTCTTCTTCTTCTTTTTTTTCCCTTAAATGTGATCTTATTTGAATTTATATTCGTGGACGTTTATAGCCATTGTTTATATTTTTAAATCGATTAAAGAGTCTAGTGAACAAATCTCTAAAACCAAACTTCTACTCCTTATGTTCACTTTTAGACGATTTTTGTGTTAAAAACGCACATATTAAAAAAATATTTTTAATAGCTAATTTTAAAAACTCAACCAATCGTAACAATGCAAGATACAAATGATAATAATATACCAAATTAATATACTCATAGGAACTTAAAATATCATATAAAATGAATCAATAAAAAATCACTAAAAAGTTTGATACTCTCTCTCCATTTCGTGTGTTGATTTAAAACTTAGCTTTTTTGTCTTTAAAACAAATCCAATCGCAATTATCATGCTAGAATTAATCCTATTGTGCCGACGAATCTCTTTTAATAACTCAATTATATAAGATGTAAAATACTTTGGATAATGTATTTACATTGTTAGGCTTAAAACTTAGTTATTCATACGTAAAATATCTTAATCAATTGTTGACTATTGAGTTAACCAGCCAGTAAAAAGCAGTTTTCCCAAATTTTAGATGACAAAAGTTGATAAACAAAAAAGTATAAGCTAGACTTTAGTTAGATGGTAGGTATTCTAACTAAAACGAAAACTGTATCACGGTATCAATCAAAATCATTTACCATCGTTGTATGACGCTATTATTTTTACCGTCAATACAAATTTTACTCGAACTTTTTGTAATTGTTTTGTAATTACCCAAACAGTAATTAGCTTATGCGTAGTTACAAAAGTTCATATAAATGGTCATATATTTTGTAAATTACCCTAGTAAATATATAATAAATTGGTAATCGATTTGAATAATTGAGTGATTTTGAATTTGACTGAATCATTAACCTTTTAACCAAAAGATAAAAAAGTGAAGGTTGGCGTCGAACTGATGCTTTCACTTTCGCGTTAAGTTAACAGCAAGTGACTATGACTGAAGCAAGAAAATAGATAATGCTAATAACTTCTTCTTTTTTTATCGTTTGAATTGTTGTCTACTTGTAGTGACACGTCATTAATAAAGATGCGGGAAAAGAGTCAGAGATAGAGAACAATTCCGTACACGGAAACCAGTTGTCATAGTTTCCTGCTGAATTAGCGGGTATTGGAGTAAATACGACATATAGTCATATACTACTATTATATATAGTATTTAAATCGAATTTATTTTTTCCGTGAAAGTATCCATTGATTTTCGGAGGCGTTAATCACGGCTTAGAAAAGAAAGAAAAAAAACAACTCACGAAGTAGAACTTAAAGAATACGCGTTGAGTCGTTGACTATCCAAAGAAGAATTTTTCAAACTGTTCTCACTATTAGTTGTAAATTGGGTATGCCCAATAAATTTGGTCAAATCGATTAAAGCAGAACGGAAATTGCATTGCGAAAACGAAGTAATAGCAAACTGAAAAACAAACCGAGTAAATCATATTCGAAACCAGACCAAACCGAGAAAATAAACATGATACTAAAATTTTTAATGATCGATAAGATTAATTTTAGAAAATTTGATGTATTAAGTAGAGTGAAATAGTGATAGTTAACCATTAGTTCGATTAAAAAAATTCAAAAAAAGCATTTCATCGAGTGTAAATAGTTATATACGCTATAGTTTTAAAAAGGCTTAAACATTAACTTATATTCCCTCCGTTTTACAACGAGTGTCGTTCTGACATTTTTCATACAACTTAAGAAATAAGATAAAATGTCTCTTATACCCTTAATTTGCAGAAAATGATTTTTTGAATCATAATTATAATTAATTTTCTGAATTTATTGAGTTTAAAAATGGTATTTTATGTTAAAAATTACATTGGAATTCTAAAACGACATTCTTTTTGAAAAAAAAAAAAGTGTCAGAACGGCACTCTTTGTGAAACGGAGGGAGTAATGATTTTGCTCGTGATATTAAGTTTTCTTAGTTGGGTTATAAATTTAAATAAATCTCAATATTTACCTTTAGAGAGCACAAATATAATGTTCCCATGCAACAACCCATACTACTCTCATCATAATGTCAAGGTTTTGTTTTTCACGCTTTTCCTAAATACATTTGTACTAATTTACCCTCGATCCCAACCTTACTAACGTAGACTAACCGGACGTATTAATCCCAATCCTATTTTAGCCAAAAACTATGAAGAGTATTGTAAGTAACGTTACAAACTGCGACTGCCCTCATCATCCATGGACATGGGTCCACGTCTTCCAGCTCACTCTAACAGTCTAATTCCATGCGTTCCATTTTTCTTCGATGGTAAAATTATTTACTTCTTATTAAGAATACAATTTGTTGACATGATAAATATTATAAATAGCCAAGGAATATAGACTCAACAAATGTTATACTAGTAACAACTTTTTGACTACATAAAATTAAGAAACTTTGTTTTCCAATACATTTTAACAATATCGCGTGACTTTGTTAAACCGGTACGTTCGTTTTCTATGAGTGAATACCATGATAGATGAATAAGTCGTTATATACATAACTTTCGAAATGACAATAGTAACGTCCTTCTGTTTCTTTTATATCAAATTTGTATAATTTTCATTTTCTTATGTATATTTCTATATTTCTATATCAGATATATATATATATATATATATATATATGATGTGTACCATGTGTGTTCATCATGGGAGAGGTTGGATTGGTGGTAACTGGTAATTATTGAAACTTTTTTTGTTACACTTTTATTGATCAAATTACTTTTTCAAAAGTGCAAAAAGCTATAATAAAGAGAAGATCTTGTTGGTGCGAAATGTTTGGTTACGCCAAAATTCGCGGGTCAAATTGGTTCCCAATCACTTCTATTTTACTTATCGTTTTTCTCTCTTTTTCTTTAATCTATTTTATTTTATTTTTCCTTTTCTTCACATAAGTGAAAAACAGCAGGAAAATCATTATTCGGAAATGTAATTATTTCTGTAATTAAACATTCTTTTTTTTTTTTCTTATAAGTTGCCAAATCAACGTTGGAACAAAATCGAAAGTTCATAAATAAAAAATAATAATAATCCAATTCCAACGCAATGCTATACTACATGGTTGATTTTATATCTATCCGATATCGTGAAAAATATTATGTAATTCTTTTCGTGTTCCGAAAAATACTTAAGTAATCTACTAAAACAGTAAAACATCACTTGTCATTAACCATTAGCGGCAAATTTCTATCATATATTGTTTCTATCTTTACTCTGCCGAAATCTATAAAGTCAATAAACCAATGGAAGAAGTTAAACCGGTCGGTTAAACAAAAAAGGTCGGTTAAACAAAAAAGGTCGATAACCAATGTCTCTTTCTTTGAAGTGGACGATTAGTGCTCATGCATATATAGTTTTTCACTTTTTATTTTCGAATGCTGAGGATGGTTTGTCCACATTACAACTGTATCATTATAAATTGCATTAAAATTGGTCGATGCGTCACCACCTGGTCCACCCATAGTTAAACTTACATTATACTTGTATGTTAACAAAAAAAGTAATATATCCGTGTTTGATTTTTGTCATTAACCATTTAGTCGGCTAAACGAAGTTTAATTTGTATTCAAGAAAGTCAGGGAAGATTTTTTTTTTATAAAAAAAAGAAAGTCAGGGAAGATGTCTTAAATTTAGAGCAAATTAATAACTATTGCTAAAAAAAAATGAAAATGTACGAACGATAATGTAGAAAATAATTGTCTAAACGAATAACCGTCGTTACCATTAACTCATTTCCGACATCTGTATTGCATGTAAATGTTTCAGTTAATTGACTTGATTCAAAACACCGAGACGTCATCTTCATGATTCAATACCATAATTGTATATAACTGTAGTAAATTTATATATACATTTCGGGTACCCATACAAATAGATATAATGGATAATTCGAATTGTTTGTTGCTAACTTACTATATTAGCCGGAGCACCGACACTCTCAAACGTTACAAAATTATCGAATAATTGGAACTTGGATCCTTCCACTCGACACTATACGTCGTCGTTTTGTGCTATGAAGAGACGTCGATTTTTTGTTTTCCTTCTTCTGTGATCTTATGTTTTTGTTTTGTTATAGAGTAAATGACAAAATTTGTATACAATATAAAGAAAACAAAGATTTATATCCCTCTCGATCGGACGTACTCCGGAAAGGCTTTTCCGTGATCGTCATATATATAAAATATCTAACGTACGTGTCATTGCAACGTTAAGTGTGATAGAGACGTATCAAATTATTTAAATTGTTCTAACTCTGCGGTGTCATTATATTACGAAGCGAAAAAAAAAAATTGCATGTGTTTAGCTAAGAGTTTAAGACAATGTAATTGACTAGAGAGACTATATCATCTTATGGAGCTCATCATCTTTTTTGGTTCTAATATTACATATATATGGATTTTGCAGTGATTAGAAATCAGCATCATGGTCTACTAATTAAGTATTTGCTCGGTTATGGCTCATCTCAAGCGCTAATATATCTGCATGTAAATCCATCGGTATTTGCTAGCTGTCCTCTGTAAAATTTAGTCGAAGACAAGTACACTATTTCATCAGTACGTTTTTTTATATAAAAAAAACTGCGAAAAATATTAATACAAAATGTTAGAGAAGACAAAGAATCACATGAACGTTCACTGTGCCTCTCTAATCAAATGAAAGCTGGAGAGTTTCATTCAACCCCCACAAATTTGTTGAGAAAATATAATTAGGCAATTAGACAAACATATTGCGTTGATGGGGTAGACATGTCAATTGGAGATGCAACAATCAGATGCGGCGTAGGTGTACGTGTTCCCTATTCAAGTGGGAATGGGATCCATCTCTAATCCCACATCCTCACCGTTGCAAACTTGTTAAAACAACTTCTTAATGCACATTTAATGCTTAATAGGTCACAAATCAACCCTTTGTTTTTTACTTTCAATTTTAGCCTTACAAAATAATGTATGCAAACAGGAATAAACTTGATTATTTTAGACACATGCACATTCTATAATTTCTCTAACTTTCTTTGTCAACTTTTATACGCCGACGTACGTCCATGGCATGACAAAAAAAGAAACCACACGAGACATTGGAACTATTCACGAGTATCACATTTTTTCACAATAATTTAATTGCGTTAGATAATAGACGAAGAATATGTTTCAAGTCTTAGTTAGATATAAATTACATTTATATATAGAAAAATAAGCATAAGCATACAAAGGACTAACTTATCCAAATACATGCTAAAACAACGTTGAACAAAATGGAAAGCAATACTAATATATAGACTATACTACATCTACATGGTTATACCTGTCTATATATCGTGGCGAATATAATGAAATCTTTTGATTGTGTTCCGCAAAGTATCAAATCCATCTATCTTAAACAGTAAAACATCATTTGTAATAAGATAATCTCAAAATATCAAATAATAATGTTATATTACCACACAAATGATTAGTGTTGGGGTACATGGAAAAAAGGGTCACAAAAGCTAAAATTAAGACTTGATAACGTACGAAGAAAAGAATATAGAGAAAATCAAGGGAAAATGTCAAACCTTGTTTTGGGAGATTTTGGCGAATTCGTTAATCTTTGTCTTCTTTTTTTTTTTTCTTGGTGATGATGACCAATAGAACTAGATTTTTTGTTTAGATGGTAACGAAGCAAAACCCCACACCCACATGCCATCAAATGCAATATGTTTCCCCAACCCCATTCATTACCAAATAAAACTAATTTCATAAGCTCTACCTAATATCTACTCATAACTACAAATTTGATTCTCATTCATTAATATTAAATCTTGTATTTTGTTGTTGTAACATTCCCTAAAGTTACTAATACAAGTGGATCTCTTTCATGTTGATTGTAATAGCTATATATACTACTTTGGTAACATAGTAAAATAGCGATATAATAAACCTCTATAAAATAATTTTGTAGAATACAAGAAGTGCAATTGGTGAGTACTATATTCTTTCTACTTTTTTTAAAAAAAGTTATAGAATTTTTTAAAAGTCAAAATTGTGATTAAAATGTCGTTCAATAATTTAACTAACTGGTGATAAATGTATATAACCAAAACATCATTTCAAGATTTGACGGTTCTCAGCCCAAATCATGAAATTTTGAAATAAGATGTTCATAATATACAGAGTGTCATCACGTGAATGACGACGAGTACCTCAAAATCAGATAATAACAGGCCTTAAAAAGGCCTATATAGAAACAAAGCCCAAGCATAAAACTTGTAAAACAAAAAAGCATTTTTTTTCTTTCGGTGTGAACGTGAAGTAGCGAAATAATATTCCCAAGTGGAGTGACGGAGCATTCCACGTGACAGTGACTTGCTTTTATTCTATACGGCAAAGCTCTCCCAATACGGCACAACTTCTCCAGCTAATGAGCCACTTTTTTCAAAGAAAAGGACACGTATTTGCATTTGATTGGTGGACATATGGAGATTAGACTAAAGTCACTCACATGGGATTCTTTTGGCCCCATTACTAATCTTCTCATTTTTGACCTTTTTTAAAATCCCGTTTTCATTAAAAAGTACGAGATCACAACTACCTTTAATTTGTTCTTGTCTGCAGTACGATTTCAAGCACATACAAATTGAGACTAAACCGGGGCAGCCTTAGACCGGAAACAACCATTCCGATACATTCGATTTGGTACAAGCCCTATATCTGCTTCGAATTTTGGTATTTGAAACATATTGGAAATCTTGAGAACCGGAAAAATTATACCGAACCGGTAGCTTATCTTATTTTGTTTACTGATAAAGAGAGTACTCAATGATCTGATCTTCGCTGATTGCAACATCTCAGACATATACCTTTTGCAAGAGAGAGAGAGAGAGAGAGAGAGAGAAGTAGATCAAGAGGTCTTGTCTGGATTTCGAACAAAATGCAGTACAAGAATTTGGGGAAATCGGGATTGAAGGTGAGTACGCTCTCATTCGGAGCGTGGGTTACGTTTGGGAACCAGCTCGATGTGAAAGAAGCCAAGTCGATTCTTCAGTGTTGTCGCGATCACGGAGTCAATTTCTTCGACAACGCCGAGGTTTACGCAAATGGTCGAGCCGAGGAGATCATGGGTCAAGCTATTCGTGAGCTCGGTTGGCGCCGATCCGACATCGTCGTCTCCACCAAGATCTTCTGGGGTGGTCCTGGTCCCAACGATAAAGGTTTGTCGAGGAAGCATATCGTTGAAGGAACCAAATCTTCTCTCAAACGTCTCGATATGGACTACGTTGATGTCCTCTATTGCCACAGGTGAAAGTATTTTTTTTTTTTTAATGATTCTTCTTCGAAGATCTAGGATTTTAATTCGCTATGATTTGACTCTGTTAGGTTCTCTGAAAAATGAATAAAGGTTTTTTTTTTTTGTATATCTGAAATTTGTTCTGTACTATGTTGTCTGCTCATTTAATTTTCGAGATTTCAAGTGATGTGTTTAGTTGAATTTTCAAGCATGTGCTTTTGTTTTTAGTACGGAAATACGGATCCAGGGTTAGATTTTTTATGTTTCAGTTTAAGTTTCTTACAAATTGGAAAACGGTTTGCTGTTTGAGAGGTTATTATCTTGGAAACTCCAAGTTGGAATCAACTTTGGCTTTCATTTGATCTCTCGACTCGTTGGTGCTGATTATCCGGATCTACATTTTGCTATCTTTGTGATAGAAGTTTGATGATCTTGACGGGAACAAAATTTTCCGAAAGTGGGCATCTTTGCATTGATCTTAATGCCACTAGCTTCTTTTGAAGTATATGAAAATTGTTTTCCTTTGTGTGTTTGGTCATTGTCTGTCCCAGGCCGGATTCTTCAACTCCTATCGAGGAAACAGTCAGGGCGATGAACTATGTGATTGATAAGGGCTGGGCATTCTACTGGGGAACAAGTGAATGGTCAGCTCAACAAATCACTGAGGCATGGGGAGCTGCAGATAGGTTGGATTTGGTCGGTCCAATCGTTGAACAGCCTGAATACAACATGTTCGCTAGGCACAAGGTTTGTAAATCTAACACTCTTTCGTATTCAGTTTACTTTCATCTTTGTGTCTCGTCTTTTTTAAGTTGTTATCTCATGTTATGTAGTTTACTTTAACTTAAGCTATTACGTTCTGTAGGTTGAGTCAGAGTTTCTTCCTCTCTACACCAACCATGGCATAGGTCTCACTACTTGGAGCCCACTTGCATCGGGTGTGCTTACTGGTAAATACAACAAAGGAGCTATTCCCTCGGACAGCCGATTTGCATTGGAGAACTACAAAGTATTCCTTTTTCCTCCTTTTCTTTTTGTGTCCTTGGTCATACAAAGTTATGTCCTCTCTTCTGCTTCTGCATCTAATATGCTACTGGTTTAAATTCTCTTGCAGAACCTTGCCAATAGATCACTTGTGGATGACGTGCTGAGGAAAGTTAGCGGTCTCAAACCGATTGCAGATGAGCTAGGTGTAACCTTGGCTCAGCTTGCAATTGCATGGTGTGCTTCAAATCCTAATGTGTCATCTGTTATCACCGGTGCCACGAGGGAGTCACAGGTTAGTCACATTCTCTTATAAGCCTCAGCGGTTCTCGATAGGAACTTTGGGAATATCAGTCTAAATTTTCAATCCAAGATTTGAAGTAAGAAATATTTTTTTTGGGGGTACCTACACAGATTCAAGAAAACATGAAGGCTGTTGATGTTATCCCATTGTTAACACCACATGTTCTGGACAAGATCGAGCAAGTGATACAGAGCAAACCTAAACGTCCTGAGTCATACCGGTAAAACCAAATCCCTTGATCCCTCTTCCCTAAAAGATTGTTGCAAGAAAGAATAAATCATTTGGAGGAGCTCTGTGATGTTTGTTCTTGGATGTTGTATTGTGTTGGCTTTGTTTTGTTCTCACGCATATTAAGACTCGAGGCAGAGAGAGTAATGTGTTTTTTAGTTTTGTTGTTTCATCTTTTAAAACGGTCTTATTGTTGTTAGTGAAACTTATAATTTGGTTCTTGTAGTTGCAATGTCATGAGGTCAGTAGTATGTTGAAAAGCTCATCAAACGGTTGGTTAAGATTAAAGCTTAAGTGGTAGTTATTTTTATTGTTAGTTGTATAATTTTTTTGATTATTTTGGCCTATTTCTTCCAAAATTAGAATCGGAGTTAATAATTATGGAACGTATAGAGTAAAATGTTGTTATTTATCTATTTAAATAAAGTCCAAGGGGGATGGATGACATGTTACAATATATTTGTACAAGTTTTATTTAACAAAAACAGAGGAAATGACGAGATAATTAAAAGATTTGATGAAAGTATTTAATGTTGAACGTGCACATCATAACGTCTGCACCATGTTTTAATGTTTAATCAACTTTTTGGCACTTGTTTATTTTTAACATGCACATAATTTCCCACATAGAGATCGTATACAGTTTTCATTTTCTTTTTGGATACGATTCTCTTACTTTAGATTTCAAAAACTTATTTTGGATTTTTCTGTTTTATTTAGTTACAAAACTAAGAGAGATCAGTAAAAAAAGTTTTCTAGAAATGTCTAAAAAAAGTAAGAAATAGAAAAAAACGTTCCCCCAAAAGCTTCACATGCAATTTATGAATTTACTATTTGAAAAAACTAAAATAAATCCGGATTTATAATTATTAATAGATAGATGGATTGATTTGAGAGTACAAGTGAAACGAATAAAATCAAAACCAATTTGTTTTAAAGTTTATTATAATCTTACAAATAAAGAATAAAAGAGAGATCTTCGAGACAGAGAGTTAGTTTTTGGAGTTTGTCCCACCCGCGTTTATTTTGAGAGCGCTTCTCTGCGTCTCTCTCTCTCTCTCGCAAATCAAAAACCTCAACTTTCGAAAAACTCCAATCCTCTTTCCTCCTTTTTTTGTTCTCAATCCAGGAACATTCTTCTCTTTTACCCAAAATCTCATCTTTGATTGTTAGCGTTCTCCTCCATTGTTACTCTCATTCTCTTTCGTTCGTCTTTGGCCATTTCCCCAGGTAATTAAATTCATCTCAAGCTTCAATTTTTGCAATTTGTTTTCAACACATTTGTTCTTATCTATGATCTGGATGATAATTACGTATATACTAAGTCTACTGTGTATATGATTGATTTGTGTGACCAACATTTGCAGAGAATAAAAAAAAATTAATTATAATGAAGAAATCTTAGCTTCTAATTGTTGTTGTTGTTTTGCAGGGGGGATCTCATTTTTTTTAACGTTCGAATGAGGATGATTCTCTAATCTCTGTTTGATTCGATATGATCTTGTAGCAATATTACCCTGAAGGTGTTCATTGGAGGTTTGATGATGGGAAAATTGGTTGTGGGTATGAATCTCCATAACCTGTTCGCTATAATCCTTCAAAGAGCGTAAAAGAATAAGAAATATAACGGGGAGGAAGAAGAATACGACTTAGTATCTTTGAACAAGAGATTGTGCAGAAGAAAGACTAAGCCTTTTGGTCTTTATTCTCTCTTTTCTGTTTTTTTTTTTTTTTTTTTGTGTTCTTGAGGACATGAGAATGGAGTTTCCTGGCCGCTCCAGTCAGCATTTAGGTAGGGATAGGTTCAATGGGGAAACCGGTTGTGGTAATAACACGCGTGAAGACAATATCTGTGTTCAGACAGGAGAGGAATTTTCAAATGAATTCTTGAGGGATTTTGGTGCTCAACGAAGAGCACAGGTTGTTAATAGAAATGTTGAGGCTAATCCTAATAATCGACATCTTGTTTATGAGGATTTCAACAGAATTCTTGGGCTTCAAAGAGTTGATTCCAACATCTCAGAAGGTTTTAATCCCTCGAATGGAGGAGGATACTTAGCTGAAGCAAATATTGCAGACTCACCTCGGATGGCTGCAACATCAGATGTTTATTTGCCGGAAGTATTGAAGCTTCTTTGTAGTTTCGGGGGAAGGATCTTACAGCGACCTGGTGATGGGAAGCTTAGGTACATTGGAGGGGAGACTCGGATTATCTCAATACGAAAACATGTTCGGTTAAACGAACTGATGCAAAAGACTTATGCTTTGTGCAACCATCCGCACACAATCAAGTATCAGTTACCAGGAGAAGATCTTGATGCACTAATATCTGTTTGCTCAGATGAGGATCTTCTTCATATGATTGAGGAGTATCAAGAAGCTGAAACAAAGGCTGGATCTCAGAGGATAAGGGTCTTTCTTGTATCTTCAACAGAGTCATCAGAGAGTCCTAAAATTTTCAATGAAAGGAATATGAACATAAACCGAAACACAAACACACACCAGCAGACGGATATCGATCATTATCATTATGTTTCAGCTCTTAATGGTGTTGTGGATGTGAGTCCTCACAAGAGTTCCAGCGGGCAAAGCGGGACAAGTCAGACAACACAGTTTGGGAATGCTTCAGAGTTCAGCCCTACATTTCATTTTCGAGACTCGCCTACTTCTGTTCATACATGGGAAAACAAAGACTGCAACAGTCCAACCTTCATGAATCCATATGTGAACGCTAATGCTGTTCATTTTATGCCCAAAATGCAGATGACGACTAACTCATTTGGTCAACAGTCTCCTCCATCATCTCCTTTTTCAGTTCACAAGAGAGCAAATACCGACATTCCCTACTTGGTTGATCAAAATGGTTTCTTTGACAACAACAATCGCCCTTACTTGGTTACTCCAAACTTCTCACCGCAAGATAGGTTCCTGTTTGAGACTAATACACAAATGCAGAAGCATCCAGAGATGAATCTTCATGACCGGAGGCCAAGTGGAGATATTTACCGCCATGGTCAAGCTTATAACGGGCCAGAGAAAGTGACGCTTAAGAAAAACGCTCTTTCTGATCCACAGCTGCATGATGAGAGCCAAATCAACAATGGGTTAGAAGCATTCACCAGACAACCATGGAAAATATTGAGAAATAAGTTGCATGTTGTGGCTATGTCAAAGTGGGAAGATACTGACGATATCTATTTCAAGAATCCAGAAGGCAGGAGGAGTAAGGAGCTTGAGCTCAACACAGAAGTTGGTAATAAGTGGATGGATGGTGATCATAGTCCCGGTTCTTTTGATCAGGCATCAAAGAAACATGATGTTAGTAACAATACTAGTTATTACAGTCCTAATTATCAACCGGTTGCTCAGGTTACTTCAACTGATTCACAAGATTCAGGAAGCTCAGTGTTCTCTTTATCAGTCAATACTAACGAAAATCATCTTGATGGGTCGAGGGAAAAATTGAATGGTTTCCAGCAAGACATGTCACTAGATATTCTCATCAGAAGCCATACTTCAGCTAAAGGTCAACTGTGTAATACAACCAAGTCAAGCGATCAAGAAGATTACTCCTCACCCAACCAAAATTTCCCAGTGGACTTTATGAGACAGGAGCCTATGATTCCGAGATGTGTAAGCATGGTTTACCTTATTCCTTGTGTAAAGCTTGCATTTATTATAATTTTATCTAATTTTCCATAAACTATGTGCAGGATCTGGAGACAAATAATGATGATACAGAAATTCAGAAGCCTCTTCCTAAAGAAGAGAGTTTTCACTATTGCGGATTGCCACTTAGGAAGGTGGGAAGTAGAGATGCTGCTTTTATGCACACACAGGAATCGGATGATTTCTTTAGAAACAATCTGCTTGCTCCACAGTTGATAGTTGAGGATGTGACGAACGAAGTAACCTTAGATGCTCTCTTATCAGCTACTATTGTCCCTCATGTACATAATGAGTCAGATGATGATCACAAATCTTACACAAGGGAGGACAAGATTACAAAAGCTGGTCCTGAATCAGCAATGGAGGTACGCAATCTATTTTTCCTATTAGATTGGAAGTTCTGGCTTTTCCTGGTGTGTGTCAGTTTAAGGTTTATCTCTCTGGTCTGTTTTTATATTGCAGGAAAAGTACAAGAAGAGCAGAAACACCGATGAATCATTCAGCGAAGCTGCGATGGTTGAGATTGAAGCTGGAATCTATGGCTTACAGATAATTAAGAACACGGATCTTGAAGACTTGCACGAGCTAGGATCAGGTACATTTGGAACGGTTTACTATGGGAAGTGGAGAGGAACTGATGTTGCTATCAAGAGGATAAAGAATAGCTGTTTCTCTGGTGGATCATCAGAGCAAGCAAGACAGGTTTAGCTCTTCTGTGGAAGTCTTTATATTTCTAATCCAAAACCACAATTGCTTTAACGAAAATGTCTTAATGAAATGCTTTTTTTCTTTTTTGAAACAGACTAAAGATTTCTGGAGAGAAGCTCGGATATTGGCGAACCTTCACCATCCAAATGTGGTGGCCTTTTATGGAGTTGTACCAGATGGACCTGGTGGAACAATGGCAACAGTTACTGAGTATATGGTGAACGGATCTTTGAGACATGTATTGCAGAGGAAAGACAGGTACATTATCTGTCAAATATATGTAAGACCTATCCGATTTATGACATCATTAGTCTACTGATGCAAATTTATTTGCACAGATCGCTTGACAGGCGCAAGAAGCTGATGATAACTCTAGATGCTGCATTTGGGATGGAGTATTTACATATGAAGAATATAGTTCATTTTGATCTTAAATGCGATAACTTGCTTGTAAACTTGAGGGATCCACAACGACCCATTTGCAAGGTAAACCTTTTCCCCAAAATCGGGTCATTCCAAGCCATATTGTAGTTTGTTTTCATCTTGACACTGTTTTATATACAGGTTGGTGATTTTGGATTGTCGAGAATAAAACGAAACACGCTTGTGTCTGGTGGGGTAAGAGGAACCCTTCCATGGATGGCACCAGAGCTGCTAAATGGGAGCAGCAACCGCGTCTCAGAGAAAGTACGTCGTTGAGTCCAAAACCAAAACTCGAGTCTTCATCACTGTAACTTCAGAACAAAGCTTTAACCTTCACATGTTTTTGCAGGTGGATGTTTTCTCATTTGGTATCACGATGTGGGAGATTTTGACAGGCGAAGAACCCTATGCAAATCTGCATTGCGGTGCCATCATTGGTATGTGTCTAATTAACAGAAACAATTCTACAGTATTTGAACAAAAAAAGATAGAACTTGGATTGCGTTCAGGCTTGGTTTTGATATATATAATTTTGATATGTTTTGTTTGATAAAAAGGTGGAATTGTGAACAATACGTTGAGACCTCCGATACCGGAACGGTGTGAAGCAGAGTGGAGAAAGTTGATGGAGCAATGCTGGTCGTTCCATCCCGGAGTACGACCATCGTTTACGGAGATTGCTGATCGGCTTCGGTCAATGACTGTTGCCTTGCAACCCAAGCGACGAACCTGAAAGCTACTCTCTCCAATGAACTTGAAAGTCTTGATTTTTTTTTTTTTTGGCGGTTGAGTTTTAAAATTATAAAAAAGAAAAGAGAACAATATAGATTTATGACGGTGCGGAGTTTGTAAAATTAGTATTGAGGTATTTACCGGTCAGGTAAAGTTGTATACAAGAAAAGTTAAAAGTCTATTGTGTAAATTAAACACAATTTTTTTCAATCTATTCTATTAAAAAAGAAGCACATTTAGTACTCGCATCCAAACACTCTCAAAGTTTATTTTATAATATTATATTATATTTTTATATTTAATTTCCGAAAATTAGTTATTAATTTAAATATTTTTAGTTTTTCTAAAATCTAGGTCATCTTTAATTTAAATTTCAAATTATTAAAAATTCAATTAAATTTAGTTACAAAAATTTGCATTCAATTTAATTTAAATTCAAAAAATTCAAAAAGATTATAACTAAATTTTATTACAAAAATTTAGATAATAATTTTAATACTTTAGAATTTCTTAAATACAGAAAAAATTAATTTTAAATTTTAAATTTAAATAATATTTTTATAAAAATGCATAGTAAATAAATATTTTATCGTATTTTATCATAAACAATCTGTCTAAAATATCAAATATTTGAGATTAATAAATATTTATATTATACAATAATATGATCAAGCTGATTAGAGTTATATGTATATATATTTAAGGTCCATGAGTTAATTTATTAAAACATGTAAGATATTAAGATGATTTGAGATAATTAAATTAACAGGTTAACCCGTTTATATATATATACATTTTTTTAATAGCACAAATAGTAAATAAATATCTTATTATATTTTTTCATAATCAATTGGTCCAAATATTTCATATTAGTAAATATTTATAGAGTTATACAATTATAATTATAAAGGTTAGTTTGTCAAAACATGTAAAATATTAAAAATGATTTAAAACAACTAAACGGATGGATTAGCAAATTCATAGATATATAGATAGTTTATGTGTAAATCTAAATTCACATAATAACAAGTTTATAATTAACATTAGATCAATGTATACTTAATTAACGTATACTCTTATTCTATTAATATACAAATTTTACTGTTTAAAATTAAAATATAATAACAATTTTTTGATTTAAAAAAATAAATAACAAAAATAAATTATATTTAAATAAAAAAGATAAATACAACTTATATTAGAAATAAAAAATAAAAATTTTCGTGCGTCGTTAAAATCTAGTGGTAAGTAAAATTGAAGCATGACGACAAAAAAAAAAAATTGAAGCTTGGATAACAAGGTAAACAGAATTTGGACTCGAGACAGAATAACAGATCATTCACTGTGTTTACCAAAGACCAAATAAAAAAAACTGACGTTTTGGTTTTCAACTACCTACCATCCTCGGAAACAATCAAAAGAATCCAAAAATTAATCAAAATGAATCCACTAAAACGTTTGCTTAAACGATTCTTAGTCCTCGAAATACAGTCGCAGAAGAAGCTACAACTTTTCATATAATGTCTGAAGGAAAAACACAAAAGATGCATAACATAATAATAGTAAACAAAAAGTAACGCAAAGTTCCAAAACTTGAGAAATATTCTTCAATCGATCCATCATCTATTTTCCCTGTTATAAGAAAACAAAAAAAAATATTAATGTCGAGGTTGCAGACAAATGTCAATCTCAACACAGTTGCCATTCTAACGTATTTTCATTTCAAGACGATAAAATTTCATATTCGTAACAGAACAAAACAAGTAAACGATTGTTGTGCAAAAGGGACAGAGATAATGGAATTTGTTAAGTTACCTTGTTTGGTTTCATCAACGCCTATCCGTCTTTCCTTTCCCTCTCTTCCCAGAGAACAAGTGTTTCGGTCTCAGAGTCGGTATAACTCTATCAGCTTCACCTTTACGTGCATTCTTGTCTCTCTTTTTGTGAGACTTATTGCTAATCTTAATGGCTGATTTCTTCTGAGTAGAGTCTTTAAATCCTTCACCAGGCACAACTTCATGTGCAGGTGGCCTTGACATTGATCTTGATATCGACATAGATCTCGATCTTGATCTCCCACGCAGCTTCTTGTTCGCCTGTTGCTCATCATCCACATCCATTGCATCACTACCAGCACCTTCTGATCGATCCCTCTTTCTCCCTCTGGACTTGCTTCTTGCACGGTCCACTGCAGAAGACGGATCAAGCCCCAGAGCTGATAGTTCCCTACCCATTCTTTTAGTTGTATACTTCTTGTCCTTGTCAAACTTCCTTGGAACGGTTGATCTGTTTTGTGCAACAGTCTTCTTGAGCCTATGCTCTCGGATCAGCACAGCTTTCCTCTTTCTAATGGCAGCAAGATGCTGCTTCTGCTCCTCTGAAAGTTCTTCACCATCAATCTCGAAATCACTTTCTTCAACGTCAGCCTGCCTTAATTCTTCTTCACGTTCCAACTCCTCAAGCCTCAACAAAATGTCTGGATCAATGAAATCAGCAACATTATGACCATCAAGAATCTCAGGCATAATGTCCTCCTTCCATTCATCATCATGCAAGATGTAGTGCTTCTTTAAACTAGCAGAATAAACTCCAGCTCCACCATTTTCTTCTTCCAAATCTTTCTCGGTCTTTCGCTTCTCCATCTCAGCAGCTTCCTTAGCTCTAGCCTCCAGAACCACCTGAGGTATGCAAGGGGGCCTTTCTATGTTATCTCGAGGCTTCGGCATCGCCACATGGAACCTGTTCAAGTGGTCGTTGATCTTTTTGGATTTCATCTTTGCCTCAACCCTCTGATCTAACAGCCTCTCACAGGCAGCATTCTTCACAGCCATCACACCCTCTTCCGTCAGAGTACTCATCTTCAAAAGCACTGCTTCTTCACTTGCTCCCATGGCAGTCTTCATAGCTTCAGCTTTCATCTCTTCAACCAGTTTCCGATCTTCTTCAGATATGTTTTCCATGGGCATCAAATCGGTCTTGTTGCAGACAATCACCAAAGGTTTGTTCATAAACAGGGACTTTATGCTGTGGAAAAGAGCAGCCTGCTGAGCAATAGTGTAACCACAAGAACCTGAAATGTCCAGAAAGAAGAGAACAGCAGCTCGAAGGTGGGCCAATGCTGTGATACTGCACATTTCAATGATGTTACGGTCTTCAAATGGCCTGTCCAAAATCCCCGGGGTGTCAATGACTTGATACCTCAAATACTTGTAATCGGTATGACCAACAAAGAGCGACTTTGTGGTGAAAGCATAAGGCTGGACATCAACATCAGCTCTGGTAACTTTGTTCATGAAAGAACTCTTGCCCACATTAGGGTATCCACAAATCAAGACAGTGCGAGTGTTTGGATCAATGGAAGGAAGCCTCGCCATGTGCTGCCGGATCTGCTCCAGATAAGCCAAACTAGGAGTGATTCTCTTCAAAACAGTGCACATACGACCAAGAGCAGCCACTTTCAGACACTTGCACCGGTACAAGGAATCACCATACTTGAGTAGCTTCACATAATCTTTAGCGATTTTGCTGATCAAGTTCCTCGCGGTATTCACTTGGCCTAGAGCGAGCTTGTAATGATCCTTATTGTATAGCACGTGAAGAAGATCACCATAGAAAGGATGGATCTGATCAAGGCGAGGAAACTCTTCGATGATTGTAGAGAGCTTTTCATGGAAGTTTGTCTGCGTGTACTTAACCTTCCTCATGTAGAACTGACGCAGACGGTTAATCTTGTAACCCTTGTGGACAACAGTTGGTGTCTGACGCTGAGTCCGTGAAAGGATGATGTCAACAAACTCCTTCCCATTGGGAACAACAGTTATCTTCTTGAAATTATATTGCACCATTTTTGCTAAATAAATCTGCACAAACCATACAAAATCCCGATGAAAATAGTATCATAATACAACAACTCTTACGTTAAGGAGAGATTAAGAAGCAAACAAAAGAATATGAATTTCAGTAAACCTCTCACCAGCTTAATCATAAAGCAGTAAAAGCTACAAGCTTTGATTAGATTATGAGACACTAATCAATCTCTCATGTCTCTTTCTTTGTATTTATATCAAAGAAATCCCATCGAAGGAAAACAAACTAACGAAGCAGCAATTCAAAAATTTCAAAAACGTTTTGATCGAAAGCAAATACCCATCGATAGAAACAGCAATCTAATGAAGATTGAAACCAAAAACCCAAAAGAAACAACAACAAAAAGGTAGGGTATACAAAAGCAGAGACTTAATTCTACAACCTTAAGGGGCCGAAGAATATTTAGAGACTTACGTCGGAAAGGAAACGAATCGATGAACGGAGTTGGAGAGTAGAAAGGCTTCCTATAAGACGGCGTCTGTGTCGGTTGAGCAGAAAATCGAGCCGTCGAAGAAATGACGGTCGACTGTGTTTTCTGTAAGAGACCTAGAAGGAGAATCTAAATATACAGCAGATATCCTAAAACCCTAAGCACAAACGACGCTGTTTTGAGCATGAGAAAACCAGATGGTTTTACTCCAGATGATCCTTAACCGGACTAAACCGGTCTACAATTTTAACAACTTTATTTTCTTGGCATTTTTCTCTCATTTGCATATAACAGTTTTTGCCAGATTCTTTAAATCTCGTTTTCAACAAATTTTTGTTTGACTTGTAATAATTAGCGAACAATGGAAAAAGCGATGGAGAGACAAAGGGTACTGCTTCACCATCTTCAACCTTGTTCGTCTTCTTCCTCCTCCCACTCCAACACTCTCTCTGTGAGCTCCTCTGATCCCTCTTCATCTCTTTGGTTTTGCCTCTTTCCGATCGCTCATTGCTCTGCATCCTTGCTTGGGATTTTGAACTTTTTTTCATTGAAATCATAACTCTGAATCGATGCGCATTGCTTGTAAGCTGATTTTTAGGATCGATCAAGTATTTTTTTATGATTTTGTTTGCTTCTTCTTCGATTCTATTAGTGTAGGAAGTGTGTTTGATTACAAACAATCGTAGCTCTTAATGTGTTGTGTTTCCTTTTTCACAAAGGCCTCAGCTTGCTTGGCGGGAGACAGTGCTGCATATCAGAGGAACTCTCAATATGGGGATGATGTTGTCATTGTCGCGTTAAGTTTCTTCTCTTTTATGCTTTTTGTTCTCTCATTATTTCCCTTTTGTTCAGTGCCTTGTGAAAAACTTGCTTTTTGAACTTTAAGATTCTTGTGA